CCGTTGAATTTAAATTTGACTGCCGAGACGCGCGCCTGGCTTCGATCATTATCAGCATCCTCCTCGAGACTTGTTGTTGTTGTTGTTGTCGTCGCATACGCGCTCTCGGCAGAGAAACAATTGTGGCACTCGTTTTTTTTCTCCACTCGTCGTCTTGATGTCTGTGCTTGTTCAGTGCATTGACGTACGCGAACTAATGTGCAATACAGTTCATCGAATTAAGAAGAAAGCTGCGGAGAGCAATATGGGAAAGAGGGAAAAAAGTGAAACTACAATGACGCCAGCGATGCAGATCTGGTTCCGCGTCTTGAACTACGCTCTCACGAGTTTATCGATGTTCGTGATTGTAAGTTTTCTTTTTCTCTCGTACCCCTCTTCGATCGCTCTGTCGCTATTTTTAGTTATAAATTAGAATTGCTACCACTTTGGGAAATTATACGCGACTCTTCGATGTTTAATTGTATTATATGTGCGTTTGTGTGCGTGTACGTGCGAATTTTTTTCACGAGGAAAATTCACACGCAAACAATCGCGCGTCCGAGCTATAAAGGGCCCCCACTTCGACCATATAATACCATCGCGCCTTAAAAGGTCGACCGGATTGATTTGTGCGCATTCCTCGTATCGCAAGAGTCCGTACGTATGCGCCTATAAAAAAAAAAAGAATCGCACGCGTTGTACGGAATATCAATTGTTTCCCTCTCGCGATTTTTTTTGCTATACGTATTGTGAGTAGTCTTAGCCACTCGTAAAACGTACAAGCGTATTCCCGAGCTTTATCGCCGCAGGTGTGTTGTTGTTGTTGTTGTCGTTGTTATTGTTATGAAAGCTCGTATTACGTAGTTTTGTCTGTAAACTGCATTATTTTTCACGACTAGTAATAGTTTTGATTTTGTTTTGAGTGTTGATTTGTCAATTCATTCAGTTTCTAAATCTAATTCCTTGTGATTTTTTTTATTTCACATCACAATATATCAATGGGTGTGGTTCTATATAGATATCGCCGATGCTGCGCTTTAATGCCCGACACGAGAAATCAATTTCGATAAGGTAAATGAATAGCGACGATTATGAATTCAATTTTAAAAATAGAACAGCTTTTGCGCATTATGTATACGTAGGCACGTGTAGCATATCCGTTGAATTTTTGTATGCCTTGTAGCTGTTGCTGCGTGCCTCCGTACGCGAAGAGACATTTGTTTTCCATTTTAGAAAATTAGTTAAGTAACTTGGTTTCACGAGAGATATTGCACGCGCGAACAATCGCGAGCAATCGAATCGATTTATTTATGCGTATACGCGCGCGCACGATCGTCATTTCTTCTAACGCAATCGAATTGACACAATCAAATGCTCGGCTGCGCACTTGGTATTTTATTATTTTGTTTGTAATTTGTTTTTTCGCGCTTGCAGTTTCGTTGATAGTATACTAACCACGGCGCACGAACGCAATCATTTGGTTCAATGTCACGCCAAAATCAAAGGAAAAAACTTTTTTTATCTCCTACGCACGATGAGAGTACGCATATATAATGACCGCATAAAAATGATAAGGATATCCTTGTACGGGTTGCCAAACTACGCGATGTCGCGCGCTACTCTCGATATCTACACCGAGTCCTTATCGGCTTCCGGGCCAAACCCTCTCGGGCGGGAGATATAAAATATATACGTAAAAACTCATTGTTCATTAATCGCGAGGTCTTTTCAATTTGTGCTTCAATTAAGAGCTCGAAAAAATATTTACATTTTATTTAATACCCGAGAGAGTGAGAGAGAAAAATAACTTTCTTTGTTCGCAAAGATTTTTATGATAAAATCATCAATTTATTATATACTCCGTCTACCGCGCGATCTTTGTTGATTAAAAAAAAAAAAAAAAAATGACGTATATCGAACGAGAAGTGCCGTAAACGTAAAAATTATTTACTCATACAGCAAGAAAAGTAAATCAGCATCTTTTTTATAAAACAAAACGCTCAAGCACCGCAAGTGCTGCTACTTTACGGAATATAATCATTTTCTTTGTGTGGAACATGCACCGAGTTCGCGAGAGGCGATAAATGAAATATCTATAATAGTGGTAAAACTGGTTTTCAACGAGCTTTTCTCGCGCGATTAACGCAAATATTATCTTTTTAAAATCGGACGTACTCGTGGCTTGCAATTATACGCGATTTGTGCGTGCCTGCGGTGGGTACTACGTACGTATGTCACGCGATCGCTGCAATCGAATTGTGTACGGCGGCGCGTGTGCAACGCAAAATCGAGCAAATATTTTCAATTCTAAAACGTCAAAAGACAAGTGAAACAAAAAAGAAGAAACGCGATAAATTACTCAATTTAGGGATATTCTCAAGGCAAAGACCAACACTCGGGGATATTAATAACGAAAGTAAACACCGAACGAAACGCATTCTTCATCTCGCGAGCTCAGAGACGTTTTAAAATCTCGCGCGTGCGTTATATACGTGTGTATGCATTTATTTTATTGCCACTTGAACGCAGACTCGGATTAATTCGTAAATCAAATCGTTTACCAGCCACTCTTTGATCTTGCTAAAGAGGTATATATGCTTTGCCGGTCTTTAACCGGTCGCTTGTTGTGAGTTTATTTTTTAACGCGTCTTGCGAAATTTACGATGCGTTTTTCAAGTCCCGATCAAGAGGGAAACGAAGCCACTTGCGATACACCTTATTTCAAAAGAGAGAAAATGAAAATCAAAACAATCGACTGATCATCGACTGATCTGTGATGAGGTTAATGCGTGTAACATTTGCATTTTCAATGAAAACATTGTGTACGATCGACAATATTGAGCTTGCATGCACGTGACGTTACAGACATTTGCTTCGTGAAAAAAATTAATTCCTTTTTTTTATCAAAAATAGCTCGATGAATTGCCTCATTGTTTAGTCTTTGCACATAATGATTGCAGCACGTAAATAAATGAATATCATAATTACGCAATATAAACATATTATTACCGGAAGATCAATTCATGGTCGTACAGTGGTTTTTTATATTATTATTTTTTTTTTCTGATCTACCTCTCGTGCAACCTAATGAATTTACACCTTGTTTATGTCACACGCTCTCACACCCAAGATAACTTTACGTAACTATAAGCCCACGTCAATTTAAATAGACAATTTGTTTTCGATTCTTACACCAATGTGAATTGCATCGTTTAAACTCCCCACGTTGAGAAATTAATCAAATCTTAACGCGATAGTTGTATATCGGCACGAAACAATGCCACACGTGTAGCGTTCCGATTTTCGGAATATTAACTCTTGGGAAATTTTGCGAAATGTGCTTGTTTACACACGAAATACTCGCGCTCCGAAGGTCTGCCAGGCGACGCGCGTGCGAGATTATCGCGAGAGAGGCGCTACTTCGAGACAGCTGTGCTGCACTCGCTGCAATGCCGATTTCACTTATCCGGCCCAATACACAACGATTAATAATACTCGATGGAATGCTCGAATAATAAACATCGACCATCTCGTGGCTTCGTGCGATGTATGCTTTTTTTTCCACACACGCAGCCGTGTGGAGTCGATACTGCACGTGCATGCATACGATTTGCTTACAATTACATTGTACGGAACGAAATAAAAAACGAACGAAAGCAAAAAGACCGACGAAAGAGAGTCGCGAGCGATGGTTATAGTTAAACGCGCCCGCGAGTGTCGAGGCTCGCGCTATTACGTCAAACTCGTTACGCACCGACGACGAGTTTATTATAAAAGACGTTTTGCGCGAAGATGCGCGTCTCGCGGTGAAAGAAGAGCCGCCCCCCAAGAGCAGCCTCGGTGCGAGCTCGACACTTTTCCATTCTCGCGCCGTGTACATATATACCATAATACGAGTGTAATTTTGTTACGTGCTATATACCGTTGTGGCTGCAAAAATGAGACTCGGCAGTCATCGTCGTCGTCGTCGTGCACTCATGGGAAAAAGAACGAGACTCTCTCTCTCTCGCGTCGCACGCACGCACGTCATCGCGCGAGGTGCTTTATATTATATACGCGTCGTGTGCTTCGCTTCGACGATGATCGCCCGAGTTCGACAAGAGTCACAGAGACGCTTTTTATACTGCCTCGTCGTTGGACTATATTCTCAATTTTTAATCGTGTATATGATAATTAATTGCCGCGACATTTTCAACTTTCGTCAAATCGAGGCGCCAATGTACCGATTAATCGCGCACATACAATTCGTGCAGCGATAATGATTCGATTACGATTGACTTTATTTATTATTGATCTATTGTTCAGTTGATACAAGAATACGTACGAAATCATCGCTCGGAATTATTATCGGCAAGACGAAGATGAGCCCGAAATATTTGTGCCAGTTTCGCGTCGCGTTCTCAGTCGATCTGTCGTCGAGCGAGGCTGTCGTTACATATCGAGTGTATACGTCAAGTCGTCGTCCGTCGCAAGCCGTTATTATCATTGTTATTGTTATTATTATTATTACTAAAGTTGTCGTTGTTTGTTTGTTATTTTGGTTTTTTGGTTTCTTGTGGTTTTTCCCTTACTCGATTAAAACAATGACGAAGGCGGTGAAGGTGCACTTTTTAAATATAATACATTTTTTTTTCATCAAAAACGTACTATCGTTGTGATGAAAATGGCTCGGAGACGCGCTCGAAATGAAATTACCCCGAGTTGTCGTCGTCGTTTTCGTATGTTTGCTCTGTACAATTATAAATCAAAAATATTTACAACACGAAAATCACATCTTCGCGGCGTTATCATCGTCGCGCGTTCCGAGAAATTGTACCAGGCACACGATATACAACATCGCGCGCGCGTCATAGTTTATAAGCTCAAAAAAGGAAAAATAAAAATTGCTTGGGACTTTTATTGCCATTAGAATCGCTGCAACATATAGGCACATTTTTACGTATACGCGATGCACGTGTTAGATATTTCGTTCGCTGATTTTTCCATAGAGAATCTAATCAATTTTTACAATTTTTTTGCAGTCGCTGAACAGCAGAGACAGAAAGACTGTGAACCCAAAAAATGCCCCGGCCGGAAAGAAGACGTCGTCCACGACGAGTGCGTCAGCGACGGCAGCAACGCCAGCAGCAGCGACAACCGTCACAGCGAGCCCGGCCACGAAGCGCAGGCTGAGAGACCTCGCGGTGAACTCGCACACGGTGTTTCGCCCGTGGCGACGCCACCACAGCGACAATGCATCGAAGAGCATGAAAAATGCCAATAACAGATCGCTGCCGAACTTCCCGAACGCGGCGGCGCTCGACGGCGATCGGGTAACGGCCAAGACGACGACGACGGCGAAGACGTTGCAGGTCGACAGCAAGGCCAACGGCCAGGACGAGAATCGCAGCAACAACTGCCAGGCGCCACAGGTGGCCCGAACGAGCAGCAAGAAGTGGCCACCTTCCTATCTCTACGGTGGACAAGATGCCATCAAGTCCGAGGACGAGTCGCTCAAGGCTCTGGCAATTGTGAGTTGACACAATTTTTATGCGCACTTTGTGTTTCTTTCTTTTTTTTTTTTACGTGTACTATCTCGCTAGACGGCACACGAGCATTAGAGACGGAAAAAACATAATAGTCATTCGCGCGACGTAATAGAAATTAACACAACAATGCTCGCATATAGAGACTCGTTAATCTCTCTGCTCTTTCCTTTCTCGGGCATTCGCGAAAGATTCTTATTCTTTGCCTTTTTTTTCTTGCATCAACTTGCGTAAGTTAGCACGTGCGACGATTTTGGGAAATACCTCGGAGAGAGCGCGTTCGTCGTTACAACGCCCTTTACCTCCGATCTGAAATCGATGTAACATATTCTAATGGTACGTTTATCGTTGATTGTTGTGCAGAACGCTTTGGACCTGACCGCACCAGCGAGCGACCTGTTGCTGAAGAATCGCCTCAAATCCTGGTTCCAATTGTCCGGTCATCCGGGTGGCTTCGCGCCAGCTGGACCTGGCACCGTCTGGAAGCGCCGCGTCGACGTCAACGACGACACCGAGCGCAAGGTTTACGAGGCTCTGAAAAACGATCCAGCCCTCAAAGACTGTATACCGAGGTAAGCAATGTTTTCTCTCGCTCTCTATAAAATATCGCGTCCGATACTTTTGCATGTGACAAAATTTCAATTATCGACTTTATTGTATATAGTCTATACGCGATGACGAAACGAGAACCATGATCTGCATAATTAAATTAGACTTCTTTCTTTTTTTTTTCTTTTTGTATCGCCGACGTCGTACGGTCGTCATCGTAATCGAATCGACGCAGCGCATCGCGGTCTTGACACAAAAGCCCCTTTTTTTTACATACGTCGTCGTCGTGCGCCGACATTGCGCGCGCGCGGCGTTTATCTAGCGCCACTTCGATAATTAACAATACGAAAAAAAGAGGCGAATGAAGAAACGGCTTAAAGTTCATTGAGTGTGTGCACACATAGACACATATAATTGAGGGTCAAAGTTCAGACGAGTTACCCACTATCTGGCGCTGCGCGCGATACATGAGTTATATATTGTGCATTAATTTTAGAAACAAACGAAAAAAATTTAAAAAAAACTTATTTCGCTGACGCGTCTGCGGTCGTAGCTAGCACACATTGTATACGTGCATATGACATAATCCTACTTACAATCACGTACTTATTTATTCAAACTTTTTTTCTGCATCACAACAGGTTTCAAGGCGAGGTGGAATTTGGAGGCCACATATTTCTGGAGCTGCAGGATCTGCTGTTCGGCTTCGACGAGCCCCACGTGGTCGACATCAAGCTCGGCACGAGGACCTTCCTCGAGTCCGAGGTCTCGAAGACTCAGGCGCGCAGCGACCTGTACGAGAAAATGATCAGCGTCGATCCGAACGCACCGACGCCCGAGGAGCACGAGGCCAAGGCCGTGACGAAGCTGCGCTACATGCAGTTTCGCGAGCAGCAGAGCTCGACCTGCAGCCACGGCTTCCGCATCGAGGCGCTCAAGCTACCCGACAGTCCGCCCATTACGGATCTCAAAAAGGTCAAGTCGCACGCGGACGTGCTCTCGACCATGCAGCAGTTCATCGGCGGCCGTAAAGACAATCGCGAAAAACTGATCGCCAAGCTGAAACACATTAGGAATCAGATCGAGCAGTCCGATTACTTCAAAACGCACGAGGTTGGTACACTATTTTTTTGGGGGAGAGAAAATCATAAAAAATGACGAAGAAGGAGAAAAAGTGGGAGGAGAGAAAACACGTGCAAGGATAAGATTTTAATGTTTTTTTTTTTTTTCGTCAAATTCAAACCGTCGATCGATCGGGTAATTAAAATGATTGAGCATTGTTAGAGAATGATTAACGACATCAAGTAGAATGATTCACAACACGTAAGATATCTTGAGCTCCTTGCATTGCCAACGAGTACATTTTTTCCTTCTTTCTCTCTTTTTCTTTGTTGTCGATGAAAAAGTTTAAATACGTCAAAAAAAGTAAATAAATAAGTTTACAACGATGTTAACGAGGTTTTTTTGCTATTTGATTCTAGGTGATCGGTAGCAGTATTTTCATGATTCACGACAGCAAAAAAGTCGGCGCCTGGCTCATCGACTTCGCGAAAACACGCCAAGTGCCACTGGGCTGTCGACTGGATCACCGCACGCCCTGGCAAAATGGCAATCACGAGGAAGGCTTACTTTTCGGCCTCGACAAGCTCATCGCGACCCTCGAAGAGGTCAAATGTTGAATGAAAAAGTTTTCTCGTTAAATACTTTACATATTATGTTGTACACATAAACGCGAGCGCGTGCGTCCGAACGACGGAAATACGAATGAAATTCGCCACGCGCGACGTACGCCATATAGACGTAGTCATGAGCGTTTCAGAGATCGTATTAATGAAGAACGCGCGGACTGATTTGTTGATCATATCAACGTTAGGTTTCATCTACTTATATATAAAAATACCCATTTTGTACATACACTCGCCCGATATCATTTGTAAATCATAAAATACGCGTGTTACGATACATCAATTGAAATTAAAAAACTCTGGTCTGATTATAGCTAGATCTTCGTTATAGCTGCAGTTAAAGTTAGATAGTTACTTATTTGAGCATAAGGCCTGTATTTAGTTATTATTATAGATAAAAATTGTAATATATCTATTTGTACTTAGTTATACTGAATATTGACTTTTTTTAACTCCGTAATTTAACGTAGAAAAGTCTGAAGTAATCGAAAGCAAACATGAGTATGTATGACACCGTGAGTGTAATGAATGAACATTTTTTATGACGTTAATATGAGTGCGAATGTGTATGAAAATCACAGAATGATTCTAGAGCGAAGTACAAATAATTAATTTAAACACTCGCTTGTTCGATGAAATAGTATTTTGATAACTCCAATTATTGTACAATAACTGTTCTATTGCTCTATTTGTATTAAATGATCGCAGTTATCTGAAAAATTGTATAGTATAGTGATAGAACCTACATTAGATGACTTTTCATTAATTAAATAAACAAATATTTGAATCATAAATCATCGTAATTTTTTAAACAACCTGATCCTACAACTCAAACTTCAATTTTTTAAAAATGATAAATAATGAAATCAAAATTTTATTGTTAAGTTTTATGATCGTAATTTATTAAATTAAAAAAAATTAATACAATTATTTCGAATAATTGAAAATAACAATAATTATCACTACTCCAGTCTTGACTTTCTTCGTTACCTGGTTTTATTATCATACAATTAGATAATATTAACGATGTGACTTTCTTTGTTACATTATTTCATTATCGTACGATTAGACAATATAAACGATGTGATGTTTAGAGCTTAAGTAGTATGCTATAACTAGTCTTATCCTTTTATAACTGCGATTGGCCTCAATTTAATACATTTTTTCGAGATTCCAACGGCATCACACGTATTTACAACGTCGTCTACACTTTTATAAGATTCCGGTGCTTCCTCCATGACCAGTTTTGGAGAAGCAATTCTAATCGCAATACCCATCTTTTCCATTTTATCCAATACACCCTGATAATCTAAATTCCTTCTAGATTTAGCTCTAGACAATGACCGTCCCTTTGAGAAGAAAAAAGGATTTTACTTGATTTGAACAAATACTTACTAACATATGAGTAAAAATAATGTATAATGCACTTACTGCTCCATGGCATGTTGAACCAAATGTTTCATTCATTCCTACTTCCGTTCCGGTAAGAACGTAACTGCACGTGCCCATGGTACCGCCGATCAATACAGGCTGTCCAGTAAGTTGATAATCAACCGGAATTGACGGGTGGTGGGGCGGAAAAGCTCTCGTAGATCCCTGAATCAAACGGTTAAAATGAAAGGGTTAGAGACGTTACTGTGACGAAAATTTTAATGAAGTTTCAAATTTCCTTACCTTTCTGTGTACCAATAGAGTTTTTGGTCTTCCATCTACCATATGTTGTTCAACTTTGGCAACATTATGCGAAACATCGTAAATAACATGCATATCTAAATCATCAGGAGACATATTAAATTGTTTAGCAAATGCTTGACGAGTTAAAAATGTCATAGAACTTCGATTGACCCAAGCAAAATTTGCTGCAGCTGCCATTGATTTTAAATAATCTTGACCTTCTGACTGATTGATTGGAGCACATGCTAATTGTCTGTCATTTACTTCAATATTGTGTTTTTTCATAGCCTTTTCCATTGCTAGTAAGGCATCTAAAAAATAATTTTTTTTTAAATTAATGCATTTTGTCAAAATCATAATAAAATTAGCTTTTACACAACAGACCTGTAGCTACTTGATGTCCAAAACCTCTGCTTCCTGAGTGAATCATAATACAAACTTGGCCTTTGGCTTCAATTCCCATTTTGCTTGCTGCTGATTTGTTGAAGATTTCATCTACTACTTGAATTTCAGCATAATGATTACCTGCACCCAATGTGCCTAATTGTGGTAAACCCCGTTTTTTTGCTCTCATAGAAACTTTTGAAGGGTCTGCATCTAACATTCTACCATATTCTTCACAATGTTCTTTATCTTCCGCCCATACATATCCTAGAAAAGTTTTCAAAGAATTTATAGGAATCTTTAAAATTATATTTGTTTCTGTCAGGGTATATCATGATCAAAATGATTACACAATAATGTATTCTTAATTGTTCACTTTTTATAATTGAATTGATAATGAATAAGTGAGCAATGAAAAATCATCAGCATTATACAAACCTTCTCTAAGAGACCAGTCCATTCCCATTTCTAATGCTTCTTCTAAATCTCTAGCAGTCATCGGAATTATACCTTTGGAGCCAACACCTACTGGAATGTGGTCAAACATGCTCTGAGCTAGTTGTTCCTGCAAAATTACAAGCATTAATAAGATGACACGCTCCAAGTTCAATTTTCTTATAACAATACAGACTTTTACTGGCTGAACATCTTTTTCAAATAAATTTGTTCTTAAAAGTCTAACACCACAGTTGATATCAAAGCCTACTCCACCTGGTGATACTACAGCCTTTGGATCAGAAACATCGAATGCAGCCATATTACCTAAAATGTGGATTCAATTATACGTAAAATGTTTTCCTGTTTTGTCGGAAATAGTTTCAAATGTAAAATTACCAATTGCAAAGCCATATCCAGAGTGGATATCTGGCAAGCCAACGGATTTTCCAACTATTCCAGGAAGAGCAGCAACATTAGCAATTTGTTTCACTCCTGGCAAAAATCCTCCAACAGACCCAGGTCTGGTTGAGTTTCTTAATTCCTCTATTAATAATTTCTCCAAATTTTTATTGACATAAAAAACACCTTCAACCTACAAAAGTTTAACCAATGTTGTGCATAAATAATAAATTCCCTTCTTTAAGCTATTATTAATTGTTTTCGGTACAAAAAAATTAATTTAACCTTCATATTAGGTTGAAAACCTTTTTTAATTCGCCAACTATATTCGCTCGTTTTTTCTAAATAACCCATTTCTTCTTCAAACGTCCTTACAACCATTTTGAAATATTATTCGTAAAACAAACTAAATTACAAAAAAACTACAATTGTAATGTATTTTGATTACTTTTAATTTTTGCAAGTAACTGCAGAAGTGTCAAATCACCACCTAAATGCCGGCTAATCTGAGGTTAAGTTAAGTAGATAAAAAGGCTGAGACAACTCTTATTCTTATTGCGTTTATGCAAAGGAAAGGACTGCTTAGATCTCTTATATCAACAATTGGTAAGTATAAAAATTTACATGCAGAAAAATAAAACCACGCAAATTGTGAACATCGTTTGTCATGACTTCTTCCAAAAAGGAAGAGAGATTTAAAAAAAGTAAACAAACAACGAGTGTTTTATTTCTCGATGCAAACAACTTCAATGTTTTCTACAACAGAGCATGTGCACCAATCGAATGTCGTCAACTGTGATTGGTGTTTTGCCGCTCTCCTCTGTAACTGAATTGGCAGTAAAAACGGCGGTTTAAAGGTCCATTGAAGCGCACTTTGCGTTTGTTATTGATAGGTCTTGAAAACGACAACAATATTTTTTTGTGCACCAGTTATATGTTTTTCATAGGACTAATTTTATAAAAAGAGTGTAGTTTATAAATTGTGCCTTATATTTTGTCGTGAATAAATACCGCAGATGTGTTGAATTCGAATTCAAAGTAAATATTCGTTATTGTAACCTCGATCAGAATTCGAAATATTTTTGAAAATGGAAGAAATTTTGGCATTACCAGCAGTAAATGGCCCAGATGAAGTATTGGACATACTTAATAAGATTTCAAATACTCGTTTAGCAGATGAAAAGTTTTCTCACAAAGTTGAAGGTAAAAGAAATGAGCATGTTATGTTTTCTATTACTTAGAAATGATTCAAATTAAAATTTTTATTCTAGAATATGAATCCAAAATTTGTGAGATTTCTAAAGAAGTCAAAGCCTTAAAAAATGCTGTAGATTCAGAACAACAAGTCCTTGACAGCAAAATTGCAGAATTTGAAGATTACAATAATCTCCTTGTATGTGCATTATATATTTGAAATAATATCTTTCTGAATAATCAATTAGTTTTGTTCTGATTACTATTAATAAATAACAATTTTGAATTTTAGATGAATCTTAAAAGAGATCATGATATCAAGCAAGCAGAAGTAGATCTATTGTCACGCAAACGTAACAAACTAGAAAATGCTACATTAAGTGTAAAAGATCAACAATTGATCACTACTGGAAAGTATGAACTGATAATTTACAACTACATAATAAAATGTTTCAAGTTTGAGTACAATTTCTCAGATAATAACTTTTTAACTTTTAGACGCAAATTGGAACTTTATAAAAGCTTTACAGGTGTCAGATGGGACTACTCTTGTACAAACTCGATAGAAGGATGTATCCTTTTATTTAAATTAAATTTTTAATTTCATGTCATTATAGAAACAGAATATTTTTCTGACATAAATTTTTATAGTTATTACAAATAAAAAAGATTACATCAAAAAATTCTGCTTTAAGAATAATGAGGACTACAAGACTATTAGGGAGCAACTGTGGGAATATATAAGAGAATCTACTGACGGTTACAAGTGGTAATGATTTTAAAAAAAAGACTTAGTATTACGTATGTGAATGAAATAATAGTATATTCAAATTTGATTAAATTTATCAATTGCCACTTATTATTTTAATAAATCTACAATATTTTTATATTTTATATAATTTTTTATTATAAAATTAAAGTCCCTTCAAATTTAGTCCAAAAATCCTATTACTAATACCTTTAATATAATAATTTAGCATGGTTATTTTTACCTTTATAAAAATATTACTCTTTAGGAGTAATTTTTTTTTTTACTAAAGAAATAGTAAAATGTGATACGTAGAAAAAAAGAATAAAAAATACACCACCAGCTACTAAACCACTTAGTATAAAAAATATCACACAGCCCAGTAAAGATGCTCCAATTGTTATAATAGTTACTAAAATGAAAAAAAAAGATAACTTATATTTTGTCAGGATGATTTTAATTGGTAGAAACATGGAAACTCACCTTCGACTATCATAAAAGTTGTGAAAGCCATTGCCACATTGACAACAATAAAAACAGTGAACAATGCTAAGGGAACAAGCAAAGTTGAAGATATAACAATAAATAAGAATAACAGTAGTGGGTTGGACAGAGCATAATTCGTAAGGTAATTTAATTGTTCAACAATTTTATCTTTATCCAAAGCCCTTCTTCCTCTTTGTAGGATTTCAATACCTGCAGAAAGATGTTTAAAATTATTAAAATTCTGCAACATGATCTTAATAATAAAATTTTTCTCCTTATCCAACCTACACTGGTTTCTAATTAACTTCATATTTGTCTTAGATAATCTGTACGCTTTCGCGGAGTTCAAATATTATTCTTCTACTGTCTACACGTTGATAAGGTCGACCGATTCTACAGGTATTTTCATGACGAGCCAAGCATAACAGCAACTCATGTCGATGTTTAAACGTAAACAAAGAATGTGAAGGGTATCGAAGCTCATTATCATCCGTGATTTTCACTGTAACCTATCGAATTAAACATAGTGCAAATCTCGCAGCTCGATCTGCTCGATGGCCATGGCATAGAGTAAAACTTGAGTAAAAATCCGCATGATATGTTTGCGCCAGAGCGGAGTTTTCCGTGACTTGATTGTCGTCTGCTCAATCATTGTTCTATGTGGTGAGATGGTGATTCGTATTATAATACAGCACACATGAATTAAAGCAAGCTGTCGTGTGTCAGTGTAATAAGAATGACAGCGAACGTAAACTTGCTGAAAAAATAAATAGAGAACGAGAGATTGAAAAAAAACTATTGGTGACGTTTACGCAAAGTGTGATTCATATGGATTTTTGGATGTTTGAATTCTTATTTTTTTATTTCATTTTGAATATTTAATTAATTATACGTATTCATTTGTTTTGATCTGATCAAATGATTTGAAAGGTAAATGCAATAAGTATGTCCTTTAATAATTCAACCATATTAAATATATTTTTAAAAAATATAAATATTTTTTTTCATTTAGATAAACATGGCACAAAAAACGCTGGATGTTGAGTTAATTTTGTTTGATATCTTGGATGATATTTTTAAATACTTAAGTCTCAAAGATTTGTATCAGGTAGCATTAGTTTGCAAGTGAGGAACATTAAAAAATTATTAACTACAAAAATTAAGTTCAGTATTAATGTGAAACACAATATTTTCATGAATAGATCCTGGAACGATACAGCAAGTAAAGAAATAGCAAGACGGAGTGATATTGAAAATTTCATTTTACCAATAGCAAGAACTAAAGACAATAGTCAATTAAGTATGTGCCATTTAACTGATGCAGTAAGATCATTCCCAAGATTGGTACTATTATTTTCTGATGGAAAAAGTCCACCTTGTGATGATATTGAAGACAGTAAGTAGTAGCAACAATAATTTTATAAAAATAAAGTTAAGTACAGATTTATAAAAAATTAATATTTATATTTTGGCAGTTTGTGTTTATCAATGCAAGTGTATGGAACGAAAAACTAATTTCATAAACATTGCTTCACAAGGAGTTGCTGTCAATGACACTCAAATTGTGGGTCAAGATAATGTCGAAGTTGGAATTACAATACCTTATCCTAATAAAATCAATAAATTGAAAATAAATTATTTTCTTCCGGATGATGAAGTATTATTAATTCATAAAGCACAAAATTCTCTAGAATCATATGTTAAAGATGCTTACAGAGACTTGGTTACTTCTGAAGAGGACCATAACTGTTTTATATTCTTTTATTCCCAAAGTTGCTTATATACTGAACATTATCAAAGAAACTCATATATTAGAAAATTTACTGCAGATTTATTAACATGTATAAAGCAAAGGTATTTTATCATGAAAGATATTAGCTTAAAATTAATTTATGATATCAAAATTAATCTCGATCTTTTTTAGGCATTCTGTCAAAACTTTTACTTTATGGGGAGGAGAAATATCAACTATCATTACAGATTTTTGTGGACGGGACGGTATACTTGCATCTTCAGCTTTCTACTTAAGATTATCTGGACCAGGAGTTAAATCTTGGTCCCTTGTGATTGATTCAAATGCACCAAATTCAGAAGTTAAAACTAGATTTGAAGATTTAAAAAAGCAACTATCTGTAAATCGTACAACAATGGCTCTTGCTATGGTGCCTTCTAAGCAAAAAGAACCTTTTGAACAACTAATTTCAAAGGTTTCAATGTTTAGAACTACTTTTCCAGGTATTCCATTAACAACTATTTTTACTGGTGAAGAGTTTTTTCAAATTGGTTTTAATTCAACAAATACTGAAGGTAAGAATCAAAAATGTTTTCTCTTTTTTAATCAATCTTACTTAATGAAAAATTATTCTAGACCCTGATCCAGTTTTGGAGCACGAGAATTCTTATTCATTTTTAATATTTACAACTAAATAAATCTTGAAACAATGAAAAATATTTTAATAATAGCACCATTGAAGACAAGATGTTTTGAATTCATCATTCCAACAACTTAAATTTTATCTTCTAAAATATATATTTCAGATGCTGTGTATTATAATATAATTATATTTTTACAATTGATTCCTTTAATAAAATTTTTAAACTATTGTCCATTTTTGATCAAACGAAACATAATTGAATGCTGTATGTATTGAATAAGTAAAAATCATATTTTAATAAAAATCTATGAAAAAAAATTCTCGAAAAATTTGGCAACATTTCAGTTTTAAAGCACAGACTATATTTCAATAGTGTGACTTTAAAATTATTGCACTCTAGTTTATAATAATAGATTATAGCAATATATAGTTGTATGTTTATACGTCATATTCCTTAATTTAAACTCAATGATTGACTCAATGCTTGTAATAGTTAGTGATTTTCTCATACCACCAGTAATTGTGAAAGTTTTGTAAGGACAAGCTTAATTTCGCGGCTTTTAAAAACAAATAACTCTGTTAATTAGACGAGAAAGTCTTTTTAGTTACATAATTCTTAAGAAGATCAAGGTTAATTTATAATTAGTTATTTTAAAGTTTATTTTTTTACCGTAATGTCAAATTCAAAAATCGTTAATTTTCATCAACTTGTATTTTAAATCCAAAACATATCAAATTACACAAATTCATAGAAAAAAATGAGTACCAGCACAGAGGATAATCCACAATTGTTTCAAAGTGATAAAAAAAATAAAAAACTAAGTTTATGCACAGAAGGTATATTATATGATGTTTTGGACAAAATTTTTTCAAGTTTAAGCCTCAAAGATTTGCACCGAGCCGCAGCGGTTTGCAAGTAATTATTTGACTATACGTCTCATTTTATGGTAATTGATAATCATTATAAATAAAATTATTCAAGATCTTGGCAGTATGTTGCTACCAAGGAAATGTCGAAGAGAAATGACATTCAAAGTTTAATATTACCGATAATATCGGAAAATACTCAAGTTGGAAGCAACGATGAAGACGACAACGAGTTCAAAGAGGCCAAATACTTGCAAAATAGTTGGCATATTAGCGATTCACTCCGATCGTTTCCCCGCCTCCTACTATGTTTTTCTGATGGTGACAGCAATTCTACGCAAACCTCCGAAGATTGTAAAATTTTCATTTGTTGTATGATGTAATATAAAAATTTAAAATTAATTATAACTTTTCAGTTTATCATCATTATCATCAACGATTAAAGCAACATTGCACTTGTTTGGCAGTATTTGAAACTTTGTGGATTTCTATGGACGAAACGGAAATCATGGGAAAAACTAATTTAGGAGTCGGAATTAGTTTTCCGTGTACATCAAAATTGAAAATTAATTTGTTCAGTCCAGATGATCATGACATGATGCATTTTGGATCTGACAATTTACTGCAAAAACTGGCTATAAGAGCAGCCAATACTATCATTAATAATGGTCAAGAACATAATTGTATTATATTTTTAAGTAATCAAACTGAAGCATTTGAATATATTGAAGCTTCGTACAATAGATTGTTCCTCTTTGAATTTATGAGATGTCTAAGATTTAAGTAATGAACTGAAACTTATGAATTATACATCTAATAGAAAAAACTAATATAACAATTATTTATTTATGGAATTTCGCAGATGTAAGCCTGGTACTTTCTCCTTGTGGGGTGGCGAAGTATTAGATATGACAACAGATATTTGTGATATTGACAGAAAATGTTTAGCATGGTCTGTAGCTTTGGGAATATCTGGAACTGCTATGAAGTCTTGGTCTATTGTCTTGAAGTCTAATTTATCTACTTTAGATGCTCATAATAATCTGATTGTTTGGAAAAATGAGATAACACTAAATAGAAACACAATAGCTTTGGCTATGGTGCCATCAAATGAATATGAAAACTCTGAACAAAGAATTGAAAAAATTAAAATATTTAGAAAAGTTTTTCCTGATATATCATTAACAACTCTTTACAATAAAGAAGAATTTATACAAATAGGTTTAAATTCTTTAAGCACTGGTAATAATTTACAAAAATACTATTTCAATTTTATTTGGATTTAATTGAAATTTAATTTTAATATTTTTCAGATCCGAATCAAATGTTAGAACATAAGAACTCATTGGTATTTTTAATTATAAGTACAAAATAATTCTATTATGTTATTTTGTTAAATAAATTAAAATTATTTTAAAAAATAATTATTTTAACATGAAAATTATTTACAAAATTTACATCTTACCTCCAAGTTAACTTACAGTTTGCAAAATATACTCTCAAATAATGAAAAATACTTTGATCACACAATTTCATCCAACTCTGTCGGTTCTGTTACTTTCTTGGGGTCTGGAGTAGGATCGTTACGAAGTCTTTCCAATCTCTTTGTTATGTCCCTTTGCCTTTGGAGGAGCTTTTGTTTTGTTTCAGTAATACTCTCATACTCAGGGGCATAGAAAACATGTAATGCACCTCCAAAAAAATTAAATCCATCCATTAACCGTTTGGCATGTCTAGCACTTTGTATTGTACTATAGTGTACATGATAAGCTTCGCTAAAATCTTCACATGGATAATCTGGTAAGACTATAATTTTTTTTATCGTTCCATATACAGCAAATTTAACAGCTAGTTCTTCTAGAAGATTGATTTTTGGTACTCCATTCACTATCAAGTGTTGTGATTCATCATTTACTGTGTATACTTTGACAGCTGTAAATTTTTTTCCTTGTCTGTATGGAGGCCTTTGATGACAAGGTCCTTGATGAACATGATGTTTAGGAATATTTAACTCTGAATCGTGTTTTCTTTTTTTCTTGGGTATTTTATTAGATTTATTACCATCCTCATCTTCGCTATCATCTTCACCATCTCTAGCTCAGAAAAATGGAAATACAATTTAAAGATTTGAAAATCAGGTATGGAAGAATTTGCTAAATAAAAATATTCTTACGATATTTCAAACTTGTCTCTTTTTCCAAACAGTTTTGTTTTGAAAGCTGAAACTTTTTCTGTATCAAATGACATCTGCACAACAAAAATAAAATTATTTCTAATTATCAACTGTCGTTTTTGATAAATGACTGCGCAATAAATTACATACGTAGTTTCATTACCTTTTACATTAAATCGGCAGAGCTTTTCTTAAATTAATAGATCCAACCAATAATCCAGATAACATTGAAAACGATCGAATAGCTGCTTACTGTCAGCCTAAAATGTTACAATGTATACGAATTTCGACGTGATTGGAAACAACTTTGCGCGCGCACCCGGTCCAGACGACGCGCATGTGTGCCTCTTCTTTCTCGTTTGTCCACTTATCAGGCCTTCACTGAGCCAAACGCAGAAGTTTATTTCATAACAACTATACTTTTTTCGAACCAAAGTGCAGATCTCGTGAATCAGTTATCGTTTTTAATTACAACAAAAAACAACAAATGATGGCTGGCCTCGTGCGATTGAAGGGCATGCAAAATCTCGTCGGGCGTTTGGCCTCGACGTCAAAACTGTCCGTTGTGAACAGCAATCATGCAGCAGCGTGTAGCAGTAGACTTCTAACCCTCAGACGTGCCGTCGGTACGTCGGGCTCGTCAAAAGCTGGAAATGTCGCCGAGAAAGCACAAGTCTGCCCGACCCCCGGCACTGCTTCGAAGATACGCCAACCTAAAGAGGAAATTTGGGTGTCTTATGGTTACTGTAAAGAAGATAAATGGCTCGACAGGCATCAGATGCATATGACAATGTTCGTATCTATCTGTATATTGACCTGTGGTGGTGCATTTCTGCTTGCATACCTGCCCGATTTCAAAATGAAGGATTGGGCTTTGAGAGAAGCTTACCTCAGGCTTCGGGATCGCGAAGCTCGAGGTTTGCCACCTATTGATTGCAATATTGTTGATCCTGCTTTAGTTAAACTGCCAACCGATGAAGAGCTTGGTGATGCAGAAATCATCATTTAAATAGTGCTTGCTACTTTTATCAGTGCACAGCTTATAACATAGGATGAAGCCTTCACCTACTCAATATCTATGGTTGCTGTCAGACTATGTTATTATGTATATCGTTGAAGATTTTTATGTAAGAAACAAATGAGTCTTATGCCTGATTTCTCATGGCTGTGGCTTGGAATCCTTGTGATGCCACAAAAAAGTGAATTAAAATTTAGTGTAATGCTGATGAGAATGTTGCTAATGTTAGAAGATTATCAAATGTATCTGTAAATGTAGAGAAATTAACATTCTTTTTCATCTCAAATACTATCGAAACTAATCAAGTTTCAACATTTTAGTTCATTGTAATTGCTATTGTTTCTAAAATGATATATGTAACAAAGACTTGTATAAAACAATGAGAAAATATATTTCTTTGAAATAAGGTAAAACAATTTTTCAAATTTTTGAACCAATTTGAATGGAATTTTTACTATGTTTTGAATGAAATTCAAATAAATAATGTAATTATAATCTGTAAAAACTAATGGCAGAATAAAAGGAACCCATTTGTGCATCAAATTCACTTTGTACAAACAATAAAAACTTATTACAAAACTATACAATCAATTGATGGTCAATTTTTTTTGTTATTGTAAGAAAATTTGTATTGCATGAAAATGGAACACAATGGGCATGTCAATTATAGTTAACATATTTCGTTTATTAAAGATCATTTTATTCTAAAACAAGTTATATTTTATGAAATTTTAAAACTGAAATTTCAAAGATTATGGTATCAATTAATTACATGATTAGAATAATTATTGTTTTTGATTAAAATTTTTTATGTTTATTCAAACAAATAATAAAAGATTATATCAATATAGATATTACGTATAAATAAATATAATCATTAATAAAACACCCCAGTGATACACAAATTATAATAATTATAATTATATACTTTCAATTTTTTTAGCCTGTGGTTGAATTACAAAGATTAATGCTCAATAAACAATAGATAGCATGTAATAATTTAATTGAAAATGGTTAATTGCAAAATGCTCTTATAAAACTTCTCCAGTTTCAAAGATTCTCAATATCATATACACTCATTTTCACATTATAAGAAAATATTTACAATTGTATTAAAGCATAATTTCTATACTGTGTTTTCCTTCTTCATCTCAAATAGATGTCATTTGAAGAAGTAGTAAACAACATTTGCTTTACTTATTCATACTTATTCATTGACTTGCTGGCTGTGCATAAAAAGCCGGATTTTGAGGTACAGATGCACTAACGGTGATCGGCGGCATTCCAGGTAATGAAATTGGTGTTGTAACAACATGTGATTGTTGCTGCGATTGTTGATGAACTTCATAGCTCGGCATTGAAATATTGGTAGGAGTTGAAGATTGATAGTTCATAATTGGACTAAAAGTAGTTACTGATGGTGAAGATGTATTAGTAGAAAATGATGATAGAGGAGGAGTCATTGGCATTCCTGGAATGGTTGGCATATTTGGAAAATCAACTGGTTCTATTGCTGAAAAAATATTATTTAAATTATAATATTGATAATATATACTTGTGAAAATAAGAATGAAATTCAATTTGACGTACTGGAAGGATAATTAAAATTAGGCAGAGTCGATGGTTGTTGTTGTTGATGCTGCTGGTGTTGCGAGTGTGGTTCCATTCCTACAGAAGGTTGTTGGACAGGGGGTAACACAGAAAATTGTGATGCACCAATTGGAGATTGTTGCGGATTATACATTGGTACACTAGTATTCATTCCAGTCATCAGTTGTTGTGAAGTATGCATTGGCATTGAAGGTACTTGCGGTGGAGAGTACATGGGCAATGATGCTCCTGACATACTTGCCGGTATTACATTAGAATCTGAGTGAGGAATATTAGGTATTTGAGGCGAAATGGGAGTAGTTGCAGACTGCGTAACAGAAATAGCTTCTTTTGTTTTGGTAGACTCATTAACAGAGAGATCATTCGAAGGGATAGAATAATTTGGTAAATTCAGTTGCTGTGGTACGTTTGGAGCCTGTACATTTGGGGTCTGTACATTTGGTGCTAATTTAGAAGTAGTTGCACTAACATTTGGTGTAGTACCTTGTGGAGTACTCTAAAATAATTAAAATGATTTATTGAAAATTATTAATACATTTAAATTCTTTTTCGTGTATGATAATAAGTTCTAAAATTTCTTACCAGTGGGACATTATGCGTTTTATGATCAGAATTTCTTATTGGTATTCTATGCAAATAACCATATCCAATTCCACAACCAAGACTGAAAAGAAAATATGTGTTTGCTTATTTACTATTACATTTCAAAAGTTTATTTTTAAAATATATTATTCAATATTTAATTACAGACCTTCCTTCTCCACCCCATTGATTATTTGGAGTGATTACTACTTCTCTGCAAGCATCATCATCTGTATTGTAAATATATAATTTAAGTGGTCGAGATTCATGTGATTCTATTAAGGAAAATAAATCTTCAGTTTCATGCAGAATTGAGTCTGCACCAATGATATAATCATTAAACGGTTTGAGACCAGCCAATTCTGCAGGTGAATTTGGATGAACTTCCTATAGAAAATTTCACAATATGTTACGATAATTATGCAGTCTGGACATATTATAAAAGTAAATATTGGATAGATTGAAAAACGTACCAAAACATGCCAAACATTTTCATTTGCACCTTCAAAAGAGCAAAATCTTATACTAACACCAAGGAGACCTTGTCCACCCCATGTCATGCTAGGCACAATAGTAGTTTGTCTCACATTTTGAGTTTTACTACTATAAACAGTAATAGTCAATTCTTTGTCGATACCAGCTTTCAATAATTCTTTTAGCGTATCATTATCTTGATCCTAAGCACAAAACATATGACATGTTATGCAAAGCACTTTTGCACAGGAAAAAATGAACAGGTGGCAATCATATGTCAAACTTACTAGTCTGGTAGTTCCGATGCAGACGATAAAATCGAAGAAAGCCTCAAGACCAGCTTTTTGTCCTGGTGAATTCTCTTGTACCTAAGTTAATTAGGAAGCAAATAGAAAGTGTGAAAAGAGACATGAGTGAATTATTTGACAGGCGCAATCATCGATATGTTACAGCGATGAATATTTATAAAGAACATAAAATAGTGTAATCTTTACCCGGAGGATGTGATAGCCCTCGGTGCCTCCACCGGGTATCTCGACACTCTGCGAACCTCCCATGCTGCTTGTATCGCTAAAGTTCCAGGCGATTCAGCCGTAAAATTATTATTAACCAGCAGCAGCGAAAACAATTAAAATTGCCGTTCGCGGCCTGGCAGCATCGGGGGTTATGGAAGTCTTCCGTAAATACACAGCAGCAGTTGGCGACTGCACCACTCCTGCATATATACACGGTTGACGTTGATTATTTTGATACGTAAAAATTACGTGGCACTGGCAGCCTATAGGTATATACGCCAAGACTGCTGCTGCTGCGGTCTGTGCGCTAAACCATTCAACTGCCGAGCTGAGTAGTAGAGTGCTGCCGAGCTGTCATGCGTGTGCTGCGCGGGTGTATCATCATCGCTCCAATTCAGACGAACGGAAAATGAAAACGAAGCCTCGATCGAAACCCAACCAGATCATGTTGAGAATTTTACGATATTTTTCGCGCACCGCGTTTACGTTGAACTATTTTGACCGGGGGAAATCGGTCGAACGTGCGACGATTTCAACGATAAACAAAATAATTTTCTGAATTTGTGCATTTTAAAAATTTCCTCCATATGCGCTACTCGCACACGCGCACATGGCGCAACGATCGCACTCGTGACGCTTTTTACCGTGTGATATCCCATCTAACTTGGAGACACGTGTAGTCCTACTACTTCTCGTATCGCAGAAGGCTGGTCCGCTGCAGTTGTTGTCATTTGTTGATATCGTGCTGTGTATATACAACGTCGCTCGGCCCAATTATTTTATCATTTCGTCTTCGATCCAGTGCTGATTCGTTCCTGAATTTTCGGTGAGTGCTATTACAAATTTTTATCGAACCAAAGATAATAAATTTCAGTGGCATCGTAAGTTGCACAGAGTGTGTGTTCGACGTGAAATTTTTGTGAAAGTCGGTGCATGAGTGCTATGAAAGGTTAATGATCTCCGTTGACATCGGTGCATAAAAGTTTAAAAAAAAGTTTGAAGTACGCGTCTGTTTCTTTCAAATGCTACTTGTGAAAATTCGCCGTCCGAATAAAATATTTTCCTTGATATTTTATTCAATTTATGAGATAGAATTTTTATAACCTAATAAACATAACAATTATCAGAGTTCGTAATAAATGGAAATGTAGCAATGTATATGGAGAGATAAGCTGAACCTGTTGAATATTACAGTACGAATTTTTAAATTATTTTTTTAGAATTTATTTAGATAAATATAGATAATTAACTTTTTTGTCAATTTGTTTATACCGTATTTCAAAAACAAATGATGAATGCTTGACGAATTTTTTAAGCATTAAAGTCCTTTATTCACATTGTTACTATTAAATTGACGATTTGAATTTGAATTTAAAAAATTGAGTTGATTTATCAATTTGATACTCCTGTTTGATTTACTGAAATTTTCAGTCAATCGTCGCAGGAATCGTTATTGAAATTTAACCATATGAGTTATATTCATCAAGTATGAACGACTCAGTCGCTTGTTCTGAATATTATGAAATTATACAATTTAAAAATATTGTTGAAAATGCCTTGAATAATGTTTGGATGATTAAGCGAGAAAATAGTAATAAGTTGAATTATTTTTCACGTGCAAAATGTTTCTCTATTTAAACCGATGCCTCTTACATTGTAAAAATCGTCCTGACGTTTTTCTCCCCCCTCTCATGTATCGATCCTCATGCTCTTTTTGCTGCTATACGTATACGCACGGCATTCACGATTAGGCAGTGCAGCAGACCTGTATACTGGTTTCAATTTTACTGCTAGGTTTTATGCACATATACAGTGGAAAGATCGCGCAAAAGCTCGCGCTCGCGCATCAGAGTCATAGGCATATAGCGTGTGTCTCGCCTTGCTCTCCGCATTACAGCCAAAGCTGAGGCATATACCGCAGCAGTGGTGCAGTTGTCGAACGGCTGCGCGAGGGGCGGCGGGCACGAGACGTCGTCGCGTCGCAAGCTCGCCACACTCGTTTGGATCGTAAACAAAACTCCGCGATTCATCCCGCGTAGCTCTCCCCGTCCACGTATACATAATGCCAAATTGAATTTACGTACGTCTCGGGACGATCGGAGGCGCGTCGTCGTATACGATATTACGTACCCGATGTAAACGCGTTGCCATGCGATTCGAGTCGCCGCCGCCGCCGCCGTTTCTTACTCCTGCCTATATGATATCGATTCGCGAGCTTTAACACGACGATGATAACGTTTGTTGTTGTCGCGTATCGTCGATAATCGTCTCTCCCAACCGAGGACGACGAAGACGATGCCCACAGCCGCCAGAACTTGGCCGTCGGCTCAGCATCGCGCCACTTATACTCGTCCACTATCGTCGCTCGTCTGAAAAGCAGAAACGACTCGCTGGATGTGAGCTGCAGCAATCGAATCATCCCAGGTAAGTACACGTTTTTCACTTATGAATCGTTCATCTTTGTCAGCATCAACGAGAGAAACAGGGCTTTTGCCTCGATGTAACGCGATTTTCTTACACCGTTGAATCAATGTTGAAAATAAAGCTTTGGGGGAATGGCTTGTAAAATTCGAGCCACATAATGATGAGCGACGTATTATAGGCCTGTGCACTAGGAATCGAAAGTAGAATAAGTCACATACGCGGAGAGACGCGCGCGCGTTTAGTTTCATCGATTGCGTCCAGCACACCTCATGTATATCGCAAAGCTGCACATGTATAAGGCGCGCGACATCCTATAGAGCGCCTACATTCCACCTGTCCATATTTAACGCACATTTTCCCTACGTAAATGTGTAGGTGTCGGACGATTCAATATGTACGAGTGTATAAATGCACTGGTGAGCTGCAGGCCTGTACAGTATGCATTGTTTATTGCGCTTTATTGCTATTATTAAAAGCTTTTGTTCTTATTCGAGATGCTTCGTCTTCTCTCTTTTTTTGGTTTATTATTTTGCCCCGTGGCCTCGACTTATTCACGCTTCAAGAGGATATCCTTTTTTTATTTATTTTTTAACTTTATTTTCGTATACAATAATAAAAGATTTTGCGATTCTTCTGTTGTCTTATCTGTAGAGGTTGAGCGTGTTGCGCATAGCATTAGCAATAGTAAGGAAACGCGTCACGAGTACAGTGCAGGTGCGAATAAAACAGCCAACTTATGAGGCTTTCGTGTCGCTGGGCGCTTTGTTTGCTGTCTCGCTCTCTCTCCCTCTCGCGAGCTTTCAGCGGCGGTGGCGTCAAAAGCTCTCCTCGACGCAACACAATATCAAGTGCAAAGATCAACGTACCGCAAAGCGATCGCATGTACAAGTGCCTTTCATTCGATTATATAAGCACACTAGACGATGACGCGAGTGAGTCAGCTGTCTCTCGAGAGCTATTCTGGCAATTGGAAAATTCACGGCTCACATGTTTTATCGCTCGTAATGTACACGAGGATCGGTGATAGATTTGACGCGTACTACGTATCGGGTCGCGTGCCGCTTTAGCACGCGCACAGACACCGACGAAGACGTTGGCAATTATATCACACGTGCACGCGAATTATCATAAATATAATCGCAGGATCCACTCGACGGACGGTGATTTATTTATATCATAAACAGTATTCGAATATCGTATAAGCCGATCGAAGAACGAATTATTCTTAGCTGTCATATCGCGGCGGAAAAAATCGAAAGCTCCGGATAAAAATAAGCCATTGTTTCTTCCTTTTTTTTCTCGTTGCATACGCTGAACAATCGCGCGTGGTTTACATAATACGAGCTCCGAGCTCCGAGCTTGTTTCTGACACAGCTTTTGTTTTTGCAGATCTCGGCGATACACGAAACCAAGAGCTACGTCCCAGTGATATTGTAGGCGTTCGACGAGACGCTAATATACTATATACCCCAGCATAAGAGAAGGCCAGGAAAATCCGACGAAGGGTCGAACGGTAGCGACCGGTGCGGAGGCCTACGTCAACAATAACAACGGCAAAAATTATGTCCCGTAACTGGTTGCGGTATGCGTTGCGACCGCCGCAGCAGCAGCCAAAGTCCGAAGACGAAGCAGCAGCAGCAGCAGAAGCCGGACGAGGAAAGAGCGAGCGCAGCAGCAGCTACTACGGGAAAAACGAGTCGCTGGAAATTGTCGCGTTACTGCGCTTTGCAAGAGCCACCGGGCCAGACGCCCCCCGAGCAGCGTCGCTCGCGTCGCCTTCACGGCCTCCAGCTACCGCTGCACCCGCTCCAGCTGGTCGGCTGGCTCGTGCTGGCCGGCATCGCCGCGGGCACCTTCGGCTGCGTCCTGCCCCCGCTGAACTCGCAGCTGCGCCCGGTCTGCTTGGCTGCGGTCACGGCGAGTCTGCTGGTGCACGGCGTCGCGCACTTGACGGCTCTGCTGCTGGACCCCGCGGAGGCCGAGGTGCGCCGCCAGCCGCCCTCCCAGCTGGTGCCCGAGTTCGATCGTACGCGGCACTCGCACGTGATCGAGAACGGCCGCTGCCACCTGTGCAACATCGACGCCACGAGTGAGCGCACCAAGCACTGCTCGGTCTGCAACAAGTGCGTGGCCAGATTCGACCATCACTGCAAGTGGCTCAACAATTGCGTGGGCGCGCGCAACTATCCGGCCTTCATAGTCTGCCTCGTCTCGGCGATAATCGGCGCCCTCTGCGTGCTCGGCCTGTCGATCGGCGAGCTCGCCCTGGTCCGCCTCGAGTCGTCGTCTCACTCATCCTCGTCGCTCGTCATGGACAACAACGCCAACTCGAACGCGAGCCTGCCCCTGAGTCTGCCTCTGCCCGGCACCGGCTCCCTCATCGTCATATCGATCGTCGGCGTGCTGGCCGCCGTAGCGGCGGTCCTCCTCATACACCTCTGCTTCTTTCACGGCTACATCGCCTGTCTCGGCCTCACGACCTACGAGTACGTGCGCAGCAAGCATCAGCAGCAGCCCAAGCCCAAGTCGAGCAAGGGAGGAGCCACGGCCGAGATCGAGCGAGTGACGGGTCGACGCGAGCGACTCTTCGACTGTTTCCAGCGAGACTCGAATTTCTGCTCGAGGGACAGGCGTCCTCGGCGAGACGTGCGCTACCACTTTTGCGAGAACGTCGACGAGGACGACGAGGAGGAGCTCCGAGGCCAGACCGGCGACGTCCAGAACATATACATCTGCTCGAGCACCACGAGCACCACCACGACCGCCCAAATCAATCAGCAGAGCAGCAACGGCGGCAACAGCAGCATAGCCACCACCATGATACACAACAGTGGCGGGGCCGGCGACGCGGCTGCCGGTGGCGCGGACAAGCAGCAGCGCAGAAACTTTCATCTCTACTTTTCCTACGACTCGCAGTCGAACGCGACGTCGATCGAGGTGTCGCAGGCGACCGTCAACGGCGATGGTCAGCAGCAGCAGCTGCAACAGCAAACGATCAGGAGGACGCCGCTGGCCGAGCTCAAGCCGTCGACTCCGTCGCCCGTGTCCTGCTGCTTCTCCATCATCGGCTCCAACAGTCTCGAGAGGGCCAAGGAGAGAAAATTGAAACAGCAGCAGCAGCGTCTGACCGACGCCGGCGGCAGCAGCAGCAGCAGCGCTAACGGCCTCGAGAACGAGAAAAATTTGCATCCCCGCTCGTGCACGACCATGCGACGAATTCAGTCGTTTTTCCGCCAGAGGCTGAGAAAGAGTCCCAGGCAGCAGAGAGCCATCATCAACGCGGCCGTTGCCGCGGAGATCGCCGCCTCCGCACGGACGGGCAGCGCGCGCCGCAACAAGATCAATCCCGTGAGAGCCGTCGAGCCGAAAGTCAGCTCGTGCAACGGCGTCGACGACGCCAGCGAGAACGGCAGCGGCGACGAGCAGCACTCGCGCAAGCTCGTGGAGAGCAGCGGCGTCAGGTCGATCTCGGTCGAGCCTCGCTCCTCCCTGCGCGAGAGCAACGGCTTCCCGATTCTGCAAGAGCTGCAGGAGCTGCAGTACCCGGTGCCGACGAGACTGCCGCCTCTGGCGCTGCCCGCGAGGCATCGCTCGGAGCAGCTGGTCTTCGCCGAGCCTGGCTTGACCGTTCAACAACACCAGGGGGTGTCGTCGGACGGAGGACAGTCGACGATCCAACCAAAACCGGCCAACCTGCGAGTGAGACGCAGCTCCCTCGTGGCCCATCACAAGAGGCCGAGATTCAAGGTCGGACCGCACTTGATGGCGCACCAGTCGGCCCAGCTGTCGCCCATACCCGAGTCCGAGCTGTCAAAACCGGCCTCGCCGTCCTTCGCCAGTCGATTCGCTTTCCCACCCTTGAACAGTGCATAAATATGACATATGTGTATTTGTAATGTCTCAGTGCGGAAGGGTGTTGGCTTGGTATATGTCATACGAACGTTTTCTATACTGAAACAACCATAAAATTTATCAAAATATAGCGTGTCTTTCTGTCATTACGTCGTAGGTTTTGAATTGCGTGAACATTTTTTTAGAGCCGAGTAACATTTTTAGCGAAAAAAGACTGTAAATATTACGAGGGAATAATCCTTTTTTTTGTAATAACAAACTGTTAGCTGTGTCCATCGAGCATTTGGATGAATTTACAATTATAAATATCTTAACGAGGGCGAATATATAGACGAATAACGAAGAATTAATTAGTGTACGTAAATCGACCTCCTGATCGATTGACCCGTGTGCCAATTATTCAAACACCGTAATATCGAATTAATAATTGTAATAACTTTTTCTCTTTTTTAGTAACGATTTTTACGCGAAAATAATCTACAACGCTTAACAAAAACACCATTTAATATTATACGACGGAAGGAAAAAGCACACGTTTGCACTGTAGAGCATTGTGAAATGCTGCACTGCTTGATATAGATATTAGCTAAAAATTGACGCGGTTTTTCTCATATACAATATTACAATAAATCGTAAAATGATTCAACTCCGTTGTTATATTGAGATGCAAATTAAAATTTTAACCTTACACATGACATCGTCAACTCGCAACGCGAATGGTGACGATTATTTTTTTATATGTACGATAGATAACGATGGCATTACTAGTATAAAAATTATCAAGGGCTATGTGCACGCGAGATATTTAGACAATTTTTTTTACAAAAATAATTGTTATGAGCACGCGTAGCATCTGCTGCAGCATATAGGCATGCGAGTCAAGCCGCAACTCGGAAAAATAATGGTATTCAATTATATTATAGTGAACTTTGCACCAAGTCTTATATACTTTTATAATAGTTTTTAGAGACTCGATTAATTACTAGGAGAATTTATATATAAATTACGTCATAAACGTATACGCTTATTGTAAAGAAAAAAATTGAATCGTGCGTTATTTCCAAACGAAAATAATTCATGCGAAGGCCTTCGTAGATCATGTGATAAATACAACGTTTTTAAACTCTAAATATCATATAATATATGATTAATCAATCATATTTGAGTTTTTTTGAAATACGAAAAAAGTCTGTCTCTGTTTAATCATCGACACAATCACTTGGCATATATTATTATTATATTATTATACACGTGTATACGTTGAATATATTCAATGGCGAAAATGTTTAAATTTAAGACTCTATTTTGAATATGTATTGGTCTATCGTTGAAATTAATTTTTAATGAATAACTTTCATTTTTAAAAGTGAAAATATTTAATGTGTAACTGTAATGTGTTGATAATCTTACGATTATTTGCTTTATCAATTCACTTATTGAAATGGTATTGTTCCTGAGACTGAGCCCTTTTCTTTTTTAGAAAATGTTTCTATGATACTCGTTATTGTGACAATTTAGTACCTCATTCATGGAAAATGTACATACAAATTTAAAAAGTTTTTGAAATTATAATCTTTAATGACAAATCAAATATCCCTTGTGTAATAGTGATGCATGATTAAAATTTTCAATTGATTATATCCATTTGTACACAACTTCGTAATTTTTTCAGTCTTAAGATATAACAAGACACAATAAACTTTTTCTTGGCGAACAATTGAATTGAACTGTTTGTCACTTATTACGGCATCCCCTATATATCATAATATAATCCAAGTATATCATAATTATCCAAGGCAAAAACTCATTTACTTCTCCATTCACAGACATATCATACAACAATGACAATGGGATCGGCCGAACAAATGGAAACGACGAGCAGCAACGAGGACGGGAAAAACGTCTGGCGCGACGTTTTTGGCTCGCCGCGATTCGTCGTGGCACCGATGGTCGACGCGAGCGAGCTGGCCTGGCGCCTGCTGAGCCGACGACACGGCGCCGAGCTCTGCTTCACGCCCATGCTCCATTCCACGATCTTCTGCCGCGACGCGAACTATAGAGCCGCGGGCCTGGCCTCCAGCCCCGAGGATCGGCCGCTCGTCGTGCAGTTCTGCGGCAACGATCCGGACACCCTGCTGAAGGCGGCCCTGCTCGCCGAGCCCTACTGCGACGCCGTCGACCTCAACATCGGCTGTCCCCAGGCCATTGCCAAACGCGGCCATTACGGCGCCTACTTGCAGGACGATTGGGAGCTCTTGACAAAGATCGGTAAGGATAAAAGTTGTTTGTACCCTTAACGCTTCGACAGTATGAGTGTTGTTGATTGATTAATAATTATTATTCGTGCATTTGAATTTTTTCAGTCTCAACCGTTAGCAAAGGAATGCACAAACCTTTCACCTGCAAACTTCGCGTATTCCCCGAGATGGAAAAAACCATCAGGTACGCGAAAACACTAGAAGCTGCGGGCGCCAGCATGCTGACCGTGCATGGTCGCACGAGAGAGCAGAAGGGCCCGATGACCGGCATCGCGTCCTGGGAACACATCAAAGCCATCAAGTACGATTTTCGAATTTTTCATCTTTACGGCAACGACGATGAATACATTTTTAAACCGATCAATAATACGTCTTCTTTTTTCTGCCGTCACCCGTACAGAGAAGCCGTAAAGATACCCGTATTGGCCAACGGCAACATACAGGTCGCGCAGGACGTCGAGCGATGCATCGAGGAGACCGGCGTGGAAGGCGTCATGACGGCCGAGGGCAATCTGTCGAATCCGTTTCTGTTCGAGGGCGTCTATCCGCCCTGCTGGGAGCCCGCCGACGAGTATCTCGACTTGGTCGAGCGCTACACGGCGCCAGCCTCTTATATTCGAGGCCACTTGTTCAAAATGTGCCACAGCGTGTAAGTTTCAGCTCTTTACTTTCTTACGTTAGATGTAGATCTGAGAATTTAATTTGTGGTTTGTTCAAAGGTTTCTTTTGCCAGAAAATGCCGATGTGCGATCCATTTTAGCCCAGAACTCGACCATGGAATCGTTCCGGACGGTGGTGAGAGAGATCAAAAATAGGTATCAACCCTATCACGAGGGTAAAGTAGTATGGAGAGGAGCAAAAGAAGGTTCGTTAATATTCACCTGTCTAAAATCTTTACGTGTAATTTTTATCAATCAATTATTTACATTTCAGATTACAATTTGACGCTGCCACCTTGGTTGTGCCAACCACACGTTCGTGACAGTCCCGAGGAGCACGTGAATAAAGTCGAGTCGAAGAAAGTCGAGCTGGTAAGTTCGTGGATAACTTTTCGTAGCTAACGAAAGTTTTGTAAATTACCTATACGTTTTATGACGCAGGAAAATGCCCCGAAGAAACGCGATTACAAGGACGAGGATGGTAATGAGATATCTCGTAAGCACATGAAAAAGTTGCGTAGAATAGGTCGTCGGCCAAATAGACCAGAAGTGCATACAAAACGCGGTGACAATCTCTGTAAAAGCTGCCCTAATCCTCTGGTGAGTATTTTTGAAACTCAATAAAAAAAAATAAAAATTTTACTAATGATATAACAACATTTTAGGGATCCAAGTGCGAATACAAACTTTGCCGACAGTGCTGTCGTAACAAATGCTATAGCAACAATTTGGATTGCCCTGGGCACAGAAATATGACGAAAACGAGACGGAAAATGGCAATAGAGTTTGCTGCACAAAGAAGTAATGCAGAAAATACAGAGAAAAGCGTCGATATGGTTGAAAATACGAATACTGCTAGCTAATATTTTGTTAACTCTTGAATATATTTGTACATAATGTTCACTATCATGTTATAGTTATATTTTTTGAATATTGAAAGATGATTTATATAATGTCTATATAAAAGAATAACGCTTGTTTAAACTTAAAAAGTATTATTTTATTTTTTTCTAATATTTTTAATTTGCTTAACATTATTGTACAAGATTTTTACAAGAGTCAATTGACTATTTATTTTACAGGCTCGAAAACAGTTGCGTATGATTTCGTCAATTTATAGTTTCGTCAACAATCTTACGCAGACGTCGAATGTATCACCCTAGACATTGCTTCAAGCAATTGGTTTTTTTCGTTAACATCTTTAATTTGTGTACTTTCCGTTTTGTCATTACTGACAAACCAGTGTTTTTTGCTCAACAACATTAACGTCATTAAAATTGGCAAGTGTAACAACGAAAACCTAAACAATCGTCGTGACGTCCTAGCATCACCTTCTCTGTTGAATTCCCATGCTGAAATATTAAAAAAATCTTCAATCAAGTACCTTCATATATTATTAAATAGTTTCAAGCTACTAGTTAAGAGTGTCTTACCAAGATAGAGAAAGTACGCATTCAGTGGTGTAGAAGCTACCGCGAACCACCAATTCGTAACATCCAGTGCAGGTGCGAGATAAGAAAGTGCAGTCAACAACACAGTATAGCGAAACGACGTCCTTCGACATAAATCTGGATTACTAACGGCCATCATTCTATAACCGGCTTTAGAGTAATCGGGCCTCAAGTTCCATGACAGAGCGTTGAAGTGAGGAAATTGCCAAGCGAATAACATACCAGACATTATCCATGCACCAGGCGAGGCTATTGTTCCGACGCAGGCGGCCCATCCCATCAATGGAGGTACTGCTCCAACTGCACATAGGGTTTATTATTTTACCATATTTTTAGAGTTTATCAATTTTATATATAAAAAAAAAATAACTCACCAACTGAACCAACCCATGTGTTGAGAATACTAATACGTTTCAAAGGTGTGTAAATTGATGTGTACAGTAACAAATTAGCACCTCCAAGCACTGCTGTCAGGGTGTTAACGTCGGCTAGAAGAGTAATACCAGCTACGCCAGAAATTGCAGCAAATACAAGTGCATGTTTTGGACTATAATAAAAAAAAATAAATTAATAATTACAAAACAATAGTCTATTTTTTAAAATTGAAATTGAAACTTACGCAAGTAATCCTCTGACTAGAACACGATTTTTGGTTCGAGCCATTTGGGCATCATAAGGAACTTCCATAGATTGATTCACAGCATTAGCAGCAGCTGAAACTAATCCTGTACCCAAAGAGCAAGCCAAGAAGTTGTATACTTCAAATGCTCCAGGAGCAAGTGCATAACCACCCATTGCTGTGATGACAACTAGAGCTGAAAAATTGAGGTATTTTGTTATCCAAATGTTATACATTTTTATTTGGGAGAAAATAATTATAATGATTGGATTGAATTTCAAACAATAATTAAAAATACTTACATGTTAATCTAAATTTAGATAGCATCAAACAGTACTTGTGAAGTTGGGTAGGATCTACTTCAAGTTTACCCCATTTCCACATCTGTGGTTTGCTCACTTCATTATTTACATTATCACTTGAAGTTACACTTTCTTTCTTTAGATATGGGTTTTCAATGTTTGGGGGAATAATTGTTTTAACATCAACAACATGTCGAAATTTACTTTTTTCTCCTACGATGATAATTGGTGGTTCTCTGAACCTTGGAGTCTTGTGTTTTGGTTGAGCTGCACTGGCAGCGTACTAAAATAAGAAAAATGATTTAGTAAACTTGAATTATCAAGGGTCATTGGGAAGTAATAATTGTATACTCACTGTGACACCAATGAATTTTGTCTGAGTAAGACATGTTATCTTTTGACAAAATCTGGTTGAAGCTTGAAAAGCTAATATCATGTTTAATAATTGTCTGCAACTAACAGCCTATCCCTATCATCCTGTAAAATAGAAAATTATTTGTAAATAAGCGATATTTTCACAGTAACATTTTGTGCATCGTCAGCTTGATAAAATAATTCGTTGCACAAATCAAAAACATGTACCATAAAGATATATTATCGAAAAATTCATAGGTAGACACAATAATTCCCGTAGCAGAACACCTAACGAGCACATGCTATATGCTGGACCATCATCATATAGCTCGATCGATAAAAATAAACGGTAAAAGCACATGGAAATCTTTTACAAGACCTTGAGCTTTGGTAAAAATAATGAGCTGAGCTATTCGGTAACTGTTATCTTTATTTGCATATTCAGACACACATCTACATAGACACAAATCACGCGGCAGCAAAGGAGATCGTGGTACCAACTGCATTGTAAAGACCACATTCCTTAAAAGATGATACTCGTGCATCGAAATTCATTTTACATGTCGCGATCTTACGTAAAGGATGAAGAGTTATCAACTTACCTGTGAAACAATCAAGTGGTAATTCGGAGCAATGACAGGATCTCGCGCCGCAACGATAACACGGCACCTGAACCGTTGGTTTTCGTTGTCAACGGAGTTCTCGTTGCATAATTCTCGTGCAGTGCACACGAATGACGACGACGACGTCGACGAACGAACTATCAAGAGTGCACTGTAGAGAATAATTCGAGGTTATGACAGCATTCTTAGCAGTAGCAACTGGGACGTCAAAAAGTGGAAGCCGCGACGGCGCAGCAGAAGAAAAGTTGCAAGGCGGCGGGGCGGGGGGAAAAAGGCCAGTTGGCTTGGGCGCGCAGGCGTGGGTTTTTAATAGGGCCGCGCCATTTTAAAAAGTCGCTGTATGTACCGTCACTCACTGACCGCGTACACCAACAGTCCGAGGCCGGGCGATAGATGTCGCCAGGCGCGGGGTTTCGTCGCCCGCTACACAGATTCGCGGGGCCCCGCGTTGGTGTGTGCGTTGTGTGTGCTGCCGCGACGGCGATATCTCTCCCTCGCGCGCAGCGCAGCGGCTGCGGATGGCGGCGGGTGTGTGCGCTCGCAAATCGACATCGGAATTCTGATTCCGGCGAACAAAAAGGAGCATGAGAGTAAGAGAGAGAGAGAGAGAGAGAGAGAGAAAAGGAGCGCAAGCGCGCCGAGCAGCGCGCGCAGCCCCCGTCGACCAGTGGGAGAGTTTTGTGCTTGTGCCGCAATGTTCGATACCGAGTTTGCCGGGCAGCAGACAAAGACAGACTCGCCTCGCAGTCGCTAGTTCGGTTTACGAATTTATCTTTCTGCCTCGCATACGGACGTACACACGGGAGCCATGCGTATGTGTGTGTGTGTGTGTGCGTTGCGCGTACTGTGCCTGCTGCCGTTGGCGTGTAAACTGTATAGAGTGCGTTAGCGTCTCCTTTCCGATAAACGCGCTACTATATAGTAGCAGTTCGCCGAGGAGCCGCTTTAGCCGGACGCCGCTATAATCTCCCCGTGTCTGCGATATGCCATATACACACATACAGCACCTATATGTTGTCTGTTGAGCGCACACATACAAAAACGCTCTCGCTACTCCGTTCTGCAAAGCGGCGCAGCGGCTCGACGGCAAAACAGACTTCGGACTTGTACTCGCGCGCGCGTTGGCGAAAAAGAGAAAGACGATTTCTGTCTCTCTCTGTACATATACCTGAGTGTATATAATTTGCTGATACTCGTCTAACGCACACATATATCTCGTACGAAACTATACATCGCACGGCAATCGGCATCCCCGACGACGTCGGACGACGACGACTCATGCACACGAATAAGCTGCGACGTTCGATGCGATTTAATGCACACATGCACGTATTCGTGCATCGTACATGTGAACATGAAACACATAACGAACTGCAGCAGTTGCAGTTGAGTGAGAGAGAGAAAGAGACGATTTCGATTGGCTGACGCAGAGTTCGCAAAATCGTGCTCCATACGTTATTTTCCTCTCTTGGCTCGTTGGCGCGTTTCTTGCTTTCGAAGCCACAAATGGCATGGAACATTATGAATTGTAACATTTTGACGTTGAAAATCCACCGTATGATTATACATTCCGTCAAAATTATTGATGAAATAATTGACTCGACTAAAATTATAATACATGTATAGCGAGTAAACATAACAAGTACGTTATTTCGACAAACGTATTTGCTTGGACTTTCAGAGTCTCTGCAAGCGCGCGCGCGTCTCTGTGTTGTATATGTATACAGTAAACGGCAACTATACTATCTCAAAACGCACACATGCACGTATAGATGCGAGGCAGAAGTAGGTAGGGTTGCGATCTTGCTCGGCGCGCTATACATCGGCGAGTGCGTGTGTGCATCATCGCCAATTGCAAAACTCGCCGCATATAAGCGAACGACGACGACGACGGGCGAAGAAGAGAAGCCCGCAACGGAGCACACAGCACGGCACAACTCGCGCGCGTGCCCCTTTCGTATGTGTATGTGTGCATGCACGTACGTACGTTCATAAAGTTCATTCGTGGCGCGCGTGTGCTTTAACGTCAGTGAGTCTTGTTGTTGTCGTGGTGGTAGTAGCATAGCGCACACATAACAACACACGGCACGTATTTGCACGGCTGTATGCGTGCGTCTGTGTTAAAAGCATAATCATCAATCTACTACGCTGAACAACAGCAGCAGCAGCCTAGCCTCTACTGCGGCTAAACTACTGTGCTGCATGAAGCTGAGCGTATATAATAGTGCTCAACTGCGACGTACGTGATTTTTCATTGCAAAAAAAAAACAGAGAGACTGCCTGCGTCGTTGTAACGCGGACGCGGAAAATTTCGAAACCCAAGATTTACACTCTGTATAATATTTATAACTGTATGTTATTTTTTATATACGGCCGAGTGAAGCTGCAACGAGCTCGTAGAGTAGACCGCTGTAAAGAAAAGGAAAGGAGTCAAAAAAGAGAAAAAGACACGCATACACACAACTTTACACACAAAGTGTAGAACAAAATCGAGTAATTTTGCTACGTGTATATACGGTCAAAACATTTTTTACACTGAGCTCGACGAGGCGAGAAACCTAGCCTCTTTTACAGCCGCGCGACTTTTTACATATCTCCGTCTACATGCTGGCCAAGCGATTTCGACAACGGCGCGCGTCCGTGTGTTGCGGCGCGACTGTGTCTTCATATAACTTGTAAATATTCAACACACACACACACACACACACACACACACACACGGCACACATACACGACGAAAATAAAATATACGGCGCGTCGTTGTGTGCGTGTGTGTGCCGCCGCTGTCGACTCGATTCGTCGTCGTCTACGTCGCTGTGTGTATACTGTGACTACTGCCTGCCGCCTCTGCGCGCCGCTGTGTATTGGTGCTGCTGCTGCTTTTTCGCTCTCGTCGTAGTGCGCGCCCGCGCCGCTCCGCTCCGTTCTCGCGTATATGTGTGCGAGTTTATATCATAACCCAAGCGCGCACGTAGCCACACGAGAAAGAGAGAGACAGCGAGACTCTCGCTCCGATCCGCGCAGTGGCGAAATTAAGGTTATGTAAAGAGAGGAGAGAAGCACAAGTAGGCGCGCTGGGAGAGCGAGCGAGACCGAGCGACGTACTGTACAGTGTATAGAGGCAGGCACACTATACAACCATAACCCACGGAGAGCGAGAGCCGAGAACGAACGAACGAACGAACGAACGTACGAGCGCGAGTGCGAGAGAGACGGAGAGCTACGTAGAGAGACTCGTCGTGCTCGTATACGCTCGCTCGCTCCGTGCACAGAGAGTCGTCGGAAGTGTACTGTGCGTATGTATATCGCCGCGTTATATAGCCTAGCCTGGCACTGTGCGCTTTCTGTGTATTAAGCCCACAAGAGAGCCGAGCAAAAGAGAGAAAGAGAGAGAGAGAGAGAGAGCGCGAGTTATATTATATATCACAAGTGAACGAGGAGCGTTTGGAAAAAGTTGAGCAATCGGCCTCAGTGCAGTGGATGTCGTATGCGTGTGCATCCCGCGACGCAAAGACGATATCGTTCGGCACACCAGTTTCATACATCGCGAGGAGCCAGCAAAAGTCGCCGAGAGAGCTGCTCTGCTGCGCTCCCCGAGCCACGTCGTGCATTGTGTGCGTGATCGACTCGTGTGTGCGTCCGAGTGTGCGTGTATATTTTTCACGTATATATATATTGCCCGACCAGTGCGTGCCCCTGTGTGTGAGTGTGTACGTGTGCGCGCATTAGCAAAAAGATATACTACTCGATATACGTGCAAAAAGTAATACAATATTCAATAATAATATCAACGCCGTGCACGGAGCGCGAGAAAGAGTCTCGCTGTGCGTGTCTGTATATGTGCCGTGCTCTGCTACACTGCTAAAAACTCCTTGGTGCCGTGCGCGCTTGTATTATATGGACGCGGACCCATCCTTGCTCCTGCTTGGGCCGTGCCTGTGCCGACGTCGTCGCTGACGCTCATCGCATTGTAACGGAGGCGCGGGTCGCCCTCAACGACAACGACGACGACAACAACCACAACAACAACAACAATAACAACATCATCGGTAGCAGCATCGAGTCTGCGTCGACAAGGAGTCGTCGGCCGCCGCCTGCAGCGAACCTCTCGACAACACAGATATATTACATACATACATACCGAATACACACACACAGACACGCGCGAGTCGTAGCAGCAGCATTATAGCAGCAGATCGGCGCGCGGATCACGACGACGACGACGACCACGACGACGACCGACACGCGATTCGTTAGTGTGAGGAGGCATGCACGCTGCCGCCGTTACTGGCTCGGCTGACACGGCCGTACGCCGGCGATGATTCGCCATCCTCGGCACCGCGTAACCTGGCATCATCGACTCGCACCCATTAACGTCGTCGCCTACAACGCCGCAGCGACAGCAGCAGTGCTGAACAGTAACGACGTCGCAAATCGCCACAACGTCATCGTCATCGACGACCTGAGCCGCCGCCGCTGTTGTCCGACGACGAGCAGCCGTCGACGTCGACGATGAGCAGCGGCCGCAAAGTAAGTAGAGCGCCCAAGCAGCCGCGAGGCGGAGGAGGACAGGCCGGCGGCGGCGGCGGAGTAGCCGCTGCACAGTCACAGCCACCGGCCGTACCAGCCGCGACCACGGCCGGCTACAATGGAGCCGCTGCCAACGCGTGCCGGGATGCCGCTGTGCGCCGTCGGCTGAACGCCGCGGCCGGTGCCGCGCAGCAGCAGCAGCAACCCGACAATGACGACGACTCGTCCTCGCCCGCGGCGACCAACTGGACCAACAGTCCCCAGACGAACATGACCAGCTCGTCGCCGCAGCCCATGCCGCCACCGCAGCCGCCGGGGCCGCCCACGAATTCTTCGCAGCCTGGACAGATGGGCCCGCCACCACCGCAGGCGCCTTCGCCCCACAGCAGTCACCCCCACAGTCCAGCGTCTGGCTACCAGGATCAGTCGATGCCACCCATGCAGCCTGGCCAACCAAATAATAACCAGCCACAGCATCCTATGGCACAGCAAAATCCAAACATGTTTCCACCTCATCATCCTGGTAAGCCCATCACTTGACATGTGCTCTTAACCAAATACTTTCTTTGTCGTTTCTCCTCTCGTTGCATGTTTAACCGCTATAAATGATTAACTTAGTTCTTTGACAGAGCACATAATCATTCTCATATTTTCTTGTTTGATAATCTTATGGTTTTGTGCTCCCACTTGGTCAATGGTACATGTGTTGTCTGCTTGACCTTGTCATTGTTTTTGTTTATATTTTGATAATAACTGAGCCACTGGCATTCTATCTAATACTTGTCTCAGTCGTGCTTAAGCTTACTGATATGACTTATTAAGAAAATTCTTGTGACAGTATGAACCTCGATAGTTTTATAAATGAAACAAGTAAGATTTTTATAAATTATTTTAAAATATTATCTTGAAGAAACAAATTTTATTTCAGCATGTTTTTATTTTCTCATCTATATTGATAAAACTCTTATACATGTCAATGCGAGCTGTAAACTAATTATTATTTTCTTTTAGGGCAACCGCCTCAAGGATATGGAGGTCCACCGATGCCTCCAATGGGCCATCATCAACAGCCTCCACCACAAGGCTATGCAGGACATCCTCATCAAATGCCCCCACACATGGGTATGCCACCCCCTCCACATCCTTCACATGGTCCATCACAGGGTTACGATGGATCACAAATGCAAGGAGGACCACCCCAGCAGCAGCCCCCTTCACAACCTGGAGGATACCCTCACTCTGGGCATCAAGTTCCTCCGCATCCACAATCGTCGCACCCATCGCAGCAGCATCCTCCTCCCCCGCAATCGCCTCATCAGCAAGGACCGCCGCATTCGCACTCGCAGTCGCCGCATCTGCAAGGGCCACCACATTCGCAGTCGCCACATGGGCCTGGCCCTCATCAGCAGTCGTCGCATATGCAAGGTCCGCCACATCCACAGTCGCCTCACCCCCAACAAGGGCCTCCTCCACATTCGCAATCGCCGCATCCGCAAGGTCCACATGCGCCATCACCTCATCAGCAGATGCAGGGACCACATGGGCAACCATCACATCAACAACAGGGACCACCACCCCACCAGCAGCCTCCTCCACACCAACAGGGTCCACACTCTCAAGGACCACCCCCTCATCATCAAGGTCCTCACCCTCAAGGACCTCCGCATTTGCAATCGCACCATCACCAACCACCCCATCAAATGCCACACCAACCTCCACAAGGGCCCCCACATTCGGGTCCGCATTCCGACCAACACCAAGGAATGCATCAGCCCCCGCATGGACTGTCACACCAACAGCACCCGCATCAGTCTCAGATGCCTGGTCCACAATATTACCAGCATCATCCTTCACAAGGAAATAGTGGAGGTATGGGACAAGGACCGGGTCATCCTGGTTCTGCACCAGGGCCGCAACAGCAATCTACTCCACAAGGAGGCCCAATGATGGGTCATGGGCCTTCTGGTCATTCTGGACCGTCGCCTTCGCCAGGACCTGGCATACCTCATCCATCAGAGATGAGACAAAATTTGGGTACGCCAAGTAATTGATTTTACGAATGAAAACTAAGAATTTGTTCACACAATTTTTACATACAATGATTCAATTACTAATGAATTATTTTATAAATATTGTTTATTGTTTTACATCAATTTTAAATAGCTCGTGTTCAAATAACTCTGCTGTGTAATACTTACGTAAATTATGATTATTTTTGCACAGTAAAGGCTACATTTTAATATTCTAAGATACTAACATTTTGTTAATATTTGCAGGAAATCAACAACAACCACCTGTAGGTCCAGGAGGTCCAATAAATGCAGGTGGCCCTGGAGGTCCCATGAGTTCTAGTGGACAAATGGGTCCTGGAGGACCAAATAGTTCAATGAGTGGCAGTGGCCCTGGTGGTCCAATGCCTCCAGGAAGCTCTATGGGACCTGGTGGGCCAATGAACGTCGGTGGACAAGGAGGTCCGCTAGGCCCTGGAAATCATCAAGGACCTATGAGTGCTGGAGGACCCATGAACAGTGTGACACCAGGAGGTCCTATGGGTGCTAATGCAAATAATCCTATGGGCCCAGGAGGGCCTATGGGATCTGCTGGACCAATGGTCAGTGGTCCTGGAGGACAAATGTCAAGTGGACCCGGTGGACCAATATCTAGTGGACCTGGAGGACCTATGGGTCCAAGTGGTCCTCTAGGTGGACCAAACGTCGCAATGAGTAACAGTGGTCCTGCAGGTCCAATGGGCATTTCTGGCCCAGGTGGACCAATGAATGCTGGTGTTCCAATGGGCCCTGGAGGTCCTATGGGACCAGGAGGTCCTCCACCAATGGGACATCCAAGTGCAGTTCATCAAGGTCCTTCTTCTCATCAAGGCCCCCTTGGTCATCAGGGACCGCCAGGCCATCAAGGACCACCTGGTCATCAAGGACCGCCTGGCCATCAAGGCCCCCTTAGTCATCAAGGTCCGCCCAGTCATCAGGGACCACCTGGTCACCAAGGGCCTCCCGGACACCAGGGACCACCAAGTCATCAGGGTCCGCCTGGTCATCAAGGACCGCCCGGCCATCAAGGGCCACCAAGTCATCAAGGACCGCCTGGCCATCAAGGACCGCCCGGTCATCAAGGACCACCGAGTCATCAAGGGCCACCCGGTCATCAAGGACCGCCTGGCCATCAAGGTCCACCAGGACATCAAGGGCCAGGTCATATCAGTGCAAATGTGCAAAATGGACCTTCACCCGCACCAATGTCAGGTCCTGGTATTATGACTGGACCTGGACCCGGCCCAGGACCCGGCCCCGGTCCTGGTCCCGGACCTGCTCCACTACCAGGCCAAGGACAAGAAAATTTACACGCTTTACAGAAAGTAATAAATACAATGGAAAAGAAAGGACTTCAAGAAGATCCAAGATATCTTCAATTATTAGCACTACGATCTCGCCAGAGCATAGGTGAAAATAGTCCACTTTCTCCTCAGCAACTTCAACAGTTTCATGCACAGTTGATAGCATATCGGATATTGTTGCGAAATCAACCTTTGAGTCCGCAACAAATAATGGCTGTACAAGGTCAAAGACCAACAGAACCTAATCAAAGTCCAATGGGGCCAACTGTTCCTCCAGGTGCTCCACCTCCTCCTCATGGGCCTATGGGAATGCCTGGATTTCCCCCAGGTCCACCTAGGATGGGCCCTGGCGGTCCACCGCCACAAATGCATCCACAGCAGCAACCAGGTCCTCCACATATACAGCAACAGCAGCAGCAGCAACAACAGCAGCAACAACAACTGCAACAACAACAACAACAACATCAGCAGCAGCAACAACAGCAGCAACAGCAACAACATCAGCAAGGTCCACAAGCGGGAAAAGGCATCAAAGTGACCACTATGTGTAGGCCACCAGGCATCGATCCACTAGAAATCTTGGATGAACGTGAAACTAGGATAGCCCGAAATATTTCTATACGCATTCAACAGTTGAGCAATTTACCCCCTAATTTGCCAGACGATTTACGTAGTCAAGCCATGACGGAGCTGCGAATGTTGCGATTACTCGATTTCCAAAGGCAGCTTAGATCGGAGATCGTTACTTCAACTCGTCGAGACACGACTCTCGAAACGGTCGTAAACATGAAAGCGTATAAACGCGCAAAACGACAAGGTCTGCGAGAAGCTCGAGCAACGGAAAAACTCGAAAAGCAGCAAAAGCTCGAAGCCGAAAGAAAACGAAAACAAAAACACCAGGAATTCTTGACCGCAGTATTGCAACATGGTAAAGATTTGAAAGAATATCACCGAAACAATATGGCTAAATTGGCAAGGCTCAATAAGGCAATCATGAATTATCATGCTAATGCGGAGCGAGAACAGAAGAAAGAGCAAGAGAGGATAGAAAAAGAACGTATGCGTCGTCTCATGGCCGAGGATGAAGAGGGTTACAGAAAACTTATCGATCAAAAGAAAGACAAACGTCTAGCCTTCCTCCTATCACAAACTGACGAGTACATTGGCAATCTCACAGAAATGGTTAAACAACACAAGATTGAGCAGAAAAAGAAACAATATGAAGAACAAAAACGTAAGAAAAAGAAGAAGAGATTATCAATGGACGGTGAAAATGGTGAAGGCATTGACGGTGAAGACGTTCGAGTCGAAGTCCTTGAAACGGCAACAGGTCGCACATTGACCGGTGACGATGCTCCTCTCATGAGCCAACTTAATGCATTTCTCGAGTCTCATCCTGGTTGGGAAGCCGTCGAAACTGATAGCGAAGATGACGAAGAAGACGAAGAAAATGATGACGGCGAAAATAACAAGGATAAGAACGAAAAGACTGCCAATGAGATAGTGAAGGTGAAGAAGACCATTGAAAAGGCCAAAGTTGAAGACGATGAGTACAAAACAGAAGAGCAAACTTATTACAGTATAGCCCACACAGTTCACGAGAGCGTTACGGAACAAGCCTCGATAATGGTTAATGGGCAGCTCAAAGAATATCAAGTCAAGGGTCTCGAATGGATGGTATCACTCTTTAATAACAATCTCAATGGTATTCTCGCCGACGAGATGGGTCTCGGAAAAACTATACAGACCATAGCCCTTGTGACGTATCTCATGGAGAAGAAAAAAGTCAACGGGCCTTTCCTCATTATCGTTCCTTTGTCAACGCTGTCAAATTGGATATTAGAATTTGAAAAATGGGCGCCCAGTGTCGTCGTTGTATCTTATAAGGGATCTCCAGCTGGCAGAAGAGCGATACAATCGCAAATGCGTGCCACTAAGTTTAATGTACTATTGACTACTTATGAATACATTATAAAAGACAAAAGTGTCTTAGCTAAGCTGCAGTGGAAGTACATGATCATAGACGAAGGTCACAGAATGAAAAATCATCATTGTAAATTAACTCAAGTTTTGAATACACATTATCTCGCACCTCATCGTCTGTTGTTAACCGGAACGCCACTGCAAAACAAACTCCCAGAGCTTTGGGCCCTGTTGAATTTCTTACTTCCATCGATCTTCAAGTCGTGCAGTACTTTCGAGCAGTGGTTCAACGCACCTTTCGCGACCACTGGCGAAAAAGTCGAGCTTAACGAAGAAGAGACGATACTTATTATTCGGCGTTTACATAAAGTTTTGCGTCCTTTCCTGCTGAGACGTCTTAAGAAAGAAGTCGAGTCTCAGCTGCCTGACAAAGTAGAGTATATAATTAAGTGTGATATGTCTGGCTTGCAAAAAGTTCTTTATAGGCATATGCAAAGTAAAGGCGTTTTACTGACTGATGGATCTGAGAAAGGCAAACGTGGCAAAGGCGGCGCGAAAGCCTTAATGAATACAATTGTACAGCTTCGTAAACTTTGTAATCATCCATTTATGTTTCAACATATAGAAGAAAAATACTGTGAATTTTTAGGTATTCACGGCACCGGCATTATCACTGGGCCACTTTTGTACCGAGCGTCTGGCAAATTTGAATTATTAGATCGTATCCTTCCTAAACTAAAGGCGACGAATCATAGGGTACTACTGTTCTGTCAAATGACCCAGCTAATGACGATAATGGAGGATTATCTCAATTGGCGAGGTTTTATGTATTTAAGATTGGACGGAACGACAAAAGCAGAAGACAGAGGGGATCTTCTGAAGAAGTTTAACGATCCAGGATCAGAATATTTCCTATTTATACTGTCTACTAGAGCTGGAGGGCTTGGTTTGAATCTTCAGGCTGCAGATACTGTAATTATTTTTGATTCTGACTGGAATCCTCACCAAGACTTGCAAGCTCAAGATAGAGCTCATCGAATTGGGCAGAAAAATGAAGTACGAGTATTACGATTAATGACTGTGAATTCTGTAGAAGAAAGAATTTTGGCTGCTGCTAGATATAAGCTCAACATGGACGAAAAGGTCATTCAGGCGGGTATGTTTGATCAAAAGTCTACTGGCTCTGAGCGACAGCAATTCCTGCAGAGCATTTTACATCAAGACGATGCCGAGGACGAAGAAGAAAATGAAGTACCAGACGACGAGACTGTGAACCAAATGATTGCAAGGTCTGAAGGCGAATTCGAATCTTTCCAAAAGCTCGACTTGGAGAGAAGGAGAGACGAAGCCAAATTAGGACCTGCCAGAAAAGGACGTTTGCTCGAAGAATCTGAACTTCCCGAATGGTTAGTTAAAAACGATGACGAAGTTGAAAAATGTTGTTACGACGAAGAAGATGAAAAAATTCTGGGAAGAGGTTCGAGGCAACGTAAAGAGGTTGATTACACGAATAGTTTAACAGAAAAAGAACTGATGAGAGCTATCGGTGATGACGGATGTGAATTTGAAGAGGAAGAAGAGGAAGACAAAAAGAAAAAGCAAACACGGAAAAGAAGAAAGAAAGGTGACGAAGATGATGAACCCATTGTTAAAAAGCGAAGAGGTCAATCGGGAATGAATCCAAAACTAAAAAGGTGTATGAAAAAAATCATGTCAGCCGTAGTGAACTATACAGAATCTGATGGTAGAGAACTAAGTGAGCCATTTATGGAATTGCCGTCGCGTCGAGAATTTCCAGATTATTACGAAATAATCAAGAAGCCCCTGGCGATCAATAAACTATTGCAAAAGATCGACGAGGGCAAGTACACGGACTTGGACGAACTCGAGAAGGATTTTATGCAGCTTTGCAAAAACGCACAAATATACAACGAGGAAGCGTCGCTAATCCACGAGAACTCAATTGTTTTGCAGTCTGTTTTTACAAATGCACGACAAAAAGTCGAGGCCGAAGGTACGGGCTCCGACGACAATAAAGACGGTGATGATGGATCAGACGCAGAATCTAACTCCAGAATGAAGATCAAAATGAAGGGTAGAAAAAGCGAAGGCGGTGGCCGTGGAGGCCGAAGAAAGAGAATAAGTAAAAAATGTATTTCTGATGATGATGATGCGGATGATCATTGAAGTGTATATAAGCTTTAGAAATCTGTAAGGTTTTAAATTATATTTCGATAAATTTTTCTTATAAGTATAATTCATGATTTTAAGACACCGAAAGTCGATAAAAAGCTAAATCAATTTTTTAAAAAAAGAAAAAACAACCAGCTGTAGGAAATTATAGGCATTTTTTTAATTTTAGGTAAACTTATAGTAAAAAAATAGACTTGAATTTCCTTCTATCGTCCTAATTATAATTTTGTCTGTAACCGAGAACTTTCACAGAATGGTAATTGTGTATATTAATTATATACAGTAAATGAGATAGATCGTACATAATATATAAATCTGATTGTTATTTCTTTCACATACCTACTTCTCAAGCTCCTTTAATGAATTATTCTTCTCTTTCCCCCAATCTATGTACAAATTGAAAAAATTTCTTTTTTTTGTGAATATTAAAAATTATTGTTATCTTAAAGAAAATTAATTGCTTAATATTAATTATGAACGTTAGAACATATAATTTATAAGTTTTTTTATTTTATCAAGTAATGAAATTATAATAAATTATACAAAGGACATTAAAAAAAAATTTAATAAACGCGTTAGTGTATCAATAAAACAGATCCTTTCCCAATTTCATCTTCCTTTCAATCTAGAGAGAATACATTTCACACTTGTAAAAGACCAATTGATGTGGTTCATACTTCATATCGATCGATACTACGAAGCATAAAAAAAAATTAAAAGGAAAATAGTCGAGCAACCACTTGGACGTATTTTCCCGGTCGCATCGTGTAGAATTTTTTCATGTAAAGCCGTATCATCGTCGTATAAGTGTTCATAAAAATTCTCATTGCATGTATGTGTGATATAAGTCGGAGCAATAATCTAGAATCCGGAGTCGTCTCGGTGACTTTAATACGAAACGTTTCACAACGCGGCCAGCAGCATGAGCATGCGATCATGATGCGGTGGCGGCTCATAGAGCGGCGACGTCGACGACCAGCACAACTGCGATTGTGCTACATGGCGCGCTTATGCATGAGATAGAGCGAAGCTTGTATAAGAGGTAATGTATTTTTTGAGTTTTTTAAGCTCGTCGTGGCATCGGCAAACGCCACGAGCAAATATTTCCAAGCAAAGGAGCGCATGGCATCGCATTAGACCGGGTCGCATAGCGGCGCGACGTTGCACACAGCGTGATAATCTCAATTTGAAAATTATGCAAGCAGCGGGCAGAGGCAAAACGAGTCGTCGAAGCCACTATATATAAAGCATACATGTCGAGCAAGCAATGATATCATGCAAAGATGATGCCGCTTCGGCTTCGCGAAGTCTCCTTTGCTCTCGAGATACAAGATGACGCACGATGCGACAAAAAAAAGATGAAATCATCTCTCACGCCATTACGTTGCGAGAGAGCGCGACGGTTGACAGCGACACGCAGAGCCGACGCCTGCACAGTAGCAGCAGCAGTAGCAGCACTAGCAGCAGGCTCCCCCACTCTCAGCCTAACAACAACGCGCTGCTTTTTGCAACCGTAGCGTAGTGTAGAGTCTCTCCCTCTTTTTTAGAGGCTATACACAGCAAAGATTCGGGCTTTAGGTTATGCTTTCACGTCGTCGGCAACTAATTCAGCGACCAAAGTCGTATCTGTGCATTGTAAATATCGAAAACGCTTGACGAGACAGGTTGACGGCTCGCGCGCGCTAATAATTTCGCCGCTACGATACAAAAATACTGCATTCGCTCGACTGGACCTGCACGATTTAAGAAACAGGACGAATTGTGTTACTACATGCATACGTGTTATACGTTGGGCTTTTTCTGTTGTACTTAATGCGTGTATGAGTAGCGTCTACGAGTGCGATTCTAGGCTTCGTTGTGCGAAAAATGAAGGTTTTACGTTCCGAAACTCGAGTTTGATGAATTTGAGACTATAATAAAGTTCAACGATATAGCGAACAATGGCGAGTCCACCTGAACAACTTTCGCCGTTGACGCCATCCACTTCTGTTAATCAGGACAGCCCAATGGGTATTTTGAACCAGCAACCTAGTCCGGTGTCGATCCAACAACAACAACAGCAGCAGCAGCAACTTACTTTTAATGTGACTGCAAATCAACAGCAGACTTTGACAATGACTCTGAATCAGTTGACAAGTGCACCTCAACAAAGCCCAAGCCCTCAGAGTTTTGATAGTCAATCAGCTAATCAAACCTCGTTGATGCAACAATCAGCACAGCCACAGTTCATACAGATGCCTGTTATGGCTCACAATAACCATAATTCCGTAGTTCAACAGCCTGTGGGAAATTTAAAACAAGATGGACAAATTCACAATATTCAATTAGATCAAAATGGACAGTGCGATACTCCACCCCTACCAGGATCATCTTTGCAAGGTCAAATTACATTGAGTACAGGTAAATTGAATTATTTTAAAACATTTTTAAAGTACTGTTTCTAATTCTAAAATATTGTTCTTTTTTTTTTATTGTAATGCATGCTATGTCATATTAATTGGTAATATTAGAGCAATGTGACTACTGTGTTGATAATATTTATTCAAACTTATAAATTTATATTTAAAAAGTCTATTATTGTTATAATCATTGCATTAAATGAAATCAAATTTTTACAGGCAATCAATCACAACCTACAAGCAATGGTTCATCCTCAATGATCAATGGTTCAATTGATTCTCCTTTATCCAATGGATCTTCAAACCTTTCAAATCCTAATAAAAAATCAGATTACCAATCATTACTTAAAGCGATTCAAGTAATGGAAGAAAAAGGATTACAAGAAGATCCAAGATATTTTCAACTTTTAGCATTAAAAGAACGTCATTTCGAAAACCCTGTAGAAAACAAGCAGTCATTAAACAGCCAACAGATTCATCAGCTACGAGCTCAAATAATGGCATATCGAGTTTTAGCACGTAATCAACCTCTCACTCAAAGTCAAATTGCTGCTGTGCAAGGTATTAAAACTGAAACAAGCTCAACTGTAAATCAACCACCAAATGGAATAACAGGTCCACCGAAGCCAGGGCAAGGTCCTCCACAAGTAGGAATTTTTACAAAGAATAAACTAGCACCTTCAGGTAAACCCGCTCCTGTTGATCCACTAGTCATAATTCAAGAAAGAGAAAACCGAGTTGCATCAAGAATAGCTCTGCGTATGGAACAACTCAATTACCTGCCTACTAATATGCCTGAAGATCTTCGTACTCAAGCCCAAATTGAGCTTGGAATGCTTAGGGTCTTAAATTTCCAAAGACAACTTAGAAGTGAAATTATAGCTTGTACTCGCAGAGATACTACTCTTGAAACAGCCGTTAATGTTAAGACAAATAAACGATCTAAGCGTCAAGGACTTCGAGAAGCTAGAGCTACAGAGAAACTCGAGAAACAGCAGAAGTTGGAAGCAGAAAGAAAAAAGCGTCAAAAACACCAAGAATTCCTCAGTTGTGTGTTGCAGCATAGTAAAGATTTCAAAGAATTTCACAGAAATAATGTTGCACGAATGGGTCGAATTAATAAAGCTATTCTTACTCATCATGCTAACGCAGAAAGAGAACAGAAGAAAGAACAAGAAAGGATAGAAAAAGAACGTATGCGTCGTCTTATGGCTGAAGATGAAGAGGGTTACAGAAAACTTATTGATCAAAAGAAAGATAAACGTCTAGCGTTCCTTCTATCACAAACTGATGAGTATATATGTAATTTAACTGAGATGGTTAAACAACACAAAATGGAACAGAAAAAGAAACAAGTTGAAGCAGAAAAGAGAAAGAAAAAGAAGAAAAGATATCAGGATGGTGAATTAGGAGATGGTGAAGATGAGAATAGTCGGGTTAGTGTGGTAGAAATAGCCACTGGTCGAACTCTGAGTGGTGAAGATGCTCCAACAGTTGCTCAACTCAATTCGTTTTTGGAATCTCATCCTGGTTGGGAACCAATGGAATCTGACAGTGAATATGAAGATGATGAAGATGAAGACAGTAATGAAGAGAAGAAAATGAGAGATAATGAAGCTGAAGAAGAAGAGGAGAAAGTCAAGAAAACCATTCAGAAAGCTAAAGTTGAAGATGATGAGTACAAAACTGAAGAACAAACTTATTATAATATTGCTCACACTATCAATGAAACAGTTACCCAGCAAGCATCTATAATGGTTAATGGAAAACTAAAAGAATATCAAATTAGAGGTCTTGAATGGATGGTTTCATTATTTAATAACAATCTTAATGGTATTTTAGCTGATGAGATGGGTCTGGGTAAAACAATTCAAACTATATCTTTGATAACTTATCTCATGGAGAAAAAGAGAGTGAATGGCCCGTTTCTTATTATTGTTCCGTTATCTACTCTTTCAAATTGGATGCTCGAATTTGAAAAATGGGCTCCAAGTGTTGTTGTTGTTTCGTATAAGGGGTCTCCAGCTGGCAGAAGAGCGATACAATCTCAAATGCGTGCCACTAAGTTCAATGTACTACTGACTACTTATGAGTACATTATAAAAGACAAAAGTGTCTTGGCCAAGTTACAATGGAAATACATGATTATTGATGAGGGTCACAGAATGAAAAATCATCACTGTAAATTAACTCAAGTTCTGAATACACATTATCTGGCATCTCATCGTCTACTTCTAACTGGAACACCGTTGCAAAACAAACTTCCAGAGCTTTGGGCGCTGTTAAATTTCTTACTTCCATCGATCTTTAAGTCGTGCAGTACTTTCGAGCAGTGGTTCAACGCACCTTTCGCGACCACCGGTGAAAAAGTCGAGCTTAACGAAGAAGAGACGATACTTATTATTCGGCGTTTACATAAAGTTTTGCGTCCTTTCCTGCTGAGACGTCTCAAGAAAGAAGTCGAGTCTCAGCTGCCTGACAAAGTAGAGTATATAATTAAGTGTGATATGTCTGGGTTACAAAAAGTTCTTTACAAACATATGCAAAGTAAAGGTATTTTGCTTACTGATGGATCAGAAAAGGGTAAACGTGGAAAAGGTGGTGCAAAGGCTTTAATGAACACAATTGTACAACTCCGCAAACTTTGTAATCACCCTTTCATGTTCCAAGCTATTGAAGAAAAATATTGTGAACATAAAGGTATTCCAGGAGGTGGTCTCATAAGTGGACCAGATCTATACAGAGTATCTGGCAAATTTGAGCTTTTAGATAGAATTTTACCAAAATTGAAAGCTACAAATCATAGAGTATTATTGTTTTGTCAAATGACCCAGTTGATGACCATTATGGAAGATTATTTAAATTGGCGTCAATTTAAATATCTTAGATTGGATGGTACTACAAAATCCGAAGACAGAGGTGATCTTTTGAAAAAATTCAATGATCCAGGATCAGATTATTTCCTATTTATTCTGTCTACTCGTGCTGGAGGTCTTGGGTTAAATCTACAAGCTGCGGACACTGTTATTATCTTTGATTCAGATTGGAATCCTCATCAAGATTTGCAGGCTCAAGACAGAGCTCATCGAATTGGTCAGAAAAATGAAGTACGAGTATTACGATTAATGACTGTGAATTCAGTTGAAGAGAGAATTTTAGCTGCTGCCAGATACAAGCTCAATATGGACGAAAAAGTCATCCAAGCTGGTATGTTCGATCAGAAATCTACGGGCTCCGAGCGTCAGCAATTCCTTCAAACGATTTTGCATCAAGATGACGCTGACGACGAGGAAGAAAATGAAGTACCCGATGACGAGACTGTGAACCAAATGATTGCCAGGTCTGAAGGCGAATTTGAATCTTTCCAAAAACTCGATACAGAAAGAAGACAGCAAGAAGCTGCGATGGGAATCAGGACGCGTCTACTCGACGAAAGCGAACTTCCAGAATGGCTTACTCAAGATGAAGAAGACGTTGAGAAATGGGCCTACGAAGAAGATGAAGATAAAGTGGTATTTGGACGTGGTTCGAGACAACGAAAGGAAGTCGACTACACCAATAGCCTTACTGAAAAAGAGTGGCTCGAAGCGATTGGGGAAGAAGTCGAAGGTGGCGAGGAAGAAGAGGACAACGATAGAAGAAATAAGAAGGGATCGAGAAAACGAAAGAGGAAAGGCGACGAAGACGATGATCTGATGCCGAAGAAAAGGAAAAATTTGATCGATCCAAAACTGAAAAAGTGTATGAAAAAGATCATCAGCTGCGTTATATCTTACAATGACACACCCGACGGTCGTGCAGTGAGCGAAATATTTATGGATCTACCGCCTCGTCGTGACTTCCCGGATTATTACGAAATCATCAAGAAGCCACTCTGCATAAACAAGATACTGCAAAAGATAGACGACGGCAAGTATCCGGATTTGGACGAACTCGAAAAGGACTTTACGCAGCTATGCAAAAACGCTCAGATCTACAACGAAGAAAAGTCAATGGTCTACGAGAACTCGCTCGTTCTGGAGAAGATCTTTGAAAACGCACGCAAAAAGCTAGAGGCAAAGTTCTTGGCGGATAAGGCCGAACGCGAGGCCAGGGAAGCGTCCCACATTGCGGCCGTCGAGGCGACCGGCAGCAACGACGACACGACCGATCCGAGCGTGAAGATGCGCATCAAGCTGAAAAGTCGTAAGAGCGAAGCCACGCAGAGTACAAGCGCGCCCAGCACGAGTCGTGGTGGTCGGAGAAAGAAAGCAGCCAAAAAGTTTATGTTCGATGACGACGATGAAGACGACGAGCCCGTCAATCCGTTGGTGATCGCCGGGGACAACTGACAGGAGGAGTCCGAGTCGACTGTTGAGGAATCTGAAATGCCATCGTGAAACGCCTCTGCCTCGGCTCTAGACTGTTTTAGCTATTAAGCTGAGTATATTTTTTTTTTTAGGAAAACTAAACGAAATCGTTTCATTTCGTCGAGCATTGATCTAATTATTGTATAGCCGAGCTATTGCATTTCAAATCGTCAATAGATAAGACTCAAGAATAAAACTTGTAAAATATATTTTGTAACGAAGAAAAAACAAATAATTAAGAGTGTTAAAAATTTATTATTAACTATTGGTTGTTCCAAATAGATGAAGTAGTATGTACGTATTTGATACTTTCTATAAATTTCATTGTGTTTGACTAATCAACTTAGTGTATTAAGTTGACAAGTTTCCAAAACCGTGTGAGACGGTTTCTTTTTGTAATAAATGATAATGTACATATTAAACCAAAATAAAAATGCTATTTAATATTATTAAAACACTATATTAATTTATTTTTTCCTGTCATCAATTCTATAGCGACAAATGCACAGTTTCGATAGGTCCATAAAGTTAGCATATAGATTTTGAAAAAGGGCACTTTCACTACAATACTTAGTTTCGATTTTCTTTCTTTAAATTTTTCCTGATAACGTATGAAAACATTGAAATAAAATTGCGCGCACATTTTAAATCAGTAGCACCGTTGCAAGCTTCGCGAACTTGCGACGCGAGTTTTTGCTTGCACCAAATTAAGTTCTATAAACGAGCAGGTGACTGTCGGATAACGTGAAAAGCATTTGATTCCACGATTCATCTGTCGTGATTTGGTCTTCTTCGACCATTGGAATAGATTGGCAAGCAATCTTACTGATCGCCGAGCTGAAAAAAACATGCACCGCCGAGATTTTAATTGAAAAAGTACGAATTACCGGGAAAAATGTATGACCGTCAAACTTTATAAATCAATCGCGTGTGTATACTGTGTGTACCCGTGTGTACGTTTGTGCAGACTTTGCGTACACCCACATCATAACAATATAGGCCTACAAAGTGTGCGATCACGCGCGTGACACATCTCCATGATCGTTGGTTAACAGCGAGCCAATTTTTCATTCAATTCCATATCATAACATATTTTACCGATGTAATTGCATTGGTACTCTCCCACGTATTGTAACCTTGTATCGTTGTGTATGTTCGTGTGCATGTATAATGCATACAAGTAAAAAAAGAAATTCATAATAATAGGTACTAGCAGTCATCGACTCACGAGTGCAGCAACAACATCGTGCGTGCAGTCGGTCGCGGCGCGTGTATTATGTACGAATCCTTCTTATTTTTTACTGTATAATCACGCAAAGAAGAAGTGCTGCTGCAGCAGTAGCAGCATTAGCAGCTAATTGTATCTGTGTGAGTGTGCTGAGTTTCTGGTTGGGATTCGTCTGCTTGAAAATAGGATCCCGAAGAGAGCGTGTACACAAACATTTGTGACTTGTGTATACCTATAAGCATAATACTGTCTCTCGTGTATAGATGCACAAGTATTGCGGTTAATTCCGGATTAAACCAAGCTGATTTCTTTTTCGTTCATCAAAATTAACACATGGAAAAGTGTCAAATAGCACCTGATTATAAAATCAGCCCGGAGACAAAGCTTGTTGAGTTTTAAGAACATTTTTTGAGAATTTTACGTCGAAAATCAAAGTTATTACCATGGTCGAGAGTTTGATCAACGAGTGGTTGTCAGATTGCAAAGGGATTTCTGCTCTCGAGCTTTCCACGTTTGCAAATAATCTCGATCAGGATGAGGAGATTGTTCAAGCACTCTATGGATTATTTGAGGAGAGGTCAAAACATTCACAGGTATCATCATCGTCATATTTTTCATTGTACAAGTCTGGCTATTTTGTGAGTAGCTATACCTCAAACAATTTTATTTACTTGTTTTAGTTGTTGGAAGCAGCATGTGATCAACTTTTTGATTTCTACAGATCTAGGGAAATAAAATTGCAAAGATTTACATTGCAGTTTATACCTACTCTTATTTATATTTATTTAAATGCAGCAGCTCATGGTGATATCAAGGTAATGACAACATAATACTTTTTATGAAAATATTTTTGGCATTTTTGAAACTGTACCTATAAACAATACAATTATGGTAAATTTGGATAAATATCATAAATAGACTGTAAAAAATACATAAATATCTTTTCTTTTAATATCTTATCTTTCTACTGATTGTAAAAGGATAACAAACAAGTTATTTCAAATAATGATAAAATGCAAAAATGTATATTGTAAGCCTCACATTTTTATCTAATACATTTAAATTCTGTGTTAAATACTTCCTATTTTTTCAGAACTGTCGCACTGTTGAAACTTTATTACTTGGAATCTACAATTTAGAATTAGTTGATAAGAATGGGGAACCCAAAGCAGTAACTTTTCGTTTACCGTCTTTAGCAATGATGTCAATTTATCATGAGGTTGGTTCAATGATTGCAATAATCAATTATTACAAAACAAAATTTAATAGGAAAATATATTTGTTTGTTTGTTAGCCTTCCAGTTTAGCTCCAGCATCACTTACTGAAAGTGCTGTAAGAAGATTCGAAGAATGTAATTCTAGATTTGTCAGTTGGGGCCCTTTAAAGTACGTGGAAACGTTAAATGCCCAAAATAGATTGAAAGTCATGACAGCATTATTATTTATATTCAATCAGCAGTTAGGTTTTTTTAACAAATCAGTTTTAGAGCAATCTTGTAAAGTAGCTTCACAGTAAGTATTACTTCTTAACTTAATTATGTATAAGTTTTAATTCTCATTTATATTTAAAACTTTTAGGCTGGTCACACAAGGGTTTATGAACTTAGGTCATCCTCAACGCACTTCCTATGGTGGTACAGATTCTAGTTTTGTTCCAAAGCTTTTACCAAGGATACCAGTGAATAACCAATTTCTTTTAGAAATACTTCACACTATTTATTTTTCCATGTAAAAAATCAAAAAATAATGTTATCAATCAATATTTACAGCAATGAATATCTTTTGATAATAATATTTTTTTGACTTTCTAGGTATAATAATTGTTGGTATGCAGGAGTTCAATCTGCTGATGATATCCATCATCGAGGCTGTTATGAAACATATCCAGATGTTATGCTTGTAACGAATGCTATTCGTAATTCCAGTAGCTCAGGTCCTCCCAGTATGTATTATTTAATGACCCCAATTTGAACGATTTTTGAAGGAAAAAATTCTACATTTATAAAATTTGTAGGTCAAACTGCAGAAGGTGCGAGCGGTATAAGTGTTTCATCTACTTCTACTTCGTCGGTTATGAAATCTATGATCACGAACGCTTCGTTCCGTGCTAAAAAGTTACCAGGTAAGATCTATTCTATGAAATTGGATATTTTTTTTATTCACAGAGGGTGGTGGAAAGTTGTTAATATAAGTATTTTTTCATTGGGTAATAAATTGTCGTCTTTTCTATTATTTAAATACATTCTACCAAGTTATTGAAGAAAAACTTTTCTATTACTAATTTTTTCAAATAATTACTAATAATAATAATAAAACTAACATTTTATTTCCGGTTCAGTTATAGTATAAAAAAAAAATTTCAAATCACAATTTATAAGTTTTGTAGTTGCGACTTTTAATTCAATAACTCTTTCAATTTCAAGAATTCAACGTATTTTGATTAAATTAATAAGACATCATACTTGAAATTCATACGTATAACTTAGTTATTTCACAATAAATCGCCAACATTTCAAAAAAATATTAGCCACTGAGAGTAAAAGTGTGCGTCCTTTCTATTTATCCAATTTATACGGAATCCTCGAAAACGAAAAAAACGGCAATCTTAATTTGCTAAACCATCCATATTTGCTGTTACGATAACGTTCAGACGACCTGGACGCAAATCTATTCGACAACGATGGCAACAATAGCGGTGAAAAGTCCGATCAAGCGACTAATCAGCAACATCAGCAGCAGCAAGCATCTACGAGTCATCAAAAAACGCCAAACGTCGCAAAACGACGCGCCTGGCTGTGGAAAAATCCACTGCATAACTCGTTCGACGAGGCAGACATCGCCTCGGCCGATCGACACCAAGGGCCCTCGTCGACCGAGGCGTCGCGACGCGGCAGCGTCTGCAGCAGTCAGAGTTCGCCAAATCGAGCCTCGCCGAGACGCGGTGGAGCTGGCCCCGCAGGTGTCAAGTCCAAAAAAGATGGCCAGAGATCGAGACGCGAATCGCTCAAAGACGCGAGCGCCAACGCGGCTCAGAAATTGTACCGCGTACTCGAGGAACAAGCTCTCGGCGAGGCTGTCGGCAAGCTCGGCTTGAAGAGCAAAAATCCTAACAGTACGCAGCAGCAGCAGCAACAGCAACACGATGACGAATCGACTGGAAGCCGATAAATATTAGCTTTTGTGTGCCATTCAAGAAGGGAAATGCCGCGCATGGTGAGGAGGAAGTGATATAGAACTATAATAGAGGATCCGTAATATTATGACTGCTATTTATTAAATAGAGTGTTTTTGAAGATTATGTCACACCATCCGTGATTTTTCACTGTCGTCGCACACGCTGTTGTATACAATGACTATAGAGATTTTTTTCTTTTGAAAATCCGTTAGCAATTACCATATCTAACGGCGATGTAATTATCACGATTGTTGTTATCATTTATTGTGGTTTTAAATAGAATTATGATTATTATTGCCGTTATGACACACATTCGATCAAAATCCTTGACACCAATCTCGATTTATTGTGTACAGCTTTTATGCTGCACTTATACCTGCATATTGTGCTGGTAAAAGCTCGCTGTATTATACATCACCTTTACGATGCCAAAGTGTTGTGTACATATAGGCGTCAAGACCCTATACTTGGATTATTTTAATACACATTTTATGCTTTTATTTTGTTGCATTTGATTTTCATTTGTTTATTTATTTTTGTTGTTGCAAATGTACAAATTTAAATAAGCTAATACCAGAGTAGCGCTATAAATATAACTAATCAGGCATTTTTTGATAAACCAAAAACATATGAATTGGTGAAAAAGATATTTTCTCCAATTTAAAGAAATTCGCATCACTAGCAAATTGATAAAAAAAAAAAAACACAAACAGAAAAAGCGCATAGGTATATCATGTTTGAATAATTGAATCGAGACTAACACCTTCAGAATTATCGTGAAAATTACGAGTTGTATATAGTTACTAGGCTATACACAGACAAGAGTTATTTACACGAGTGCTCACCAGCGATCGATTTTCATTCACCTTTTAGGCTCACGATAAAATATTGTATCACTCACTGATAATCACTTGAGCAATTCACCTCTATGCTTATTATCATTTTCTCGTATTTATGTTTTAAAATTTATTTAATAATAAAATGTAAAATGATTCTAATAATTAATTTAATTTTTCTTGCAGATGATATTCCGATTCAAGATCAGCAAGGCCAAACTTCATCGCAGCCATCAGCGCAGCACCCGTCGTCGGCCGAAAAGGCGAAAGTCGAAAAGACAGCGAGCATCACCAGCTCAAAAGTCGAGAAGCTCACGAGCAGTATAAAAAATTTGGACATCAAAGGCTCAAAGTCGGAGAGTGGTAGTAAAAGCGAAAAAAGCGCGAAAACGGACGGCAGCAAAGTAGACAAGGGTGCAAAAATCGAAGGAGATAGTAAAAAGGAGAAAAATGTCAAAGCGGAAGGCAGCAAAGCAGACAAAAATACCAAAACGGATGGCAGTAAGTCGGAAAAAAATTCAAAATCGGAGCAGTAAGACGAAAAAAAAAATGCGTATGTAACGTAAGGGAAACTCGAACCCAAAGTCAGACGATGTCCCAAAAAATCTCTCTAAGAACTAATTTAATGTTTACAAAGTCTCAACTGTTGAGCGATTGTTTTTTGTTTACTTTGTTCCGAGATAAATCGTCTTTATTTATGTAAAAAAGTTTTGCCATTGAATCAGCTGATTAGCAAAAGAAACATAATGATGCGACACGCAAATTCGAGCGATTCTCATTTTAATGCTTGTATATAATATAACTTGTCTAATACAATCAATGAGCATTTAACGCTTCGAAATGTATATTTTGTCAGTGCATACGCGCTTACTAGCTTGTTAATATTGTTTTATTCAATTTTTTTATTGAATTACAGAGAAATATTATTGTTGATTTATGCATGTGGTGTATATTGCAACACGATGTTATTGTATACTTCATTGACAAATTTTTATAAAAAGAAAAACGAATGATGTTACGAACACATATACATATATTTTTTGAATAGATTGACTTTTTATTTTTTATTCGTTACATATATCACTGGTCTTTTGAAAAATTTATGTTTTAAGTTTGTAAAAAATATCAAATTACCGCGACCAATTTTCGAATTATGAAATATTATCATGCAAAGTTTTTCGAAAGAAATTTTGCTATAGACATAAACACCCACAAAGGATAATTATGTTCAACTTTTTACTCTAAATTTATTGATACATATTTTTGCTGGCTATGAGATCGTTAATAAATCTGTAATAAGCCGTTGCAATAGCATACAATCATGTACAGGGGTTATCGCATTGAACGCGCAATACGGCAAATTTATCATTCGCACGCATTTCAGTATACGTTAGATAATAGCATTATTTCTTATTCTTAATGGGTAATCTCGGAAAGAAATCTGAACACACATCTGAACATAAAGTGTATGTATTTAAACAAAAAAAGTTAAATTGATTACTCGAAACGATTTTTCGAGACAATTACAGTTTAAAAAATGAAAAGCGAGCGAAGCGAGGCCTATACTTATACAATAAATACTAATAATCACGAAACATTTTGCGTTAGTAAAAAATACTGTAGAAACATTCGCTCTAAGAAAAAATGAAATTTCGATGAAAGATATCCTCTGTGATAAAGTTTGCATGTGTGTATCGTATAGGTATTGTTTTACGGTCACTGCTGTGCTTCCAATTGATTGATTTCACCCACATAAAGCCTGTGAATAAGTTTCTTCTCGTGATCTATTTATATCATTACATTCGTATTAAACATGTGTACTGTAACTGCACGCGTCGTAATGTCAACGTATATTATATCTCGTTACGATCTCGTTTGCACTTATACTCTAATTATAATAAACTCGTCACCGCAAAAGTCATTCTTAGAAAAGGTTTAGTTTAATACGCGTAAGTAGTAGTCCCGTGATTATTGTTATTAGCTAAAACGTAGCGAGTCAAGTTATCACTTTTGGAAATGCATATATGAGATAATTGTATATTCTATTCTTGTTTTTAGTTTATCCAAAAAGTTGATCGCTAGTTTTAGGTATAATGTATATCAGTGTTGGTCAAAAAGGGTATTTGAAACAGTCACAAAAATGTTATAGTTTTTACAGTAGAAAAGAGTTAATTTTCGGTTTGGACGTCTGAACATATTTTTGCAGATTACGAGTGTCCGTCTCAAAAGTGAAGTATACGCATTCCATGCATGCGATTGGCATTAAGTGATGGAAGATGGAAATCGAATTTCGAATTTAATATATATAACTAATTCCGCGTCCGTGACATTTTTTTTTCATTTTTATTTCCACAGCTGCCGATGGTAGGATTTGGAATACTTCAATTGTGATGAAGATGAGCAGTTTTAATTTCTTTTTTATCACTAATTCTCAGTATTATCCTGTATTTTGTTTTGATCAATTGATTCCGTCGAGTGATTTTTTTTCTAATTTAAAAGTAAACGCTTGATTAGTGTGGAGAAATCGACGAAACGAATTTCATCGATCGAGGCATGAAGATTTAGCCCTGACAACAGCAAATTTTGCTCTATATATTTATAAACTATGTAAGATATGAGTGCGGTATACCGTTGGGAGTATGAAGTGTATTTAAGACACTATTTAAATAAACGAGTTGATTTTTGTTTCTCATCGAAGTACCATCGTAGGATTAGATTGTCTAGCGATAAATTCCACATTATTAATTGGAACCTCTAGTTACCACGTTTTACAAAACGACTGACAAATTGGATTTGTATACTTAATATTCTATGATTAATATTATAAAATAATGGGACTGACTAAATTAAAAAAATAAAACTACAAAAAATTGCCTTTGCACGTCAAAGTACTTCGTAGCGATGCTCTAGCGGTATTGAAAAGTAACGTAGTCAAAAACTGAATGGATTCGTTGAAAACGAAATGTTTAAGGAAAAAGAAAAACAAGAATATTTTGAGGGTTGAAATTATTTTGTAATATAAGGAGTGAGCATGCGAAAAACGTTCTTCATTATGAATCCTCTTGTTGACGAATAACTATCATAATTGTAATCAAACTTTTCAAAACTGGTTGTAAAAAAAGCTCGTACATACTATAAGTATAATCGCCTTCGATCTATCGTGTTAGTTGGAACAGTAGATCGAGAATGTGTTCTATTACATACATATAATTATAAATATAAATGAAGAAAAAAGAGAAAACACGAAGCGATGAATGACGAAGCTTCGTGATTCATTGAAAATCTATATGTGCAGTCGCAGGAAAGTTCTGTTGTAAATCAGAGTACAATAATAACGTATCTATAATAATTATAGCCTGTAACGAGGGGGAGGAAAAGCACGGGGAAAAAAGGGAAATGGATTAAAGTGTAAAAATTGTGTATCCTCTGTTAGTTGATAAAAATGCGTCGAGCAATAATAAATTAATGTCAAATGAGAATTAAAAAATGGAGAAATATGCGTTTTCCTTTTCATTGAACTTTCCAAATAGATCAAAACGAGAGTCGTCTTAAAGGCCATTTTTTTTTGGTCGAAAAAAAGACCTTATTAGCAAGCCGATCGATCATCGCTGCTGGCGGCATACGCAGGACATAAATCATCGACTCGTCAAATCAATGCCCACAGGACACGATCGATCATCGACATTTATATTCATGCATATTCGAGTAGCTATACGGTTGCGACGAAGGAAAAGAGCGTATAGTACGCGCGGGCTTTAATAAGCTCTCCATCCGTGGACAAAAGACAAAGCGCGTCAATGGAGTAAGGTATTATATTCGCATATGTGCTTGTTGTACGTTTCTTTCTCTTTCTTTCTCGGGAGAATCGGCGCGGCACACGCGATTCCATTCAATCGCGCGCCTCGTGTGTATGTATATATGTGTGCCGTTGTGCGTTGGCACCGTGAATCTCGACACCCGCGCAGAGCTCTCGCGCCTGCCGTAACAATGCGATTCGCGTATTACTATAGCTATATACGTTTTACTCGCCGGCTGCCGCGAATATATATCGCAGAGAGAAGTCGACTATATAGTGTCACGTGACCCCCGCCACTCGACCACCACCTACTCTCTCGCGTTCGTTCTCTCTTTCTCGTACTCCGTCTCCGTCGTTGCTTGCCTGCCTGCCTCGATTCCATATTACGAACTGCTGCCGCTGCCCCATGAGAGAGCCAAGCTTTAGTCTGCGCCGAGCGCGAGAGCGAAGACTTGCGGCCCGTGCGTCTGTATATTCCTTACCTATATAGGTATAATAATACGAGCGCAAAACGGAGCAAGTCTCTCTCACTCTCGAAGAGTTGAACGACAGCTCGCGCGCCGCACTCCACGCTTGAAGCTGTGTGTGGGTCTGCGTGAGTGTGAGTGTGAGTGCGTTTGTGCAGAGGCGGTAAAACTGGTCGAGGAGCGGCACAGCCTCGGCAGCAGCAGCAATCTCCGGCACGATAGGTACACATATACTTACCTATACCATGCCGCATGTGCAAGTGTGCAGAAAACAGCAAGGAGAGAGAAAAGCGCACGTATAAAGAGAGAGAGAGGAACTTATTACCCATACACCGGAGAGCACAATATACCTATACGTCTATATATGCTCAAGAGGCTTGTATTAGGAGTCGCACCTCCGCTGCACACGAGTTATAATACTTTGCCCGCTGCGCGAAACATTACACGTGGGTGTTGCAATATTAGCTATGCGCGCGAGGCACACCGACACATCCAGCCGTATGCACATACCTGTCGTCTTGTATAGCTTGTACATGGGTCATAGGTGCAGTCTCGTCTAGTGCCAATAGGAAACAAAGAGGCGCGAGTTTATGAACGGCTAGAACAGATATAAAAATAAATGTTACGTGAACGAACGATGAGGCAGCGGCATCATCGCCAATTGCAGCAGCAGAAGAAACACGCGAGAGAATATAGCGAGAGATAAGCGCGAAATATCGGCGCTTCTCGTAGTGTATAGCGAAGCGCAGGACGCACGGCAATTGCAGCAGCAGCAGCAGCATCAGCAGCGAAGCAGAGTGAGGCAGCGTGGGTGTAAACGAGCGCTATAAAGGTCTCTCTGTCTGTGCGTGCTCGGGCGCGCGCGCGCGCTCGTGTGTTTTTGCGTTATAGAGCTCTGCCTACCTGTGTACGTGTGTGTTGTGCTTGTGCATGCAAGAGAGAAAAAGGTGAGAGAGAGAGAAGCAGCGAACGCGAGAAGAGGCGAAGACCGTTTTCTGCAGTCTCTCTGCTCTTCTCCGACTGCGAGTGTGTATATGTGTAACAACGAGGGAGGAGAGAAACAGAGAGAGAGAGAGAGAGAGAGAGCGTGAGAAGCACCAAAGAGAGTGATACGAGAAAGGAGCAAGAAGGCGCGGACACGTATCGTACATTGCCAAAGTAGCAACGGCTCGCATCATATTCCGCGATAATAATAAAAAAAAGGAAGGAGCTTCTAAATGAAGCCGAGTGAAGTCGGAGGCTGCTGCGGTATTATTATTATAGACAGCGGACAGTGGTAAACAACCTCGCGCGCGGCCGAACGACATCATGTCCTCCGCGCATTTCTCGCTATTAGCCGACTGCGACGAGCCAACAGCCAGTGCGACTTTATCCTCGTCGAGAAAGAAGGAGTAAAAGGAAAAAAATATGCAAGTACAATCAGCAACGTCAAGAGTCTGCGTTGATAACGGCCAGCAGCGAGCGTGATTTTATATACACGCTATACATCGATTATTACAAATCGACAGTGTGTTTAGTCTCAGTGCTATAGCTAGTTTTCCTGCGTTTGTGTACATGTAGCCGTACGCTTGCGTACATTACGTTATATTATTATTAACATATCGCGAGTGAGTGGCCCAACAGTACTACTGGCTGTCAGTTGAAAATTACGGATCTCCCGTGCGTGTGCTTGGTATACATACACGCAGCAGCACATATATATCTTGCCGAGCGAGCAAGATACAAGTTCGAGTGAGTACTGAGTGCAGCAGTGCGTGTGCAGTGTCCGTATCCGCGAATAAATGTGTGCACGCGATAATATCTGCCAACCGAAGCAAGAGTAAATATAAAAAAGCACAACGAACGAACGAACGAACGAAGCGAGGAAAATAAAACATGACGAGCACGAGGCTAGTCGTTCTGCTGGTGCTGCTGCTCCAGAGCACGGCACTGCTGCTGGCTTTTAATCTGGAAACGAGGATACCGATAATCAAGAGGGGCTCGCAGGGCAGCTACTTCGGCTTCTCCGTGGCGGAGCATCAGGAGCATCACGAGGACAGGTCGCCCAAGTATCTCAGTCGGTGAGTAACACAATATACGTACGTGCGCGTAACTTTATATTTATGACCATAAGCCGGTCGCGACGTTTCAATTTTCGATTGCCCCGCGCGCCGCGTATTGTTTTATATCTCGATATTCGAGAATTCGATCGTGGGGACATAATGTATAGCTAATATAATATATGGGGCTTTAGACTTTTGTATTGTTACGCGTATACATCTCGGACACACAGACACACACACCTTTGTGTAAACGAAGCCTATGAATGAAAGCGTATACGATTTGTATTTGCGCGAGGGCGCAGAGATTGACTCACATGCGTATGTATGTAAGGCTCGTGCGCCTATCCGGTGAAATTATGGAAATTTTTCTCTATCCGTCTTTCTCTCGCCCTCGATATATATGTGAATTAATTAAAGTCGCGCGCCCGTGTGTTTTAGCGTTTAGTTCCGCAATGTTTATGGACGATATTATAAGTATACAGCGCGGCGTGTAAAGTGTCTGGTAATGTGCGTATAGCAGAAGGACACATAGCGGCGCGTCTCAAAAAAAGAGAAACTGTGTCTTTCAAAGATGATTCTGCTACTGTCGTGTACATATTATATGCTGTGCGTATATACCTGTACGTGTGTGTTTGTATAGGAAACCGGTGCGCGACACTTCATATAAAGCTGTGCAGGAATGAAAAAACAGTTAAGTCAATGATTTTCCACCTTATATGTAAGTATGACAACGACGTAGTCTTCGTCGTTGCCGCTAAGGCAGTTTCGTCACGCGATCGTCGCGGCTGTCAATATGCAGACAAGAGTCCGTGTGTATAAATACGCGAAACGACGATATGTTATGCATTTCGACTCGCGAGCAAACAATCGCGTACCACTTGTAATTATTGCATCGATGTGTGTTACGAAAAACAAAGCTTCGCCCTCGAATTCTTGACTCGGTTTTCTTTTTTTACCGTCGTTCGTAAACAGGTATGCTCTCTTTAAAACATGAACCAAAGTTATCGTATTAAAATAAACTTTTTTCTTAAATGTACACCCGATACTAAAACTGTCTCGGCTGTAAAATAAGTACGATAATTCGATTACATAGATCGTATATGCAAGCGGCGTCGCGGCGTTTAAGTATATTATTATGCTTACGAGAAGATTAGCGTGTGCGTATGCATTATTATGTACTTGGGAAGAAAGAGCCGCTTTTGCAGTGAAAAAAAAAGACGACAACACAGCTGTCGCTCTAATTCAATCGAGCACGTTTTATAATAATAAACGTCTTTCGTCGGCTGTCATCGTAGTCTTCTTCGTCGTCGTCGCTGTTAATTAGCTCGTCGTTTAAATCTTACGGGCAACCATTTTTGTGAAATACAGCACACGATCGCTCAATATTACGTCGTAATGAGTATTAGAGTGCCGGAGATAGTAATATACGAGGATGAAAAGAGAAAATTCAAAGCATCCATAATAATACCCGGCAGAGTATATATAAAGTGTATTACACACGCGCCTCCCTTTAATTAGGCTCTCGCGCGGTTTCTGCGCCGTTATTGTCGTTATTTTGCACAGTAGTTCACACCGTAATATGCCCACGAGTACACGATGCGAGCCGATACAGAATGTCAAGAGACGTATACATTTTATCCATCATTGGCAATTTAGTCGAAGCGAGAGCTGCTCGTGAAAAAATGCCGCGTCAAATGAAGAAAAAGAGAGAATCAAGCGCGAGAGTCATTACGAAATCGGACGCATAAAATGCGCGGGCTTATTATGTACATTGTAATTGATAAAGGCTCGAAACAATGGAGGTATAAATAGTCGCGCCGGCTCGTCGACTGAATAGGCCAAGCAAAATAACGAAGGCGGGATTTTCGCGCGCGCTCGGCTCCGAATCATATAGAATTATAATTCGCGACTTTCGTGACACTGCACAAAGCTACGATCTTTTGTTGTTGTTGATTTTTCGTTTCTGCCTTTACTTTTCTTTTTTAAACCAGAGAGAGGGACGGAGAGCGAAATATGTATACAAGCTGCACATGGCAATCATTGTTACTCACTCTCTTTCTCTCGTGACAGCGCGTGGTACATACGTTACTCTAAAAATACATGTATTTCTAGCTCGCTCGAGCGCGCCCGTACAAATGCTTTTTCGGAGTATTACAGCGAGCGAGAAGAATGCGTACGTATATCGTTCGCAAAAGAGCAAACGTGCAGCTGTGCTCATCCCCGAGATGTGTACATTGAAAGCGACTCGCGAATCGTTCGGTGATAATAAACGTCAAGTAGTGTTACGAGGCACAAGAGGAGCATGAGCAGCAGCATGAGCAGCAGCATGAGCAGCAGAAGGCGGGCGGCCAAGAGACGATGATTGATTTCGAGCATCATATATATAACGATGCTCGCGTGCACGAATTTATTAGCACGTTGTCAAAGTTAAATATCCCCGTAAAACTGCCTGTAAACGAGTCGCTGAAAAAAGACAACTTTTTTCCGAATGAACTTGACATTTGTCACGAAAGCTCATTTGTATAGGGATTAAGATTATGTCGAGTCACGGGGTAGTGTATTTACTAATTGACCGCAATGTCACACGATCGGCTAAAACAATCTACCCCTCATTATTATTAACCTTCTATAAGTGATGGTAAAGATTTTCACGTGACTCGAATCGAGTACAAATTAAGTCAGCTTTTTATGATGGTTCTCGACGTTTACTTGAAAATTGGTGATTCGCATGCGTATGTGCATGATGTAGATGTTACATGCGCATTTATGCATATAAATGACTGATTATTCAGCGGCGGGCATTGTCGTATAATTGCTATGCACACGTGCACATGTCATTCAACTTTTCCGGCCTGTATGCGTAATACATGTTTGTACATTTTATATATTAAACGTGCGTATTTGTGAGAAAAAAAGACGAGTAAGTTTTTAAACTTCAACTTTAATTTATATTCCTTCTTCTTTTTTTTAGCAAATTACCGCGTGAAACTGTACATTTTCTCAGTACTTATGCACACACACACAGAATCGAGCTTTCTATCGAATTGGAATTATAAAAACTTTGTAAAAAAATCGTCAACTTGCCATGAAATAAAAATATCGTCAACTTTTTTTAATAACTTCATTTAACGATCGATAAAAACGTAATATAAAGTGTAATTCGCACGAGGCTCAACGGTGAAAGCTATACGCAACTTAATTTTCTGTCTTTGCGAATTTACGCGCGTCGTTTAATATATGACCACGTCCATGAATCACGCGAGCAAAAAGCTTACGCATTCGTATTTTGAGCTTCGGTCGCACTATTGCCATACTACTTCTATGCGGGTGACGATTTATTTAAAAAACGATAAACGCGTTTGTTTGCGCCGAGTAAAAAATATATGCACGTGACCTCGGCGTTGGACATATTTTCATAATATTCATATTAGATGTTGCGACTGGTTGAAAATCAATTACGCCTCGCTTAAATAAATCATCGTTACGATATCCTGCCCTGTTTATTTCAAATACCGTATGAAAAATGTCAACATACAGATATACAGCAGTGCTGTGTACAATTAAATCGCGCCGCAAATTCTCTCGCCCCAATTCCTTGAAGCGTTAATTTCTTTAGGCGCTGAGCGCGGCACGTATCTCGGTGCAATTGCAGTAGCAGCGGCAGCAGCAACAGCTAGCGGCGCGCGGCAGTGATTCAAAAGCGCGTATACACACACACATCCCATTCGTTAAAATGATTTTAAAAGGATCGTATCACAACAAACGTTAAACTCTCATTATTTCTCCACTTTGCGCGTGGTTGCTGGCACACATTGTATATGCACATATAAATGCGCGCATTAGATCTGTCGCAAGTCGTTCTCCTCTTCTCTCTCGCTTTCTTTGAGAGTCTTTGCAAAATGTTCTTCAATATACGCGTATTCAATGGCTCGTCGCTCGCACAGTCGTATATATATATATGTACACGGAATCCATAAAAAGTGCAGATAGACAGGTCTGACATGCAAAAAATCCGCGTGCGCACCGAGAGAGGCAGCGCAGAAGAAGACGACAACGACGACGACGACGAAGACGAAGAAGCAAAGTAAAAAGTTTCCCCCTTTTTGGCCGGTACATATGCTCATATACACGCACCGCATCGGCTCAGTTCTCGTCGGTAACTGAAATCTCGCAGCCTCGGAAACCTTGAGCCATTATGCACTTAGCACGCGGTAAAATCTCTCTCTCGTTGCCCATAAAACATGCTGCACGCGGGGCCTGTATGAATTCTATATTTTCTCGAGTATGTATGGGCGTGATTAATTTCGATATTCCCTGCGTACGTATACGTATAAAATATAAACACAGCGCGTATGCATGCGTACGTATATGTGCGAATTGTGCCTCGAGGTTTTCTTCATACTCGGTGCGTATATATACGCATGCAAAATGCGCCCATAGCAGCGAATGCATTTATGGCTTTCTGCATCAACGTGTAGACGACGACGAGTTTCGCCCTCTTATAAATAAACGCGTACGGAGCGCGAGTAAGCCAGGCAAAACTGTAGCGCAACGTGTGCGTTCATCTTATATATATGCGCCCGCGTGTCCGTGTGTGTATCCTACATATACACCAACGCCATGCACGTACACGTATATATACGTATGCATCTGTATAATGCACGTGTAATTGCATCGCGTATACATGTCGGCGAGATTGCGCGGGAGGACAATTTGGTGAAATTGTTCCGGCATTATACACACTGTCGATGCAGCCAATGCTGGAGAGCGCGTGGGCGTGGATGTATCGCAAGCGCACGATACACAAGATTAATGATATCTCTGCGCTTCGATACGAGAAAATTTACAGTTTTCCCTGCAACATACATCCTTTCGCATGCGCGCTGCTTTACTTCGGCCGTACCTTCGAACGAACGTAATGACCTGCGCACACTCACGTACACATTTATTAGCAATGCGTTAATCATTTTTTATCGATGCAACGAAATATTGACACGTCGCTCTCGCGTGTACGCGAGTATAAAAAAAACGCAACGTTCCAAAACGGGCTGCACCCGTCTGGTATGCACAAGCGCAGGTGTGAACTCGAACGACAAAAAGTGAACAAAAAAAAAGAAGAAAGAACTGCGTATTTTTTTGTATACACGCGCAGACATGCAGAAAGAAGATACGCCCTTCAGGCAGGCAGAGGCAGGCCATTTATATAAAGCGCGTGCATTTTTTCGTATTATGCCTGTTCACGCGAAGCTCTAGTGCAACGGCTCTCGACTTATTTCGGGAACTATGGAATATGGTTTGTCTTCTAAAGAACCTACATGATTCACGAGCTGGGAGCGATGACATTGATTATACACTGTGGAATAGCTACATTATTTAATTTTTATTTCTAATCCAAGCACTTGTTTACACGCTTCTGTCTCTTGCGATTATCTTATTTTATTTACGAAAAATACTTGTTGAAAGTGTCAAGAAATGTAAAAATAATACGAGATTAACTAAATGTTCCGAAAATATTTCCTCGGCTTGAAAAACTGCTAAATAAAGCATCAATTTTGGTTAAATTATTAATCATTATTAAAATAATTTGTACATAAGACTTACCAATTTTATGTTCCTATGTGGTTCCTTGTGTAAATAGTTGACATAATAACAATTTTTCAAAGTTATATACTGTTATATTTATCATTTACGTTTACATGAATATTACATATTAAATTTCTGTGCAGAGATGATTCGTGAATAAAATTTAAACGAGATTTTAATATACTAAGATGATGAAGTATATCGTGATACTTTTCAATTAATTTTAGTTATTTGTCCGGCTCGTCCTTAATTTTACACGATATTATATCGTTAAAAACTCCAAGTACGGCGTCTCTATATTCGCTTGTAAAATATAATACCCATAGCATCGGATTCATGAGAACGAAGCTCTAATAACTCGTAATGACTTTTAAAAACAATCTCGCCCATTTATGAGAGCGAGTTAAGAGACGTTAGCTTCGATATAAAAGCGACAGATATAAGATACGTCCGAGCCGAGGCAGAATTGCAACGAGAGTGCATTCCTCGAATGTATATCAGCCGGTGGCTATACGACTGCGATGCTGCACTGATTGCGCGCTTATATAAAACGTGGACGCGTGTGCGGCGTTGTGCCGTCGTCAAAAACGAGAATCGATTGAAAGTCAACCAGTTGCGATTGGTATAATGGACGAAGTCTATAATCTTCGTTGCCGATTTCCATGTACGTCTAGACATTCTTTCGAGTTCGAAGAGAAAAGCGATAATATTTTCAGGTCTTGATAGTAAATATTTGATAGAAATTAGGTTGAAATTTATTGATTGCGCTGGCGCTTATCTAAAAAAAAATTATCACACTTTTGACTAAGCGCCTATGGTTACAGCGATAAGCTTGAAACACGTACTGCGACAAATGATTTCATATTATTTACCTGTGTTGAATAATACTCGAGAAAAATATAATGTGCAATTACGCCTAGTAGGACTCAATTTGTAATAAAACCCGCAGTAGAAAAATGTCCCCAACTATATGCAATGGTCTTACCGTAGCTCAATCGAAAGCGAATCGCTGTTTCAACTCGTTTTCTCTTTCTCCGTCCACCTTGCTATTTATTCGAAATTCTTGCCTTATCTCGAAAACACGCATACCAACGCGTGACTTGCCCATGTTACAAATTGAAAAAAAGATAGATATCCCTTTTTTCTTACACAATACTGAACCAGCCTCTTTTTCGTTTTTTGTTTTTTAACAGGATGCTGATCGGTGCACCGCTGGATCAGAATCGCCAGCCAGGTACAAATCGATCGGGCGCATTATGGCAATGTCCCATGACCAGCGATCCCGAAGATTGCGAGCAAGTCATCACCGACGGACGCAAGAGTGAGTATATGAATTTAAACAGATAAAATAAAAGTTATAGTTTTATTCGTATTTCCTCGGCCCTCTCTCTTTCTCTTCGCGTGCCGTCTTATTTATACATACATAATTTAAAATGAGTTGACATTCTTTTGGTGCGTGGGTGGGGTACTACTTTATTCTAGTTATCGGTGAGAGAGTAGTAAATACATATATAATACACTCATATTACCTGAGGTGAAAGCGAAGATTGTAACTTTTTTTCTAAAATTTTTTTCTGTACATATACTTCTAGACACAACATTTAAGGTAGATAAGGTTCTGTTACAATGACTCAATAATATTTTTTTTTTTTATAATTTTTCGGTCACAAACATTTTTTCTTTCTTTTTTTCGATTGAAAATCAATACTCGCGAGGGATTGGCGTATAGACGATTTATTTCAGTTTTTTAGCTCTTTGATAATGTTGTACTGTTACGATATGATATTCGTCTCTTGCGAATGCTTGTCAATTCGGCGAAATGAATTAATAATAAATCATATACGTACATAGGAAAAAAGAAGCGGATGTATATTTGATATGATGATTAAAATCTCTGACACGCGCGAGTAAAAACGGACGTGATGGTCGCGCCGCCGCCGCCACCGACGTCGTACGCAGTAGTTTTGTTAAAACAATATTTAAGCAACGGCAAAATTATAAATCGAGCTGACAATTTTTTTTCATTTTTATTACCATCGATTATTTAAGACGGTCTACATAAAGTCGTGGTTTTTTATTGTATGGCTTGCAAGTGAATTGTAGTCGATTGTCAAGCAGTCGTGGCCTTATTCTTACATAATTTGTCACTATTGGAACGTCGAATTGTTACGGGTTGATTCACATACGGTATACATGCGTGATGTACGAAGATAGTATGAAACTTAACTTCTAACGATAAGCCTGTAGTGATGTAGTTTTTTAATTCACAGATACATTTTTGCAAGTCATTTAGAATTCAAAGCATCTAATTATGTAAATTATGATAATGGCGTTAGTTCAGTAAATAAACGCACAATTAGAGAAAAATGAATACACGACTTTTACCTTTACATACTTGCATTCTTTTTGTAAAAATATTTCTTTCTATTTATAACTGTGTGATGTCAAATTTCACTGCTCTTGTAAATGTAATTTACAATAAGAATGCACCATTAAGTATAGATAAATAAATTATATTATTATACAATAAATGTATGCAAAAAACATATCTCCCAGTTAATCCAGTGAACAATGTTATTGATTTTTTGAATTATTATTGTTTTGGTTTGTCCATTGAAGACGAGAGCGGACAGTATGAGTCAAGTAAGTCAACCGAAAGCTCACACGCTGGAGTTGTTTCTCTACATCGTAGCGCTCCGCTCCTCCTTCAATTCTTCTTCTTCTCTCTTTCTCTCGCTATAATGAAATAATTTATCGCTATATTGTAGACGAGAGATTGAGAACACGTGAAGCGGAAGATTTCGCTATCAATAACTACCGACGAGGCTCTCAATTTTTTCGTATATTACATTCCCGTATAATTTGTGTTTTTTATTTCTGTTTTTTCTGTTTTCTTCATTTTAAATAATTTTTTTTGTTTTTATTTGCCATAAACATCTTTACGCATTCAATTTTTCACTTGTTTTCTCTCCTTCAGCCATTTACTCACATTATCTTGGAGTTTTATCATTACAAAAACACCATAGATGCAAAACATCATTCATTCACCTTTATACATATAAGCAGTGCATGACGCCTGCATCTTACATAGAAACGATCAAAACCGCGGCTTCTCCCAAAAATGTGTGTTACGCATTTACATACATCCGTAGAGAGCATGGCAGAATTTAGAAAATATAGATTTTATTTGTTTTCACTAGCCGCACAAAGCCAAATAATAGCCCATTTTACGATCTCGGCAGAGACGCTTCATTTTTGGATCCATGTTTATTATCGTAACCCAGAAGGAATATACATTATTACGCGAGCATTTGTTTAACCCGCATATACATGCCACATCGATTGTAGTACTATCATCATCATCATCGCCATCACTCGCAGCTGTAGTAGTTTTAGAGGCATTTAACAGTTTATTTACTGGAGCTTTGCGTTTTTCAAATTTAAAACGCCATCATGCAGTACTTTTAATAGAAATAAAAATGTTTGATTTTTTTCATTAACCCACAGTTACTAATACAAACGAAATGTGTTTTATTAGATTAACATGAATTTTTATAGAAAGTAAGATTTACTTGAATAACTTGATTAACTTGTAAATTAACCATACTTAGAGCGTAAAAATTGTTAACCCAAAATTGTTGAATAACAAACCAAAAGATCGATCCGAGAAAACGTGACTGCGTGTATCCGCTTGTAGCTCCAAACAAAGCGAGAATTCGCGCGAAAGGTATTTTTGAGCGTCTGGAACATGTCAACGCACTGCTTTTAACTATTATAGTGCGGAGCGCAGAAAAAATAAAATATAAAATGAAATGGAATTTCCGTCATTTCCAGGCGAATTCTCGAGGTTTGTTGCCAGGGCATATGTGTATTTACGCGCATGCCATATACGTGGGAGAGTTTATCGATACATTAAGTCACGTTCCTCGGAGTTGGATTATTATAGTTTTTAGCACTCGTAAAAGCGGGGCTTATTACCGGCTGTTGTAGAAATGTTATATAATTCTCGATTTAGCTGTCGATGTTTAGAGTTTGAAATTGTAAACTAGTGGCATTTTAAAATCAGGGTTCAATAATTCCATTAAAAACAGTATTATTATTGTTATTATTACGATAACTGAGAATGATTCAAAAATAAGTTTATAAATAACGCAAATAGTAGTTAATTTATCGTTCGAATAATAAAATAGTAATTATCATTACATTGATTAACGCAGTAAATTTGTTTATCGTCGTATTGGCTAATGATGAAATTTAACAAAGTAATTTTTTATAGTAAAAAAACGTATGAACACAAACATCAATGGATATCTCGCGTTCATTATACTATTTCAAGCAACATTACACAAACGTCAAAAATACACAAATTTTGTTTTTAATTCATTTGGTTCATTTATAATGTCTTTTTTCGTTGAAATATCGATTTTGTCCTTGAAAAGTTGTTCACTATAGCACAGCAGCCGAGAAAAAGAAACCGATTTATCAATAACGAGCTAATAAAAAGAAGTTTTTGAATTACAAGCCATATGTTATATTTATTGCACTGAAATTTTTGTCGCTTGCGCAACGAAAAAAAAGGGTTTACGAGCGCTCTTTTTATAATTTCCTTTATAAAACATCATATTTGAAGATTGCTAATCGATGATATTTTTTCTTCCTCTTCCTTTCCGTCCTCCTCTTTTTTTTTTATTCCCAAAACCTTTCACGCAAAACACATATAGGTACCGATTCGGACGAGCTGGTACCACCGATGGACAAGGAATTGAAGGATGGCCAATGGCTGGGCGTCACAGTTCGAAGCGCCGGTGTTGGCGGCAAAGTCATGGTAATTATAAAATTTACCGTTACTATTATTATTATTATTAGTGAGACTTTTTTTTTGTCTCTCTCTCTCTCTCTCTCTTTTCGTTGTTGCACTCACTCATATAGATGCGTACGCACACCGGCCTATTATATAATTCTACGCTCGCGTGAGCCGTCGCCTTTTTTTCATGGTAATTTTCTGTTTCGGAGCTTAGAAGCGTTGATTTACGATCGAATGCGCTTATAGGGTCGTCGGTTTTCTTTTCGATGTTATGAAGACGTCGAGTTTAGTAAATAAATCGATTGTTACATAGATGCGCGCGTGTACGTGGAAATCAACATCACGCAAGAATGGCAGAGCGCGCGTAATTTATTTCGCGTTTCTTTTTTCTCATCGACGCGCTTGCTATTCGATGTCTTTTTCCCCCATTACGACGCCTATATACTAGAATTCGATTCGTGCATATCACGCGGACTTGTTCCGACGAATCAATCGCTATGTAAAATCTGTCGATATTCTCGGTGACGATAAATATAACTATGGTATAACGTCGATGTCCACAGGTATGCGCTCATCGTCACGTGGAGCGCTTCAACAAGGACTCGCTGTGGGGCCAGGGCCAGTGCTACATCCTGACCCAGGACCTGCAGTTTCACGAGCTGAAGAAGCCGTGCTCGGGCAAGCCGACGATCAGGGCCCACGAGCAGTTCGGCTACTGTCAGGCCGGCACGAGCGGCGTGCTGACGCCGAGCGACGATTACGCGGTCATCGGCACGCCCGGGCCGCACACGTGGCGCGGCACCCTCTACGTCATGACCGTCTCCGACGACTTCATCAAGAAGGACACGGTCATCTACAGCTCGCCGATGCAGGAGGAGTCGCCCGTTTCTAAATATAGCTATTTGGGTAATCGTCCTGCTGTGCCTATTATTTAATGATTGATAGCTAATACATATACGCGGTGGCCTAATGATGGCCTCCGCCGCTCTATGTCATTACGATCCGAGTTAAAATCCGTGTTCTCTTGCATGTACCGGTGTGCTGCAGGTATGTCGGTGGCCGTGGGTAACTTTTTCGGTAGCGGCCTGGCCTACGCGGCCGGCGCGCCTCGCTCGAATGGTACCGGCCAGGTGATTCTATTCACGCGCCACCATCAGAAGCCGATCATGGAGGTAACGCTGACTCTCAACGGCGAGCAATTCGGCTCGAGCTTCGGCTACGAGATGACCTCCGCCGACGTCAACGGCGACAAGTAAGTTTTCCCATCTCCATTTCCAAGCTCATTTTCGCACGCAATCGTGGAAAGTCACAAGATCGTTGATAATATTAAAACTTGCTCTCGTCGATTTCTTGCAGATTGTCGGATTTAATAGTTGCAGCCCCGTTTTATTACGGCAGGAAGGAAGGCGGTGCCGTCTACGTTTACACGAGGCTGTGCAAAAATTCGCGCGAAAGCGATAAGTGCAAGCCCACAAAACTAGTCGGTCGAGAGGAGTCAAGGTTAGTGTATAGTAGAAGGCGCACGAGGCCAGTTTTATGCATGAACACGCATTCGTATATAATATTGCCGTATACGCTTAACGGTTGTTTTGCACGCGCAACCGAGCCAGGCGAGAGAAGAAATTTTCTCTCTGACGCACTGTCGTAGCTTTTTTTTGCTTGAGAAAGAAAGACTCGAAACATTGAAAAACGATCAAATTTACGTTCGTCTGTGTAGGTTCGGCTTCGCTCTGACGAATTTGAAAGACATAAATAACGACGGCTACGAGGACATAGCCGTGGGTGCTCCGTACGAGGGTATGGGAACCGTATACATATATTTGGGCTCGAAGAATGGATTGATCACCACACCGTCGCAGGTACTATACTTTATTTGCTTATGTATACAGCAGTCGCGCATAAATCTATAGCTCTTTCGACATATGTACCGATTAACTAGGTGATCCACTCGGAAAACCTACCGGAGCGATTGAAAACGTTCGGCTACTCGCTGAGCGGCGGCCTCGACATGGACCACAACGGCTATCCGGACCTGCTGGTCGGCGCCTACGAGAACGACGCGGTGGCCTTATTTCGTACGCGCCAGATCATCGACATCGTCACGACGGTCAAGTTTCCGCACAAGGACGGCGTCTACTCGCCCGACAAGATGGAGCCGATAGATCCGAACAAGGTCGGCTGCCTCGAGGATCCGACCTCCGAGCTCGCCTGCTTCTCCTTCGAGACCTGCTGCGAGACCAGAAAGCCGAGCAAGCAGGAGAAGTTCGGCAGGCTCAAGCTCATGTCGTACATCGAGGCGGAGACGTACGCGGGCACGAAAAAATTCTCCCGCGTCTGGTTCGGCCGGGACGCGACCAATAATCGGCCGCACTACGTGAGGCGCGTGGCCAGCCTCGACGCCGCCAAGACCATGTACTGCCAGAAGGAGATCGTCTACCTCAAGGAGAACACGCGCGACATACAGTCGCCGATCAAGTTCCGCGTGAATTACACCCTCATACAGGACGAGCCGGTGATGCCGGCCAGGGGTGATCCGCTGCCGGACATCGATCGCTATCCGATACTCAATCAGCAGCACGCGGCGCGCATCTTCGAGGCCAACTTCCAGAAGGATTGCGGAAACAACGACATCTGCGAGAGCGATCTCCAGCTCGTCGCCGCTCTCAATCTTCCACGTGAGTCCGAAATAACGATTCGAATAATAATAAAAACGCCATCCTACTGAAATTCGCGTGGTAAAACGATGATATTTCCCCGTGTAGATTCGTCCAAAAACCGAAGCGAGTACGACCTGCTGCTCGGCGAGAGCGAGGAGCTCGTCGTCGACGTGAACGTGACGAACTGGGGCGAGTCCGCCTACGAGGCGCAACTGTTCGTGCAGCACTCGGCCAGCCTGAGCTACATCGGCTTCAAGCAGAACGATTCCGCGATCTGCAATCTGCACAACGCCACCTGCATATCCTGTATCATCGGCAATCCGTTCAAGAAGAGCAAGTCGGTGAACGTGCAGGTGAGATTCGATCCCAAGTACATCGAGGACGGCGAGAATAAATTGAAGTTCGACGTGTTCGTTAACTCGACGTCCAAGGAAGTGAAAGGCAACGAGACAATGAAGCTCACCGCCAAGGTGTTCAAGCGCGCCGAGGTCCAGCTAGTTGGGTACGTATTTGCGCATTAATTCTCTTCCATTGGCTCGTTTATTCAACTCGATACGATTGCGATTTGTGCGCGCGTCAACAGAAAAGTGCCGCAGCCCATATTCCGATACGGGGGCCCGATTTTGGGAGAGTCGGCGGTCAAGAACTTCAACGACGTGGGTCCGCGGGTCGTTTATCTCTGGACGGTGTTCAACGATGGGCCCTGGAAAGTCAATTCGATGAACGTCGTGATTTCCTGGCCTTTCGAAGTGGCCAACGACAAGCCCCACGGCAAGTGGCTATTGTACCTCGAGGATACACCTGTAATACAAGGTATTTAGCAATCGACTTTGAAAAGGAGAGGAAGTCGATGTTTGTTCGTATTGTCACCCGCACGATGAGTCGACACATTTTATTTTCTTTCCTTTTTATTTTCTTGCCCTCACAGATCAAAACAATGTACGAATCGGCGAGTGTCAAGTGCCGGCCGGTCAAGTGAATCATCTCAATTTGCAAGGTAGCGTTGGAACTGATGACTTGGACACTTTGCTACCTGGAAAGCCCAGTGCTTTGTTGGATCAAATGACGAACGAAACGAATTTCGTTCGGAGAAAGCGAGACACCGAGAAGGTTGTCACGACGAAAGTCGTCGTCGACGAGGATGGACGTCGCTCTCATGTGGTCACAATGGTAATTTTCTATCGTCATCTCCATCCGCGCTATGTTTTATCGGTAAATTTAATGCGTTCTTTTTGATTTAGAACTGTCGGACAGGAACAGCCAAGTGCTTCAATATCATTTGTCCCATAGTAAATTTGCAAAAGAAAGAAGAGAATAAAATTATTATCAGAGCAAGGTACGATTGACATTTAGATTTTATGAGTGTTATTCAGATGCATTTGATTTCTAACTATTTTTCTTGCAGACTGTGGAATTCCACTTTAGCGGAAGATTATCCAAAAGTCGATAGTGTCAAAGTTATATCGAACGGAAAAATAGTCTTCCCAGAAAAAGTTTCAATTCAACAGAACAACGAGACGGATGACAAATTCGATGTACGTATTTTATTGAATAAATTAATCATGGATAATGAATTTTTTTACAATGAAAAATTATTTTTTCAAATATTAGGTCGAATTCGCCGCTCATCCAGACTCGTCTGACAAGCAAGAAGCTGAACCAGTGCCAATATGGATAATAGTCGTAGCTGTAGTAGCGGGTCTACTACTACTTATATTAATTACTCTAATACTTTGGAAAGTTGGTTTCTTCAAGCGTAGACGGCCTGATCACACTCTGTCTGGAAATCTTCAGAAACACAGAGAAGACAATCCAGAAAACGAGGCCTTGGTGAAGCACTCGACAAATATTCACTGAGTAAGGCTTTTGCCTCGGATGCGAAACAAACTGAAACATCTTCTTCTGTGCTGGCCGTTCAAAATTCGAAGAAACTTTTTGGAAAAAAAGAATATGTGTGTCTGAGTGTATAAAGATGTATGAATGTTGAGAAAAAAATAGTCGTCAGCACAAAAGAAAATATTTCAAATTGTCCAATAAATACCGAAGAATGCACGAATAAACGAATGTCTTCCCGCGCAAACGATTAAAGGAATTATTTGTTATCATCGAAAGACTGGTAAATAAGATGACAATTAATGGTACTTAACCCAAGCCAACCCATGTATACATATAGATTGTTTCAACGTTTGAAAACTTAACGAATGATATGGAACCGATCAATCGAGGACGATCGAGTCATTATTATACAGGGAGAGCGTTAAAAAACGCCGATTGCCATGCATCGATGATGCAATTACTCGTTTTTTACGAAACACGTATGGTAATTATACGTACAAAAAGACCCCTTGATAATATAATCGAATTAAGCTAATGTATATTGAGCGCACGAAGATTATTAAGCAACGATGTACTTTATAATGTTCTTCGTAACGATGCGCTTCTTCTCGACGGCCATTGTAAATTGTTAGATGTGATACGATATAAATATAAACTTATTTTTATCATCATGATACGCCAATCAAAATTTTACGATTATTATTCGCAAGTAAGGATTTTTTCTTACATTATTGCATTGAAATTTTTGGATAAAATATTTATTATAACTATCAATATGAAGACGTGAAGATTTCAGGACTGCTCATTGAAATTATTAAAAATGCATTTACGCGTCAAGGTATTTATTATTTTCATTTATAAAATAATAATACTTCGACGCTCTACTTGTTTGTTGATTTTTGAATAATGAATTCAATTTTTACACTTCAATAAATGCTGTGTCTTAAATATTTAAAGTGCAATAGTTTTAAAACAGTCGTAAATGCATTATTAACTTTTAATCAACTTAATCAAATTTTAAATAATTTTTTAAACGGTCAGTAATGAACGAGATGAAATTATTCATCAAATTGTAGAGATCTATATTACTTCTCGTAGAATTCGTCAACGAATCAACGATCAAATATTCAAGTTTGATCTATTAATCTAGCGTAATGGCTCGTGCAAGTAATAAATGAGTTTAGGTAGAATGAGTCACAAGTCCATATTGACTAAAAATTTCAAGTACTTGCAGACCTGTATTATATATAATTTAATTTATAAAAAATCTACGTTACATATAGAATTATTTTCAATATTATGAATCTATTCATTTACAATCATAGTCGTTTTATTTTAACTTATGAATTATATTTTAAATCGCGCTTAATAAGAATAATCTCGTACAAATGGCAGCATTAATTTCTTTAGATTGAAATATTTTTTAATTAATTTATAATAATTTGTAAATTATATTAATGCTTCTTATCATGCATACTTAAAAAATAATTAATTTTTACGAAAAATCATTTTAGTCTCAGTGTTCTATGAGAAACACGTAATAATATTGTATAATTAGAATATACAAGTGATTTATAAAATGTCCCGCGTGTAGGTAACATATAAATGGATAAACTTTAGTACTTAAGATATAATGATGTCGAAAAATTATCTTGAAAGTCTTTAGAAAATAACTGTTAATACTTCAGAGATAACGAATTTATATACTGTTAAAAGCGTTTAAAGTCGTATATTTTTTTTTTTAACGAAACATTCCTACTTACAGCTTTCAAATAGTGCTCTGTATTTTAATATTGTATTCGTAATTTTTAGTGCTTTACTTTATTTTTATTTTAAAAACTAAATTATGTAAAAAGAAGTTTTCACTGCCTTGAAACGAAGTACTAAGTGGTGCGTTTCATAAAAGCTTTCAAGGAGGTATTACTAACATTTTACCTTTTTAAGTAAAACAATGAAAAATTATGTATAGTGTAATTATTATTCTTTGAAATAAATCTTTTTTTACAAAAATAGTTATTTTACTATCACAGTTGATCAGCTTCAAGCTTTAAATATTGTCTTTTTAAATACAAACAATCTAATATAATAAACCTGAAATTGTTTAAAAAAATTATTTATTTATTAATTATTATGTAAATTATATGATATAGTATATTACCTATATAATAGATTAACAAGTGGAGCAGTAGCTGCATGCCATAATGAATGAGCATCAAATATCCAAAATATTGGAGGAAAGTCTGATACTTCTAATAATGTTACAGATACTGTCAACACAGTAAACCAGCCAACTAAATGCACATGAGGAAGTTTTAGATGATTTCTATACCACCATATGATTGACGTTAAAAATGTTATGAATCCTGTAAGATAACTATTATTAAAAGAATTATTCTTTAATATTACATTCATCTGTGAACTTTTTCATACCTAGCAATATGTTAAATTTCATGTTATAACCATAGTTTATTTTACCGGACCATAGATGGGTCAAATGGGTGTACAGTATAGCACAATAAACACTTGTCACTATCATAAAAACTTTACTTGATAAAATATTTTTATACAATATCCTGTGCAAATACAAGACGCATAAGTTGTTAAATCAAAATTTTTTTTATCTGTGATTTTGTGCTTAACATACCTTAACAATAAACAATATAACAGCGTTAACACTATTGCAAATGCACATGTGTAATCCATAACTTCAGTAAAATCTTTGTCCCTAGCGTGAAAAACTGCAGACCAAAACCAACCATGAAGGCAAATCTGAAAAAACAATTATTTAAATGAATCTATGGTCATCTTTGCATAAAAGAAAAATATAAAGAGCCAACCGCAGTAAACCAAGTCCAAACAAAAAACATTGGAGCGGATGAGGTGACTTTTTTTTTTAGTTTCCAGTAATAAGTGGCATGGGCATAGAAGTTTAACAAAGAAAATAAAACTGACGCAGGTTCTTGTAAACCAAGTATCCTGATAAAAGGCCACTGAAATGAAAAATTTTCAAGCAATGTCAAATAATTAAAAATTTCAATTTAGAAGTTTAATTTATTTACTTTTCCATGAAATTGTGGCACATGAAGACCTCGAGAAGTAAATAGGTGGACAGTTTTCCACATACAATTATATTTGCAATCTTCTGTACATGTCCAAAACAACAATTTTAAGCTCAAAGGGGGATTTACTTTGAATTCTGTATCTGAAGAAATTGAATTGAGGATCAATATAATTGCTAACATCTAATAATAAACATTGATTCAGGCTAATAATCGCATACCACTGGTGCAGTTGTTCTCACGACATTTTCCAAGGCAACTATTATAAAATTGGGACCGATCACCTATGGATGCCTCTGACAATGAAATCAACGGTATCAAAACAATTAACACAGCCCATGTTATTGACATGTTTTTGGCGACATAAATAAAGAGCAGACGAATTCGCACAAACGTTACGTCCTAATCGTGTATATAGAATGTATATTATATACCGGTGAGAACGCATGATCAAGTCGATCCTGTACTGACAGCTCAGTTGGTAATAGCAGACATTTCTCATTTAAGAAAAATGATAATTCAATAAGCAGTGTCAAGACTCAAGACATAGGACATTTCAACAAGGTATTTTTCATAATAAAGGTTACTTCATCATTTGTTTAGTAAATATTTATTGACTTTTTCTTTTACACATTATCTCATTAGCTTACAAAATTTTTAAATACACATACAATACAGTAGATAAAGATACTCAGTACTTTTTTTTTATTAAACAAATACTGTAAAAAAGGTTCAATTCAACTTTTCATATCCTTCATGTAATGATACAAACAATTTACTCACAGTTATATTTAGTAATGATTTTCAAAACCATTTTTACTTTTTTTTTAATATATTTTCAGCTTAATGTAATTTATGTTAAGTCTTTTTTACTTAAAAATAAAGATCTGTATTTACAATTTTTTTAGAAAGATAGAATATCTTACAAAAAAAGTTACTGTACAATACATTATTATTTCTGACCAGTATGCCACTCAGTCAGGAAAAGGATACAGAAATTAGAGTAAACATCATAACTTTTTAGACATTTCTTCTTATCATTTTTCTAATGAGCCACGTAGCTTTATAAAAAAATATTCAATACATATTTTGGGAATTTTTGAAATTCTTATTCATATTCTGCTCTCGATGTCTACTTAACATAAAACATTACAATCTACAACATTAAATTACAAACTTTCATTTAGTTTCAGTCTAGTGTGGGTCAATTCATTTTTGTTCGATCTAACTCAGTTTAACACTCATGGTTCATCGATGACCTAAGTTTTTAGAGCCACGGGTGCCAGGCCGGATCCATTCGACACAAATTGTCTTCATTATTAGCCGCTTTCACGAGAGTAGCGACTTTGCTGTCGGTGCCATCGAACGTGGCTAGAGTGTTCAGGCGATTGACAATCGCATTAACAGCTCGGTTCACCATTGTTATCAAATGCTCGCCTTTCAAGTCGCCCTCAGAGTCGCTCTTCGAATCTTCTTGACGTTTGATGTGATCGGCTACAACCTCGTCTCGTAAAATGGCTCGAAGGATCGCGTTGACCTTGAAGTTTGGATGCACAAAGCAACGCGCAGTCGCTATTGCACTTGCCGTCAAAGGTCCGGAGACTCCTTATATTTGATAAGATATAAAAAAGTGTTAATATCAATTGTTTCTTGCATTTTTTAAAATAAATACGGTATTTTATAAATAATTTACCTGTCGTAGTAAGAAATTCTATGATATTTGGAGTCAATCTGAATGGCACCGGTCTATTTCCATCCAATTCTCCATTCGTATCGTCGACGTCAAATTTGAAATATGCGACGTTGATCAAGCCAGAATCTTGATGAATATACATCATGTCTGGATTTAATCGCGTCAAATGAAGTACGTATTCGCAGAAACAGTTGAGCGATAGTTGCAAGGTAAACTGTAAGCAAAATAAATAAATAAAGCAACGATTTTTTCCGTTAGAAATGAGTTGTTGATTTTTACTAGAATACATACCATTTTTCTAAAGGTCCAGTATTCGGTGGCACCGGGGAAGGTTTTCACAGCCCAATCTCTAAACATGGTCTTGGACACCATGTGTTGTTGTACATCCTTCAGTACTTCTCTCAATACCTGATGGCTTGCTGTGGCACCACGAGCTTGAACAGCGGCCAATCTTTCATAATACTTGGCAATCGGTGCGTCGTGTTCGATGCCCTGTTTGGCACAGCCTTGCTTGTAAATATCCAATAGAGACACGCAAGAAGGATTGTCTTCAACTAGCCTCATTTGAGGTGAAACTGCCACTACCCGAGGTACGGTGAAATTCAAGAATCTTCGTGATGTTTCTTTCTGTTTTCCAAGATAATGATTCAAGAATCGCAAGAGTTGTAGCACACGTTCCTCACGTCGAGCATCTCCCAAACCTGCATCATTTACTACGAGATATGGATACAAACGGCCATTGTGACCGCGAATTCGAAGTCGGCGAGCTGCTGTATTATGTCGTTGAACAACTTCGACACGTGGCATGAAACGAGCAATTTTGATGTAGTAATGAGAGTGTTTTGGAAGAAGAAATTCGCCAGGTAGCTCAACTTCAGCAGTTTTCATACTAAAATTACTTAAAAATCGGCATTTTTCTTCGATTAAAAGTGATCTGAAAATTTCAATGTCTAATAAGTATTTGGGATTAAATAATTTTTGTTCTATAAAAATTGATCATGCATACTTTGGTAGTTGTTTAGTCTTTCCTTCTAAAATTTTGACCCATTTTTTAAATTTATTGATGAGATTGTGTAATAATTGAGCTCCAGGTACATTAAAGTCAAAGTCGTTTATGAACTGTTGTTTCATTTTTGGGAAATCAGGATCTTGTACCGTTTGTTGTGCTCGACGAACTAACGATTCGTTACCCGCCGATCCAAACGTATTGGTTATATTTTGCGACGAGGATATATTTTCTGCAAAAGAAAAGAAAACAAAAAGTAGTTCAGAAGTATAAGAAAAGACTTAGTTAATAGTAGAATAGATTTTTGAAGAAAAAAAATACTTACCGAAAGTAGAGACAAGTTTTTTTACGAAATTTAACGTGTGCGGAGTTATCGTCGCATCACGAACGGCACCACGATTTTCAAAAGCAATAGCGTAACACTTTGCCAGGCCTTGACGCAACTGTCTAAGCACTTCTTCGTACCAGGTTTCTCTAAACCAAACCATTTGATCGACAATTCCCTCTAAACTTGATAAAATAGTGGGATGTATCTCTCTTTGGATATGCATGATTTTAGAACACATCCACATAGGAATGGTAGCCTTTTTAACATCAGTTTTAGCATCTTGCGAAGCTGGGGGTTGAGATCCGCTTTCTGGATTTTTAGCTGAAAATGATTATTCAATTATTATTATGAACACTGAGTTGCACATTATTTACTAAGAAAAGTAACTTTTTCTTACCCAATTCCGCACTTTTAACTCTTTGACTTTCCCTTTGCTCGATTTTCAATGTCAAGTATAATGTCCTAATTGAAAAGTAAACGGCTTGCGGAAACACGCGGCCAACTTGGCTCAATAGATTCAAAATCACATTACCTTCGTATCTGGTCAGACACATTAGCAATTGCGGTATCCACGGAAGCCATTGTATAGGTGGCACACCGACTGCGTACTTATCCAGGGTTTCGAGCAGGGCTTTGTCATCGTACGTTAATAACCACAAAACTTTAGCCAAATACTTCCTCGATTTACTCTCGTTTTGGTGTCTACACGAGTGCAAGAAGCACGTCAAAGCCGATTGTCCCATATGAATCTGTCGAGGATCCCTGGTAAATATGCTCTCCAAATAATCGCCCCAGAGAGCCCAAGCCTTCACCAAAGTATCGTTTAATTGTACAGCAGCTGAGAATGCTTTATTGGCTTCGTCAGAATTTCCCAGTTGCGACAATAGTAGACCTTTCAAAGCGAAGAATTCGGCAGTCATTTCTTTCGAGAAGTATTTGAGATTAGTTGACTCAATGACGTCAAGTCCCTCTTGAAGTTCATTTCTACCGTGGGTGGAAGCCATCTGCAGGAAACATTTTACTTGCTGTCGAATCTTTTGGAAACAATCAATGATGGGTACGCTAGGAATCGTGTATATTCTTAATAAGGAATCCAGACAAGTGCCAAAAAGATTGTGTTTGCGGGCGACCTTTCCAAAGTGCAGAATTGCCTGAGCTGATGCATGAACACCTAGCATGGAGTGATTTGGAGTCTGATCTTGTTGATTGTGCTCGTAATGGCTGGAAATGAAAGTGTAATGGTGTTGGCGCCAGGTAAATATATCCGACCAATGACTCAAATCATCTGCAATCACTGGTAAACGATTTCTCCACGTCTTCACTATAGCTTTCATATCATGCAAGCTGGAATTTCGTCCATGAAGTAACCCTTGATGTATTTGCATAGCTTCTTGTAATTCCATTATTTGTTGTGCGGCTTGTAGAAGTTGCAAGTGCATATGACTCACGACATGGGGAAGGCGTCGCCATTCTCGCATACACAAACCCGATGCTGAAAAATCGATTGCAATTTCAAAATTAGAGCAAACTCAGTAAATATAAAGCATACCATACAAATTATATTTAAATAAAATCTTACCCATTTCTACGTATCGTTCAACAGCGCTTAAATGTTGATCTTCGCTATGGCAGATGGCTAAATAACCTCGGTACATATTAACTTTCCACATCATTTCCTTCGGGCAATTTTGCTCAACGAGAGCAAGGGCTTCTTTCATAACTGCCCAGTTTGGCACTCTCCAGGAACTTTCAAGAATCAAGAATGGATTTTTATCATTCTTCCTATTACCGTATTCCAACAAAAGATCCCATTGATTTAATTCTTTTGCACACTTGATCCAGTGGCTTTCCCAAAGCAAAGATTCCCTTTGAATTTTCAAGGGAGCCGGAGTCGTAATGAAATCTTGTTTGAATTTATTCATTGCTTGGTCATACGCTAATTGAGCTTGCTCAAAGAATCCCTGCTGTTCAAGAGCCGTGGCTTGCAGAGTCTCCTTGTATTGGGCATGCCTCTGCCACAATCCGGACCACATATCGTCCTCGTGTAGTAACGAGTACATGTCCGACAATGAGTCGAGGATTTCCGGCTGGAGGCTGTCGTTATCGGGCTCAAATTCGTAACAATCATCAGTACGTGGCTTTGCCCCGCCGATTTCGCTCTCGAGCGCCATGTCCTCGAGGCTCAGGGCCATGCGATGCCAGAGATTGTGTGAACGTCCCAGATATTTCATGAGGGCTGGCCTCATTGGAATCGGTGGCTGACACTGAGACATCGCCTCGATGAACGTGGCAATGGCACTTGGATGGCAGTCCTTTTGAATGACGTGAGTGCCGCTGCAGACGAAGGGTATGATTTCCGTCATAAACATGCTTTGCTGATGTTCGTCTAGTATGCTCCAAATCCTCGGGAACATGTCGAGCCAGACGCGCTCGGCCAAATTCGTGTCCATGTAGCACAACTGAGCCGTCGCATTCAGCAATTTTTCGGTTTTAATCTTTTTCGATTGTTCCAAGTATTCGTATTGATTGTCAATTATTTGGGATAAAGTCGTAAGTTTGGAAGCCGAGCTGTCTTCAGTAGTGATAGAAGAATCCATATCTACATCCATCATTTCTTGTTTCACTTCCACAGTACTACCGTCATGCTCCATTGCTTCGACAGGTTCTTCTTTCACTATTGAACACATAAGAAAACTCTTCTGATCATCGCTATCCGTCTGGTTGATGATCGAATTGATGCTGGGCAGCAGAATATCCTGATTGGACATTTGTATCTCGGTGTTGACATCAGCGGTAACGATGAGCAGCTCGATACACTGCTTAATCCAATAATGCGGCCCCATGGCATCCCAGCTTTGGCTGCAGATAATGTAGAGCAGACGCTCATCCAAGCGTCGCTTCATTGAGGCGTCGAACACCTCAAAGAACTTGGCTCTTATGTGCGGCTGAACGCAACGCAAACCGCTGAGGAAGGCTGGCTCGAGCTTTGACGTGAGCTCCGATGATTTGAGCGTTTCGTCGCGATAAACGAAGTTCACCAGTTCCAAGAATTGTGCGTTCAATTCGAGATCGTCAGGGAATCGTTTTTCTACCTGCTGCATCATTTTCACCAAAAGTAGGGATTTTTCGCGCAACGTAGGAACCATCGCAGGTTGATTCGTGGTACCTGGATCGGTTTTCATCCATTCTTCTAAAATCTTGTTGATACATTTCATTACTTTTAGATCTTGTGTTTTATCAATGAGACCAATTAGAATGGTTCCAATAAATGTCTTGCGCATTTCACCTATCATGGCAGTTACGCGACTTTTAACGAGGTCTAGACTCATGATAAGTAATTCACTGGTAAGTTGAGTATTTTCCGTTTGAGTCGGGTGTAGATGGTCTTTGGCCATGCGATGAAGAACACGCATAAACGCAGTTATCACTCGGTCGATATATCCGGGATTGTTGGTGCACGCTGCTTTGAGCATCATCAAAGTTCCGAATAACGAGCTCACTTGAGCTTGCGCATTTTTATCATAAGCGGACAAACCGTCAATTATAAACTTTCCGACAGTTGTGTAAAGAGTATCGAGTTCCTCATGCTTCGAAGCAGCAGTGGCCGTGGGTGACTCGGTTGGGAAAATCGTCATGAGGCGGCTGAGTAAACCATTCACCAGTCTGAAAACATTAAAAACAATGGTTTCCATGACTGTTTTAAAATTGAATAAAAAAAAAAAAACATTTTACATTACCGTATAACTTTAGTGTTCGAAGAAAAAATGCAAGCACCCAATCCTTTTTGCAAAGGTTTGAAACTGGCCAAAATCTGCTCGGGTTTCATGACGGTCAACAAGAATGTCACTAATTCCAATGCGGTACAAATGTTGCCAAAATTTGGTTGATTACTTTCAACACTCTGGAATACCTTATCGAGCCAAGCGAATTTGAGATCGCACGTCTGGTCCCAGACTTCAGGTTTTAATGCCATTTTCAATAAAGCTACGCAACGACGAGACAATTGCTCGCCTTGATTGCCTTGAGCGGTATTAACATCATTAACTTGACAGGCCAACTTTAGCAAAAAGTTCAGGATAGAATCGGCGTGACCCCTCTCGATGGGTTTTAAAGCACCGGGTTCTAATTTTGCACTGATGGCTAAACCACTAACAGGGCATGTTACAGTAGCCCCTGGACTCGGAGCAGTAACTCCCAGGTTTGGTCGCTTGGCATCGACCAACGGCTCGTCCTCGAGCGATCGTTTGATACCAACTGACATGGGCGACGAAGACCCCGAAACTGAAGCACTAATAGTCGCTGCTTGAGCTGAATTCACTGATTGTCCTAGAGCTGTAGCGGAAGCAGCTGATGTTTGTTCCGCGGCCACTTCGCCTTCACGCTTGATCCTTTGCAGTTCCCATTTAATAATGACTTCAGCTAACTCAACGGCAAGCTTTCTGTGTTCGATAGTAGACGTTGGACTGAAGCCGAGTCTATTAATGGAACTAACCATGTGTTGGACCAAGTGATGGCGTATCGGGTAATACACTTTATAGTGCCTGACGACTAGTTGCAGTATGTGGAACAACTGCTGCATCGAGTGACCTTCCTCGACAATTATTTTTTTGGTCCAGTGAGTAAGCATCTTGAATCCGTCTTCCATGCGAACTGGCATTGCCGGAGTGATGATTTCGAGAGCTTGCTTCACTACTCCTCGAGCCTCCACTGCGTGAGCCTTCAATAAACTGTGAAACACCTATGAAAAAAAAGTTAAAGTTAGTTTACTGTTCCACTAGATGAAGATTCTTTTATGTGCAAAAAATATATTCACCTGAAGAACAATTTTCTTATGTATCGCAAATTTAGCTATGACGTGGCTCAGCAGTAAATGCCCGTGGTATCTCGTGACTGGGTCAACGCAATTTTTACCTAATAAACATGGCCAAGCAAACGTCATTAATCGGCGCAATTTGTTTCCCTGTTTTTTATTCGATCCATCGTGGATGTATTGCGGCGCGAGCTCCACAAACAAGCAGGAGCACTGGAGAAGGGCTATCCTAACGCAATCCGTCGACGTGAGTGGATTTTCGGGATCGATGATCTTGTTGATGAATATCGATATGATGTTTTCGTTGCTGTCAATATACGGCACCGGCGGGCAGCCCACAAGCTTGACGTTTTCGCCCTTCTCGAAGCTGGCTGCAAAGCACGGTATGATGATCAGCTGGACGATCTTGGCTTTGAGCTCGGGGGCCATCTGCGTGGGGAAGAGCTCGACGAATCTGTAGAAGGCTCGTCGCTTCCATTCGACAGTGTATTCGTGGGCCACGGTGTTCTCCAAAAAGTCCTTCAGGAATTGGAAATCTGGCACGTATCTGCCGCAAAGGGCCCGCAATAATTGGAACAACAAATCGACATCGTTTGGATGATGACAGAAGTAGTGCAGCAAAATCTTCACGATCAGCTTTGGCTCTTTCCAGTGGCAGTAGTCGATGTTCTCGATCGATTTGTGCAACGTGTGATAATCATCGTTTTCCCAGATCTGTTTGAGCGCGTTAACCAATGGCGTTTGCGTGGACAGCCATTGCTCGTCGTTTTTAATTAGTATGTTGATGATACGAATGGCTTGGTGCATCAATTCGCTCTTGTCGGCAGCCGATAGGTTCGATATAACCTGAGTCGGCGCCATCAACATCGCTATCAACCTTTGCGTACTCTTTTGCAAAACATCGCGGAACGGCTTGCCGTCTTTGTGCTTGATCAGGAACTCGAGATAGCGGCTCCATTGCTGGTCCTTAAGATTGTTATCGTTCATCAAAAATACCAAACTCTCCTGAGGATAACGCAGCAGGAACTTCATCAGGGGTTCCCTGAAAGGGCTCGCGGCCTCGACCATCAGAGCCTTTTCCGTTTGCATGATAATGCGACAGAGAACGTCGATGAATTTTGGCGACGCGGCGGGCGTCTGATGGAAAATGCCGATGATGGTCGCGATCTTTTGCTCCGTCTCGCCGTTCTTTGACACGCCCTTGTGAGCGGTCAGTAGATTCTCGAGAAGCTTCCGGAGGTGCTGCATGAGTTGTTCGCAGAGCGTTATGCTGAATGTACTGGGGAAAAGTTGCGTCAGATAGGACAGTCGCTTGACACAATTTAAATTGAGATTTCGATAATCGCCGAGGGTCAGCAACATCGGTCGCATGATGGCGTGCACGGACTCCATGTCGATTTGGAAACCGGCGATGAATTTCTGCATGCACTCGAATGCCGCTTCCTGAAGCTCTACATTAGACTTTTCTAAAGCGCCGTACAGCACCTCAAAAATGTTTTGACGTTTCTCCACGATGTAGTGGCAGGCTGCGAGAGCACGCAGAGCGGACTTGCGCAATGGCACGAGATTGGGGATGTTCTTGTAACAAGGCAATCGGTTCAATTGCGCGTCCTCCGCGTCGTTAATGACGTAAAGTTCGTCGAAGAAAGTTTTGTGCTCGTTGATCTTGAGGTCGATGGAAAAAAGACGCGGCGTTAAGGTAGTGCAAAACGTGTTACCATCCATGATGCCGATTTGCGCATTGGCCGGCTGGTGTCGCAGCAGGTGTTTCTTCGGTGGTATCATGTCGGCCAGTACCTCGCGATGGGGCTCCATCACCTCGGTGACGCTTTTGCGCTGCACCTCGGCAATGAGCTTGAGCGAGAACATGGACTGCTCGCGAACGATCGTGTGCGACGAGGTGATCTGGCGCACGAACTCGTGCGTGACTTCGTGTATGGCTTTGTTTTGCGCGGCTATGATTTCGGCGTCGCCGGGCTCCTGCAGGGCCGGATCGACGCACGACCGCAGCATCTTTTCCAAGTTGATCTTCGCCATGTCTACGGCTCCGTTTGATACTTCACTAGTCAGGTCCATCATGACGAACATCAGCGCGCGCACGAAAGTAAACAGGTGCTTGAGCACCCACTTTGTGGTCATGCGCTCGAATAAGAATTTGATCGACATGCAGCCACCTAACTTAGCGTACCAGGCGCGCTCGTAGCAAAGAGAGCTCATTTTTTCGGCGATGTATTCCGTCAACGGCAACTGACAGGTACGCTCTTTGCTGCCAAGGATCGTCGTGGCCGTCTCGATGATCAGGACGAGCGCCAAATTGCCTGGTTTGCATAGCTCTTTTTCTTCGTGGCCCATTATCGACGCGATAGCGTCGATGATGACGAGCGGATCTTGTCCTTGAGGTCGATTGTTAGGTTTGTTGGTGCAGCAGAGCGGACCGGCTTGCTGCGCGACTGCGATCAGTGTGTAGTGGCGCACGATGCTGAACATCGTGGGTAGAACGGTCTGGTGAAGCTCTTTGGTCGATGCGGCAACGAAGAGTCCCGTAAGAGCTGTCTGCAGGACGTTTCTAGCGACGAGATCGTAGCTCTTCGGATGTGGCTCGACTTGACGCGGTATGGGGCCGTCTTTGAAGGACGAGTGGGAAAAGAACCTGTGTAGCGTCGCTTTGTCGTCGTCCAGCTTAATGGACGCTGCGAGATAGCTGTTGATGACTTCCCAGCATTGTTTGCGATAAAATACGTCGGTCGAGCTGGTCTTGAGTGCGTTGACGGCCGTCTCGATAACCTTTTCCACGGGAAAGTCGATCAATTTGTGTGGCTCGTGGAAGCGAGCAACGATGGCAGGGGAGTTTGTTTCGCGATCGTTGTACTCGAGTTTTTGTGGTTCAATCATCATTTTTCTATTACCTCCACCAAACTTGCCCAGCACACGGAACGCTACGTGGGCCACTTGATCAGTAGGATTTCTCAAAGTACGCCACAAGGCTTGCATCAAGTCCGCTCTCACCGGCTGTATGTGTTCATAAAGAAAGTCGGGCTGCAAATTATCAACACATAATTCCAGAGTTCTAAGACCTTGACTGACTAATGTATGGCTGCCATTAAGGGCCGAAACTAATGGGTCCATAAGCATTGGTAGATAAGGAAGCAGCGAACTTAGGCGAACTGGGACTGTAAGACACAGTTCAACAAATAGGTCTTTCATATGCTGTTTATGTAAACCCGATTGAAGTCGGTTCAATCCCTCTAGTAGGTTTGGAAGTAGTGGCAAAAATTCTTGATATAGTAAATCGTGTGAACCTCCACCAATGGATCGAAACAAAGCCCTAAGAAGTAAAAAGTAATTATATGGCTCTTTAGCTGACATTGCCAGTTCCATTGAGCGGTTAACAATCTGATGCAAATGAGGCTTCAGCATATGCTCATTCTCTGTCGGAAACAGAGATACGCTTCCAAAGACCAATTTAAAGAGTCTCAAGTAAAGATTACTTCGGTCTATATTCGATCCCATATCATCCATTCGATCGAGCAAATATTCAACGAGTACCGTGGCAAAAATTGGTGAAGTTGTAGGATTGGCCAAGAACGAATTACCAATAACCTGTAATGCAGCGTTCTTAAAAATTCGCTCGACCATATATTCAACTGAAGTTGAAAAGATTTCATTGAATGTTTGTGGATTCATCATTGAAAAGACTCCAGCAAAATGTTCCAACACTTCTTTTTCTTCCTTGCTTCGCACTGTTTGTTGTTGTGCTGTTGGTCCTCGTATCTGGTTTGATGCGTTAGAAGCTGGTGGCCCAATCATATATATGTCAAGAGCTTGTAGGGCCCATTTTACAAGCCGAATAAACACGAGGGTCTCTTTGGGATGAAATTGTTTGTTTTGTCCTAATTCACCTGTTTTGCAGTTTGCACATCCCCATGTAATAGTTTTTACTCCACACACAAGCGTTTTCACCAAACTCCGATAATCTACTAAATTGTAATTCTGATTTGGATTTTGAGGAAATCCGAATCTAGACTTGGTTTCTTTGTCCTCCTGAAGATCCACCATGTTATGCTTGGAATCTTCATTGGTCGCGAAGCAAGTCGCTGAGCCTGTCTGGACTCTGTTATCGATCGGTTGGGCTAATTGTTGTTTAGCTCTATTCATTAAAATCGGGAGTTGAAGTTTAGAAACCGTTTTGAATTTCAAAACGAATACCTCCAGCATTCTCATCAACAACTCTCTGCCTTGAGGAACTTGATTTTCTGTTTCACATCTCTGACGGATGCATTCCACCAAATTCAGTAATAATTTGCAAGACATCGTTTGAATTGTCGTGGGCAGAGTCTGATCATGTACATTTTTACTGTAAAAATAAAAATATTAATAGATAAATAAAATACTTTCTAAAAATTGCAATAATTAAACTTTTAAAACTTACCTAAATAAATGAACAGCTCGTGCCAAGTCTACCAGAGGTAATAATTGTCTAATGTGATGCACTAAATCGGCCAATGTGGAATATGCTAATGGTCGCAAAGACTCATATGTAGTCCACCCATGGCCAAGAAGAACTTCTTCATTAAATAATCGTTCCATATGAGGGACAAATTTGGTTTTGAGGTCAGTGGCCAATATGTGCCTTGCAGCAATTAGTAATTCTTTTCGTAGATGTGCCACTTCAGTCGGGCATAAAGTCAAGAGTCCTAGAATACCTTTGATCATCATAGGACAATGTTGAACGACAACATCCTGATAAATTCTAATTATATATGCGAGAAATGACAGAGTCTTAATTTGAGCACCCATGAAGTCGACGAAGACTTCTTTGTTGAAGTTCGGTGAATTTCGTTGTGCAGGAGTAGGTTGCAGAGTGATTGTATTCATAATCAGAGGAATGAAGTCAGCAACCTCTTGGTGAACATTCTGCTTATAAATCTGATACATCAAAACGACTATTATTGGTAATTCTTGAAGAACTTTCAATGACAGCACAGCTTTGGGAATGAGATTGTACTGGAAAAATATAACATAATTAGTTAATTGTATTTTGGTGTCAGAGTGAGATTTCATGATTTCGAAATAAATTGATAAGACTCACGCTTAACGGAGATCCATCCGCTGATTTTTTGTCACTCTGAATTGGAGTCACCGTAAATGTTTCTTGAAGGTATCCTTCAATTTCCGGGCGGCTTATTTCCGATAGATCTTTAACTCTAATTTGATTTCGTGGCTCGAAAATTTTCGGCAAATTTTTCGGTAACTCACTGTATATAGATTTGACAAATTGAAGAAAATGTTGTATCTACAAGAATGAAAAATAATCAAGTAAAAACGTATGAGTTTTAAAAGTGTTCACTGGAAGAAAGAGTAAAACTTACCTCTGGATTAAAAGTGGGCCTGTAGGTTTTATGCAACTCGATGATAATTCTCAAGCAGACCAGAATGTTTTCTTCGTTCTCGATTTCGAGTAGTTTTAGCATCAAGCTGAGAATTGGCTTGATGTACGGTCTCAGGTATTCGGTCGCCGGCAATCGATGTATCATTTCCAGAATGAGTTTGCGCACTTGTTGAATATTGTATTCAGAAATGAAGTGCGGCTCACCCTCCTGTAGGATCTTTAAGAAATTCTTCATCAGGTGGTCCAAGAACTGCGGGTAGTGCGGTGATCCAAGAATGGTCTGTGGAATCGGGTGAGTTCATGATTCAAGCTCCCTTTGTTTTCTCTTGCATAGTCTGAAATAGAAAGGTTTACGTACCTCGAAATTCTCCGACATTTCTTGCGCAGCTTTGAGTTTCGATTCATCCTTGGCGTTTGGATCCGCCAACATTGTAACGTACGATCTGTACGCATTGATTTGGGTGAGGGGATCGGCGGGTGCCATAGGTGCCATGGGTGCCATGTTGACGTTTCCAAATACAAAAATAAAAATAACACTTCAAAGTCCGTCTGTTGGGCAAAGTGTAAAAATGGAATTTTTTCTGAAAAATAAAGAAAAAAATTGTCATGAAATTTTCTCGAAGAAATCCGTCGATCATATGCATAAATTTGTAACGATATTGATATAGTTATAATGTAGAGGGTGGGTGGTAGGGCAAGATATGTACTTCCGTAAATACACGCGCAAAAGTTTGGCCTACATTCAGACCAAGAGTTTGAGCAATCAATCCATCTCGGCGCGAGAAGGGAAAGACGCAGGGTAGCTTTTGCAGAATCAACAAACCCTTAGCAACGGCAAAGTGCATCATTTGAATTCGGAATCGCGCAAGCTCGTCCCCAGTTGCGATCTAACGTACTTTCCTACTAGTCTATGCTCGTTGCTTGTACATAAGGTGGAATCAACGTGGCATAAAATAAATTAATAAAAAAATACGAAAACTAAAGCCAGTGTTATTCTACCATAAATTTTTCTCATCAAATTTTTAGATTTGTTGAAAAAGTTTGATGAAGCAAAAGTAAAGAAAAAAAAATTGAAAATGAGCAACCGGCAAAAGTTTTTGGAGCGAAATAGCTACGAAACATAAGTTTTGGAGGATTCAAGTATAAAAAAGTTTTTTCTGCGCTATGGGAGGTGAGACGAGCGACAAGAATCGTTGTATCGCGTGGCTCGACTGACGCTTCGTAAAGCGCGATATCTCATTTTCGCTACAGCCGCCGCATTGCGACTACCGAGAAAAAACTTGACGAATCAACGACTTTCCTATTAAAAAACATACATAATCTCCCGAAATGGATGAGAAGACGATCGACTCGATTTTCGCGGGCTCGATGAAGTCCCTGCCACCAGTCAGTTCGAAGATCGTACGAATTTTCACCAGTTCGACGTTCACGGGTGTGTATATATGCAATTATTACATGCATTGTACAGAAATTGATTTACGTTGATTTTTTTTACCCACAGATACAACGATGGAGAGGAATACTCTGATGGCTCAATGCTATCCGAAATTGAAAGACTATTGTCGAGAGAAGCACGGTTTAGAGTTTCAGGTATAAGAACATAATTTTTACTTTGTGCGTAAAGAAATTGTGTTTTACTCAATTTCATCATTATCAAATTCTTTTTGGTGAAATAGTTACGAGTATTTTTTTAGCCAATTTGATATAGAGTAGAGTTTCGTTGTCACAACACACAGCTTGTTAACAGTGTAAACTACGACCTTTCTTTTAAACGTTAGCTTGTATTTCTTGTGTTAGGGCAACGAGAGCTCATGAGGTGCGTGCCTTTGTTTCGCGCACAAGTAAGATATAATGACCTAGTGCCGATGTATGGCAACCGACATTCGAATCAGTGACCTTGAAACTCGCACGAGAAAATTGATTTCTTCGACTGGCGCAACCAGGCAACCGTTTTAAATGCACGTCATCTGCGTATAAGAAGCCGTTGAAGAGCTTTACACCGCCGATCGCAATCGTTTAAAAAACGTTTTGTGCATATAATGTATGAAATCCACTCAAAACTTTTCGATGAATCAAAATTTTTCTTTTCTTTCTGTACGGAACTTTTAAAAACTGCGCTGCTATAAATAAACCGAGAAAATTACTTTGTTTACTCGTACAAGTACATAGAGGATGCATTTTTTTTTAATATTTATAGGTTGTCGACATGAGATGGGGTGTGAGAGACGAGGCAACGGACGATCACATGACTACCGAGCTCTGCATGCGCGAGATCGAAAATTGCCAACGATTATCCATGGGGCCTAATTTTGTCGTATGCTCTTTTCTTTTCTTTTTTTTCAATTTTCAGTAGAAAAAAAATTTGATCCGTGCTTATTTATCTGGATAAAAAAATGCAGGTGTTTCTTGGTCAAAAATACGGCTACAGGCCGATACCGACGTACGTGCTAAGCGCCGAGTTGGAGATGCTGCACGACGAGCTCGAGAGCCAAGGCATCGACGTCTCGGTGCTCGACCAGTGGTACAAGAAGGACAGCAACGCGGTGCCCGCGTGCAGCATACTGCAGCCGATCTCGTCGATACTCAAGAACTTCAACAACAAGCGAATACCGAAGCTGCAGCAGGAGGACCAGGCCATCTGGTGGGACACCATGGTGAAGATGCAGAAGCTGTTTCGCAAGGGCGCCCAGGCGCTCTACAACAGCGGCAAATTCGACAAGGACACGATGCACAATTACTTCATGTCGGTCACGGAGCGCGAGGTCATCAACGGCATACTCAACGTCAAGAACACCAAGAATCACTGTCTCGCCTATCTGCGCTACATCAACAATATCAATCTGCAGAATTTGCGCAAGGCCAGCCTGTATCTCGACATACTCAACAGGAGTCTGGACAACGAGGCGTCGCGACTGCTCGCGGATCTGCGCGACGTCCGGGTGCCCAACAAAATAGAGAGCTCGAATTTGCAAAAGTAAAGCTGCGACGATCGCCTTTCGTTCGCAAAAACATTTTTTACGTTTGATTGAATTTTATGCAGGTACACGGTCGAATGGATAGGTCGCGAAGGTTTGGAGGTCGAGACGCACAGCGAGTACTTGCAGCACTTTATAACGCATTTCTACAGGAACATCATCAAATTGGTCGATCGAGCCATGAAGAAGGAGGACAGCTCGGCGCAAGGACAAATTATCACTGAAATACTTCAGCATCTTCACGCTTGCAATAATTCCGTCAAAGTTCGTCGACGATGTTTCATACAGTAAAGAGTCTGCCTGGAATTCGTTTATTTTCACACGAGTCTTTTCTCGCAGATATTTTACGGACGCGAGGAGAACCTCGAGAGAATCAAAAACTACATGCTGGGAAACAACGAGAAACCGCTGGTGTTTTACGGCGAGGGCGGCTGCGGCAAGACGTCGCTACTGGCCAAGAGCGCCGGACTGTCCAACACCGTTTGGCTGGCCACGAAGAAGCCCATCAGCATCATCCGATTTTTGGGCACGACGCCCGACAGCAGCGCGCTCACGCCCACCCTCATATCGATATGCCAGCAGATCTCCTACAACTACATGCTGCCGTTCGAGGAGATACCGGACGATCTGGTGCCGCTGACGGCGCACTTCAAGCACCTGCTGACCCTGGCCACGAGCGAGCAGCCGATTCTGCTGTTCCTCGACAGCGTCGACCAGTTGACGGGCGCCCAGGGCAACAAGCTCTCGTGGCTGCCCACGCGGCTGCCCGCCAACGTCAAGATGATACTGTCCTGCGCGGCCGAGGAGTCCAATCCCGTCATATCCAAGGACTATCATCTGCTGAGGCGCATGATCGACACGGACGAGCAATTTGTCGAAGTCACGGCTCTGGGCGAGGATCTGGCCATGGATGTCGTGAGGTATGTAAACGAATGGCGTGTCTCTCTGTCGATCAAGCGCTCGCGTGACTCGCCGTACAAAAAAATACAGCGTAAATAATAGCTGCTTAGGGCAAAGCAAGCATAAGTTCAACTTCTTTACTTCGAAAACTTCAACAGAATTGAAAAAATTTCAGGTACATAAAAGAAACTAAAAGATAAAAATTAATATAAAAAAAAGGCTAGTCAAGAAAGAAGTATTCAACATTATTTACTACAAGTGAAACTTGCACTGAAATTTTTTTCTTCATTTTCTGACTGAAAATTAATTATAACTTATGATCACGTCTGCGTTGAGTACAATAAATAACTGTGTTATGAATAAAGTGTACCGATTTATGAAAATCAATGGTTTACATAATTCATAAATCAACGCAGAAATCCTCTCAAATAATCGTAATGTCGAAAAAAATTTACCAAGTGTACGAAAATTTGTCAAGTTTTTTTTTTTTTTTTAAATATAAGCTTGTTATGCATTAGCGTCGAGAGCGCACCGATGGCTGCGTTTTGTCTCGTCGCTCAAACGCGCCTCAGTGCAGAAGTTTCACTCGAAAATAAACAAGTTTCTCCGCGATCCGTGCAGAATGTGGATGAAGATGGCCCATCGCGATCTGAACAACTATCAGTGGCGCCTGGTGGCCAACGCCATCTCCAAGTGCTCGCTGCCGATCTTCGTGAAGCTCGTGTTCGCCGAGATCTGCCGCTGGCGCAGCTACACCAAGCCCGCAGACACGCATCTCGCCAACACCGTGATGGACAGCATCATGATGCTGTTCGAGCGCATCGAGAAGCAGCACGGCAAGATACTGGTGTTTCACGCGCTGGCCTACATCACCGCGGCCAAGTCCGGCCTGTCCGAGTCCGAGCTCGAGGACCTCATATCGCTCGACGACAAGGTCCTCGACGACGTCTACCAGTACCACTTGCCGCCGGTGCGCCGCATACCGCCGCTCCTCTGGACGCGGATACGCAACGATCTGCCCAACTATCTGAGCGAGCGCGAGGCCGACGGCGTCAGCGTGCTCAACTGGTATCATCGGCAGTTCCGCGACGCCGCCAAGGAGCGATACTTCAAGAATCTCAATCTCGCCACCTACTTCCACTCGATGATCGCGGATTATTACTTGGGCATATGGGGTGGCGGCGTACCCAAGCCGTTCAAGTACACGGAGATACAGAGGCACAGGTTCAATCTGCAGGACAGGGAGGGCATCGCCGACCGGAAGGTGCCCGAGCAACCGCTGGCCTTTTACTCCAAAGAGGGCAAGATATCCAGATACAATTTGAGAAAGGTACACGGGTAGCTTTGTTATTTTTTTTCAAGGCCAACGACGAGTCGAACGTTAAAATATTGCTCATTTTCGGCTCCAAGTTCGGCGAGCTGCCGTTTCACCTGGTGCGCTCGAACCGATTCAAGGACCTGTTCGAGAGCGTGCTGTTCAATTACGAGTGGCTGCACGCCAAGCTGAGCTCGTGTCCGCTGCAGGCCGTGCTGTCGGACTTCGAGGACGCCTGCGCCTTCATCGAGGACCAGAACCTGGTGCGCGAGCTGATGCTCGTGGCGGACGCGCTGCGCCTCGGCGGCGCCATCCTGGCCACGCACCCGGACATGCTGGCGCCCCAGCTGGTCGGTCGCCTCCTGCCGGAGATCGGCAGCAACAACAACGTGCGCATGCTGCTGCAGGCCTGCGACGAGGACGGCGCCAAGGACTGCGCCCTCATGCCGGTCTATCATTGCCTGCACACGCCCGGCGGTCCGCTCAAGTACTCGCTCGAGGGCCACCAGTTCGCCGTGTTCGGCTTCTGCATGACCTCGGACTATCGCTACCTCGTCTCCATATCCAACAAGTTCATCACCTGGGACCTGAGCACGAGCGACCTGACGCGCGACGTCAGTCCCGGCATCGAGGGCATCATGCAGCAGCTGGTGCTCAGTCCCGACAACAGATACGCCGCCGCTTTTACGAATAATAATCAGGTGAGATTTAGGCTCCTATACGATCGCATTCAAAAAAATCGATAAATGCCGATCATCGGAATGAAACGAGCGGCTGTATTGCAGTCGGTGGTGCTGAACACGCTGACCAGCGAGTTCGTCATCATCAACAATCCACTACCGAACAAGGAAAACGTTTGCGGCGTATTTCTCTTGAATCAGAGCTCGTTCATTTACGGCAAAACCGGCTGGTGCCGATTCGATCTGAGAGGAAATTTGCTGGGCAATCACTCGAGCCCCGAGGATCCCAGCCAATGGTGCATTCTAGAGATGGAATTTTTCACCCTCGACGATTACAAGATCATCTTTTGGACGGGAAACCTCGAGGACTCGACAATGCTGCTGCACGTTTATCGCGACAAGATCGGCATCGAGCCGTTCAAGTTTCACAGCGCCATGGCCATGACCAAGGACAAAAAATTCGTCTACGCGTGCACCAGAAAGGACACGTACCAGGTGACCAAGTACGAGGTCGCGGACGGCAGCCTCGTCTGGGAGGAAAAGCTCGACCTGCCGAGGGCGCGCAACGACGAGACCGAGTACGTGCTGCAGCTGAAGCTCGACAAGGAGGACAGAACTTTGCTGGCCACGACGGGCAACGGCTTCGTCGTTTGGTTCCTGGACGGCGAGGAGGAGGAGGGGGAGGAGCGGGAAAAAGCATCGTCTCGAGCGATAGTGCTGCAGCTACCCAATGCCGTGAGAAACATAAGTACGAGAATGATGTGCTCGAATTCGATAATGATAAGCGGCACGAAGGATTATGCCGTGGCTGGAGTGAGGTATGCATTTGAAAATAATCTGACAAACAGCAATATTTACAAACTAGTGTGTTTTTCTGTAATAAACAGGAAAAATTTATACGTTTGGAATTTGGAGACGACCGAATTGGTCAAAGTACTGGATGCTCATTTTGCTCGGATAATTCAATTGGAAGCCCTAACGATCGGCAATTGGAACAGTGTCATAACGTCCAGTATCGACAGAAGTGTCAAAGTCTGGAATATCAATAATATTTTTGAACAAGTTCATGTCATTGACAGGCATGAATTACAAATTGACTCGATAAGGTATTTTTCATTTAAAGCTAACAAGTCCAATATTAGATTATTTTTCGTTAAACGCTAGACTCATTTACAGTTTAGCAGAAAATTGCAATCTGGCAGCTACGGTGACAAGAGGCTGTGTCGGTGTTTGGGATTTGCAAACTGGAAAATTAATTTCAAAATTAGCAGATAGTCCTTTGGGAGCAATAGTTACACATGCTTGCATAACTCAAGATGGAAAGTAAGTGTTTGTATAAAAATATATAACGAAATGTAAAATTACAAGAGTATATATCTTTTCAGATTCATAGTTTCGGTAGAGTCTGGAAACGTTTTGATATGGAATCGCATAACAGAGCAAGTTTTATTTAAAGAAGAACAAGCTGATGTTAGGCAGTTAATACTAATCAATGATGGTTTAAAATTTGCTACTATTTCAAGGGCAAATAATCCACCAGGTATCGAGATAATGAGAACTAATGTTACAGTTATTATGAGGAGTATACCAGGTAAACTTTTGAATGTTAAATTAGTTTAGTTTCAACATTTTGTAAACATTATTTCTCATTGAGAAATTGTTTAGATGGAGCAAAATTATTCACTTTTGAGTATCCAGTAAGAAGTAATACCGGTATTCCATTTAGAGAAATTGTTTTGACTTCCGATTCTTTACACATGGTAGTACCTGCAGCTGAGAAGGGAAACAAAGATTGTATCATGATATATAATACTAAAACTGGTGGTAATGTCAGCAAAATACCAATAAAAATACCCGGATTTAAGGTAAATTTACATCCCTAATCAGTTTGCGCATTCTATTGAATTACAACTGTTTTTGCAGGAAATTGTTGCAGTAGTATCGATGCCAAATAAACCCCAATGGATAGGTATCATAGGTTCTGATAAAGGTAGTATTATGGATATAGTTAAGAAAAAAGTTCTACGATCTATTCCTAAATGGAGTGGAAATATAAGCGGTGATGGTAAATATACATTGTATGCTCCAAGCAGGTTAGTTTTTGAATCTCATGTTATCTCTATACATTCAAATTGAAATGATACTTAAATTTTGAAATATTCCATAGAGGAGGATTAGAATTAGTTGAACTCAAAAAAGGAGAAACTGTGAAAACTTATATTCCAAAAGTAGCAGAAGGTGTTTTCACTATTATTTCAATGTTTAATAGAACAGATGAATATGTTCTTTATTATCACAGTGGACGCAAAACAATAAGAGTATTTAGGTATAATCTTTTCTACTATAAAAATAAAAAATATCTCATATTCAAATTATTACAGGTCATCTGATTGTGAAATGATAGCTAATTATAGAGTGCAAGCTGAATTAAGTGCAATAGATAGTACTTATGATGGAAAAGGCATAGTTTTGGGAACTGTTGATGGTTGCCTCTCTGTTTTGGTTTTAGCTGATCCAAAAAAACCTGAGATGAAAGATTATTTGGCAAATTTACCATCTCGCGACGAAAAAGTTAGTATGTCGATAAAAAATCATAACACATTCGTATTATCAATATCTTTAGTTAGGGATTGTTTGAAAAAGTAACTACATTTATCTTAATGTATAAATAATAACAAGTTAGGTAAATCGTACCTTAATCTGAGGTTAAATATTTTCCATATCTACACATGCAAAATAATTACCGGATCTAAAAATTTTGTTGTTCCAGTCACATTTTGATTTTTTTAGCACCCCAGAGGAAATTAATGTTTAAACACATACTTATTTTAAAACAATTTACACTTAAAAACGTTAATGTTTGTGTCAGGCGCGGTAGGCAACTTCTTAACTGAGCCGCATGCAAAAATACACTGGCGAAAAGATAATTCGAATGAGCTTCGACTGCTAGATGGCTGGAACGGTTCGGTCTTTTTCAAGTTAATTTTCAAATTAATTGTAATGATTTCTTTTTGAAAGAAATTAATCAATTGAAATTGACTAATAAACGGTAAAACTAATATTATAAAATAATTTTTAATAATAAGTAATCTATTTAAGCTCACTCGGATTGATAAGATGAATGCATCTAAATAGTCGATAGTAGTATCGATTGTTCTTTTTTGCAATTTTTACCGTGAAAATCGTTATATATTTTCAAATAACGTGTATTGTCAATTAGATCGTATCGTGAATAAGTATTAACAAGTTAATTGAAGAGTTAAGATAATGTTATAACAAAGATTTAGCTTATTGAAAAAAGCCGACGACTCTTACATTTGCACAGATAACTTCGATGTATCGCTGCGAAACCCCTCCCCTTCGATAGCTATGAGTATGTTTCGATACATCGTTCGAATCAACAATGTTTTCAATCGATTGTTTTTTGATTTCCAATTGTTTAAAATCGTTCAAATTCATAAAAATTTTTATTTTTTTTTATTTTAAGCTTTTACTTAAAATGTATGATTGAATACTTCTTCGAGTGGGTTAAAATGACACAACATAAACTAAATTCATACACAAAGAGTCAACAATAAAATGTGGTTTTATTATAACAGTATAAAGATAGAAATAAACAAGTTTTTAAAATGCACAAAGTAAAAAAAAACGCTAAAAGAAATGTTTTACATATTTCTTTTCGATCATTGAAATGCATTGAATCATCGGCATACCATTATTACGATCAATTACAATCATTCACTTATTCTCCGATTTTCGTAAATAATTTCCTTTTTAATATCGCCCAACAGTGGAAAAAACGGATGGAAAAGCAACGGGCTACGACGAAGTTCAAGGCAGCGGTGCGCATTGCTCGAGTGACCTACGACTTGGTGAATTTGGTGCGCTCGGAGAACGCCTCGGCAGCCTCGGCGAACGACGATCAAGAGCAATCGATGTAGCATATTATAAAAAACGACGAGAAGTAAAGTTAAATCGACAACACAATATCACAAGATTTTCATTCCTTAAATCAAAACAAACGTTATAGGCTTTCAAGTGAAATAAAAATGTTAAAAAAATTGTTATAAGAAATAAGGTTCTATGAATAAATAATGCAATAGATAAAAGTTTTAATCGAGGTTTATGGAATTTATATTACATTTTCGTCTATTTTTTTTCTGCATTTTCCATAATAGTTGTTCATTTGTTTTGTGTTTAACTCTCTTTCTCTTTTTAATAAACATAATTTTATCTTTTTTTTTTTATAATTAAAGTTCAAAAAAGTGATGCTAGGCCCGGGACGCATTTGCTCCAACAATAAGCAAACAGAACGTGGTTCCATTTTTAATTTGATGTTGTCTTCATGAGAAATCTTCTAATGTACATAAATTAATTAATGTTGTTTCACTGAATGACATTGTTATACAAGTATCCTTGCGTAGACTGAAGCAGGGGTATGTAGCACATTTGAATACTGCTGAATCTGCCTGCGCGAGGACTGTTTCAACTCTCACAATTCATGAACAGTGTTTTTTTAATATATAAAATGCGTCCTATGCCTGAACACAAACGTGGATAAGTCCAATGGTTTGATACACTCGCTCATTTTACATCAAGAGCACAGGTTCTATCAAACAATATCTCCGTTGCATAATAAATTTCCTATTGAATTTGGTAAACGAAGCAATTCGACGAGTTTCAGCGTGAAACGTCGCTCAGTCATTCAGGCAGTTTGACAATGTTTTGATAAAAACTCACCTTTATCTTTCATACATTATTATCAAAAAGATCGTCGTTTCATTATCTTCAAAGCCTGAATGCTGTATGATCTTTTAAACAACTACTATACGCATTTTTTCGTAACAATGTACAACTAAAACTAGCAAACACGCCTGCTTCAGCACTTATACACGCAAATGATCATTTATAGCCGACCTGTCCAGAATTGTGGTAATGGATCTATTAAGTAGAACTCAAATTATCGTAGGTAGAAATATTCTTCGAATTCATGACCATTCTATTCAGTATTATAATCTGATCTTGTGCGTGTGGTTGTGTTCTTCAAAGTTGATTATAATGTAGCAATGATAATCATTCAATAGGCTCATTATGAAAGTTTCTTTCTTTGTTCAAATGATTGTTCTGACTCTAATATTTAGTGGTTGAAATAATTCTCCATTTTCTACAATTCTCTGATCATTATTACGCTTCAAAAAACATGTCGGCTCTGTTTTTTGCGTATCTTTTATTTCCTATTGCGTGCTGCTTCCTTTTTGTGTTTGCTGCGATTGTGAAGGTTGTTCTTTTGTCTGAGTTTCTTCCGCTGCTGTGTCTCTCATGTGTTTTTCAACCTACACAAGAATAGTTCAAAAAATTAATTTATACGTACATTTAAATCATATCATTAATTAATAAATAAAGCATGACCATATGTATTAGAACAAAGGTATTTTAGGTAGTTGATTTATCTCAATGAATAACTGAAACTTTCTAAGTTTGGATTTGGAAAAAGGTCTTTGAATTAACAGAATTACTTTTTTCTCAAATTTAGATAATTTTAAAATTGTGATCAAAAGTATGGAATAAATTTTGGATAATAATTTGAACATGAAACTTTTATAGAGCAGTAAATAGATTATAACTTGTAAAGTACTCATTTAAATTTTTACTCATCAAGTGATAGACATTGTACATAGCATAATGTATGATTTGAATGTAAAAGTTTAAAATAAAATACATACCACTTTCTTAATGTGGGTAAATGCTTTATCATTGGAATTTCCTTGAACATTTTCAATTTTGTAAGGTGGAATTATGGTGACTTTGTCCCATACCACAATATTGGGACCTTGCCATGTGATTTCATTGATTGTTTTGGAAATAGCGATGTAGAGTTTTTGTCCATCAGGCGATACTCCAGCTTGTAAAGCTTTAACCATTCTCTTCTTTTCATCTATCTGGTTGCGTACTCTGGTATTTAGCCTCTGAAGATTAAGACTCATTGGTTGTTCATTTGTTGGCGGGGAAGTAGCTTCATGTTTCACCTGGACATCACTGACCAGGGATAAGTTTACTATGTGAACATCATTCAAATTTGGTTGATTGATTGATGATGGACATTCTTTATAGTAAAAAAAGTTAAGGAAAATATTGCATCTAGTATGTAAAAATGAATAGAGATTGTACATTATTTGCATTTAAAAAAACGAACGCCGTTGAATATTTGTTCGTGCAGCATCGGGCGAGAGATAGGGAGAGAGGTGCTATAATGAATGGCGTAAGTGAAAGTATGTATGGAATGTGGATTAGGTATACGCAAAACATGTAAGTGTGTGCATATTGCGGTGAGTACGTCCAAAATCTGCAGACGCCATCGGGTCAAAATAGGAGCAGTGAATGTACATGAGTTCAGCGAGAAAATTAACCTCTTGTTATGATGATAGTCGTCGCCGTCACGGTAGACGAACGGATTCAAGGGCGTAAAAAAGCTCAATTGCTTTCACGACCCGATGGGCAAAGTTACGCATGGTATTTAAACAGACTGCGTGTAGCGTGCGCACGTACACACGTCACTTACAGAGCCAAGTAAAATATTTACAAAAATCCTTTGGGCGCGTACTCGGTGAAAGAGAAAAAAAATGGTTAGGTGAGTCAAGGCAGTAACATCGGATAGTGCAAAGTCGTCCACGCTGCATTGTTCATAACCGTCATTGTCGTTGAGTTTACAAACGTAAGGTGTGTTTAGCGAAAGTCTCGTGTATGTGTCTTCTCTGTCTCTCTCTCGCTCTCTTGCATTTCCACACGTACACACATATATACAGGACGAGCACGATGGGCTCGCGCTTTCTGGTCGATTTTGCACGGTCGTCGTCGGAATCGCGATCGCGTCGTCGGGCTTGGAAAGCCAACGACATATAATAAAAGGATACTCAGTATCAACATCTTGGTCTGCTGATCGAAAGCCAGGACCTCGCCTTCGATTTCCTTGTCATAACAGGTTTTGCACGACACGGTACTCCCAATGCTAAAGTAATCGCTGACGCCGGCCATTTTTCCACTACACACCACTGCACTATAATGTATGAAAAGCACAACTGCCTGGTGTGCACACCACGCTTGGCGAGCAGCAGCAGCAGCAGCAACAGCAGCAGCAGCAGTACAGAAGCACAGCTCACAACAGCAGGCAATACAGTCGCAGCAGCAGCAGCAGCAGCAGCCAGCAGTAAAGATATCGTAGTTATACTGTATATTATATACAGGATGAGATGTAGAGCGTTTTTATTATTGTGTGTTGCGCATGTTTTAGCTTCAGCATGTTAGAATGCCACAAGTAATATATGACAGAGAACCAACGACTGGCGTACGGTCAAAAACAGTGTAAAAAGCAATGACGCACGCGGCGCCCCCTGGACGTGTCCCAAGCCAAGCTGTCTTTCTCACTCTGCAGACAATTTTCGAGACGAAAGGTGCAAGTATGAAGTCGACATTTCGGAGCAACAAAATGCAATGTTTAAGGCGCAAGAGACAAGATCGGTTTGGACTTTGGCTATATTTGGATTTGCGCCTATGTCTTACACACCTATAGATGTAAATTCATTCGTAGTACAAATGTGCGTAAACTTCCAAGACAAGGTTCGCCCGCCATCGGACGCCGCTGTCGTCGTACGGACAAATATTGCATTACTTTCGCATAAAGTACCAATCCTATTAATTTTGCAGCGGAACATCGTTACTGTAAATTTTTCATACAAAAAATACTTTCAAGTAGACTTTCTTTGCTAATGTTTTAATATAGACTTGTTTGGTTTTTTATTTAAAAAAAAACACACACACAGATGGATTTACGAATTATCGCAACACAGAAAAGTACTCGATAAAAAATAGTATTATTCAAATTAAAAAGGGTCACTGCAACATGTCCTAGAATAAAAACTTTAAATTCCTCGGTCACTCGGTGATCGCCCAAGAATGGAATTGAATGGAACTGAATATCTTCAGCTATATCGATAGAATAAATAGCGTGTGCTGGTACGGTAAATTTCTCTTCGGCACCGGCAATAGAGGTAAAAATCGCAGGTGCTCGAGCGCAAGATATACTGTATTATTCGCGCACGACGGGCGAACAGTCCCACAGGCGCGATTTCAAATTTGCCTTTACCGAATCCAATGCGCACGATGAATATTTTTTTTGACAATTTTGACAGTACTCGATTGTCACGGGTGAACTTACCCGCCATTTTTAATAATTAGAAAATAGACGAGATCGATTCGCGCACATGTACCAATTATTATCGAGGGCGACCAGTGATGCACCCGCTCATTAGTCATTGAAATAGCTCACACGTCGCGCAATTTTCATTGAGTAACGCAATTGTAGTATTGCAAGATGAGGTGTCGATGGTGTCGCGCGCCAACGACACGATATTTCGACCATGGCATTCCGTTAAATCATCAATTTGAGGCGGGAAAAATTGGAGTAAGCGTGGGTGAGAACTATCTCGAACCCGTGACCTCACACCAGCAGCTACTGCAGCTGCCCGTATAAGCTTGAAAGGAAACAACACCTCAAGGGAATGTATCTGTATTACTTGAATCATATTTCACTTACTGTAACTAACACCGTGTATCAAATTCAATTGTAACTATTGTAAGTCTAGAACCGTTCAAAATTACCCGAGTCGCTGTCTGACGAACTCCGTTTTCGTCGGTACGTATCTTTCTCTTTACATGTTAGCAGTTACATCACGTCTTATTTCGTTTGGACACGTGCGTCTAGCGATGGTCGACTTTGTTACGAGCGGATAAAAAAACGGTAACCCAACTGCATACCTTTGCGAATGCGACGGTATACAGTTACCGATTTCATTACGTATTACCTGTGCACGTGATGTTAATCGGCATGCCGATCGATCGATTCGACCGGTGCGCGACTCTTGCACGCTCAAGTGCCAACGAAACGAAACTCGCGTATAATAAATAAATGCGCACAAGTCCTATACGAGGATATATAATAATATTAAGGTGTACGATGTGTCAGCGGGGTGGGGGCACCCAATGTCAGCGGTGGCAACGACGCGTGCTTGTTTTGCGGCTTTCGCGAGAGCCTCCTCGCACAGCGCAAAAATATATACACCGAGAAAGAGTCGTAGGCGCGGGTCATTAGTCGCGAAAACGCCGTCGCGGCACTACCTGTCGCACGAGCCGAGCGAGTGCACGTATTTATATCGTTTTTTTACACAGCCGATCGCGAAATCGCGAGTGAGATTTTTTGATTATCGATCGACTTCGATCCCTTTTTCGATTAAAGTGAAAGTTTTTTCAGTCGCGTTATTTCAAGTGCATTTGATGCCCAAGGTTTTTGGAAAGCAGTGACAATGTTTGAAGTAAGCGATAACGATTCATGATTGATGATTGATACATTTCTTGGAATTTAAGATCATTGCTTTTTTTTTTTATTTATTATTCGTTTTAAAGTGTCCAGTTGGAAACGATATACCGGATGACCCCCCACTAATACGCAGGTGGGGTCAAGGGATCACATTCGATACAGACACGATTCTTTACACAAGAGAATGTCCATTACACTAGTCGCGACTACTGCATCTGGTACCGCTCATAGAGCGGTCTATAGCCGCTCTATACCGCTCTATATACAGCGGTAACAGAGGTTGTACGAGTAGTACTTGTTTTGTCTAAAAATTTTCGGTCATTTCGGGTTATGCCTAAATTGTTTAGAATTTTCCTATAATTTAAACGGCATTTCGGTTATGTCCTAAAATCATAGGCATTTCTGCTTTTGCCTAAAATCGGGTTTTGCCTGTAACATATACATAATCAAAATTTAAAAAATTTAAAAAAATAATCGTTATCGTAGTTTTTTGAATTTAAAAAAAAAGTTCGATTATATGTACAAATATTGGACACATTTTACTTGTGTACAGAAATGCTCGTGTACAAGTTTCATGTGTACGAATGATACCTTGCCTGCACGTGCTATGAAATATTGAACTCTTACATCACTGCTATTTACAATAAAACAAAGTTTACATTGAAAATTTATTAGTACGAAAATCGAAATATTATTAAATTGCATAAATCGAGAATGTTAGAATTAATTAGCCTGTAATTAACGCATTGGTGCAAACATGATCATTCGCAAGTGGAACTTTTACACTTTTTCTCCTTTTTGTGCAATGACATGACTAGCGATGTTGTGTTTCTCTCTGCTCGCGCATGTTCGCGGCTCCAGTTCGAAAGTGAAGCGCGCAAAAACGTGGAAAAAAAAATCACGATGTTACATGTACGGTCAAGCGCAGAAGCACGCGTTGATCAATGAAATTTTTCGCCCGACTTCTCCGTTTTTTTTTTTTTTTTTTT